CATTGTGCCCTGAGATGGGCTGTTACAGGTCAGGCTCTGGGTTATAGAGAGAGGGGTCATGGGGACCCGGGTTTGTCCCCTGACAGATTGTTAAATTTGGAATTTTGACCTGAAATGAATCTTCTACTTGGTGAAGTTTCAAAGATCCTACTCAGTTAATGGGTTTAGATTGTATTTGAAGTGTTCCTTGGCCTTGTCTTTTTTTTGTCTTATTTTTATTGCTTGTTTTAACAGTAGCAAAATAACTGTTTTGTTTACACTTTTGAAATCTGGAGTGTTAACCAGCTCTCCTGTTGAAACATTTACTTAATATTTTTCTCCCTGATTGCTGCCTTTTACTACAGTGGCAATCTTAACTGTATTTCACTTTTTCATGCTGGAGTGATAACCAGAAATGCTTGAGAAAAATAATACTCTATTTTCTTATTTCTCTAGGGGGGCATAAAGGGTCTCCTTTTTATACTCCTTGGGTTGCTGTCATATCCATGCATACCCGACCCCGACCCGACTTCCGGACCTCCTCCTTCCCCACCTCCGGAGTCCTAACCTACCGCTGTCCGTCCCGATACTCACCTTCAGTCCTGGCAACACACCTCCTCTTACCTCCGATGCCACCTCCACTCCTCCTTCCCTCTCCTCCCCTATCTCCGTCCACTCCAATACTCACCTCGGACTGAACACCACCCCTCTCACCACCCTCCTACTACTCCTCCTACTCCTCTGCTCCTCCCTCACAACACCTCCACCCTTCCATCATCCTCCTACACTTCTCCCGTCTGCTCCGATACTTACCTTCGGACCTGACAACTCTCCTTCCCGCCACTCCTTCCCTCTTCCCTTTCTCCTCTCTCCTCCCTCTGGTACTCTTCCGCCAACCTCCCACCAAGTTACGACCTTCCACCGCTGTCCTGTACTTCATACTCGGGCACCGCTCATACCTTTGCTCCGAGCCTCTGTCATAGTCCCTACCTTGGACTTTGACTCCACCTCGGTCTTAGTCCATTGCATTGGTGACCTCATACTACATAAACACCATTGCCAATATTCCTCGGACTTTCAACCCCACCTCCATAAGCTCCACAACCTCCGAGCTTCGTGGATCACCTTTGGCACTTTTGCCACTTGTAATGTATCTCTCGCGTTTTCCCCTCATCCCTATTTGGACTGCTGCTTCTTCCCATTCTAGCCAGTTAGTCATCATCCCCACTTCCCATCATCCTCCTGCCCCTCTGGGCCTTGCCCTCCCTACCTCCTTTCAGACGTATCACAGGTTCTGCCTCATGACCTTTGGTACTGCTCCGCTTCTGTCTACCCTTTGTTCCCGTTCGGACATCTTCGTTCCGATTCGGATCCCCTTTGTTCCCTTGTGCTTTTGCCCCCTCCATTATATATATTGGCGCTTGTACATACTCGTTTTGGGCTCAGTCCGAAATCAACCTGAATGCCCCCTAGAGACTTCCTGCTTGCCTACTGTGAAATTAAGGACCAAATGGACAAACAGCAATGGCACAGCGCTCCACTTGAGTCACTGAGGCCAAGGTCCTTCCACGCTAAGTCTCCGATTCCACTCCAGAGTCGTCTGAATCTGCGCCTCATCTCTAACAGTTGCCTTCCTTTTTCATGCTCTACCTTGTATTTACAGGATTTATTTACAGTGTATTTTCCTCAAACTGAATTAAAAATGAAAATTTCACACTATAGTTCCACTGCACTCAGCTGCACTGAATGTGGCCCTGCTGCAGTCAGACTGCACCTAGAATTCTCATTGTCCTCCTTGCCCAAGCTATTTTGATGTTTTAATTAGAACTTGACTGCACCACATTTGTCATAGTTTTTTATTTAAAATTCTTCTTGTTCTATTTTTATCCAGTGACATTTAGTAGAAATGTGATTTGAAATGTTAAATGAATGAAATGGTTCAAATTTAGAACAAAAGGAGTTGATCATAGTTAAGAATTGAACAAATGAATGTGTTAGAGCTCTCTGCTTTATTAGTATATTTTTCCCTAAAATTCCCACCATGTGTCATATCTTGTAAGGTGGAATGTAATCACAGGTAGTATCTACCTGAAGCATGTAGCTTAGTCAAGTTGAGGGCCTGGTCCCCAGTCTGTCAAAGATATTTGCTGTAATAAGCTGTAATATTCCACAGGGGAGTAGACAGGCTGGAGAGCTGTTTCTACACCCTGTGCTGCTTTATATACAAGAGTGAATGTACACTGAAGTGTTAGATATGGGTCCGGGGTCGGCACCGAGGGTCGCTGTTGTGGGCCGCTATAAGCTGCTATAAGCCACAATGCTGTGAACAAGGCCCAAGGGTAGGGCATTTGGCCTCAGTGACTCTAAAGGAGTGCTGTGCTCCCTAGCTGTCTCCTGGCCCTCATTTCACACTCACTGGGGTTGTGTCAGGGCACATACCCTGACTTAGCCCGGACCCGGACCCGCGTCCGGACCCGCTCCACTTCCCGCGCACTTCCTGCGCTGCACGCTCCACGTGCCGCATGATCCGACCCCGGATCCCACCTCATGTGACTTCCGGGTATCCCCGGAAGTTTTCACCATATTGGGGCCACTGTGGGAAAGTGAGAAGTTAACCTTCTTCTCACTTTCTTACCCACAGTAGGCAAGTGTAGCCTACTCTTCATTTATCTATACACTTTCTTACCCACAGTAGCTATGCCCTGAGATGGGCTATGTTTACAGGCCAGACTGTGGACTGTAGAGAGGGGTCATGGGGACCCGGGGTCCGTCCCCTGACAGGTTGCCTTGTTGGGGTCAGAACTTAAGGAGTCATGATCAAGTCGATATTAGAGCTAAAGTACTATAATGTATCATACAGGGTATATATAGGAAGAGGAAATGAATAGAAGCGGACCTGGGCCGAAGGGTCCAGTAGCAAAAGGGAACAAAGAGCAGGGCTGGCTGCACAGTGGCTGGCAATGGCTGAGAGTCAAAACAAACAATAACAGATAAATATGCAAAGGAGTGTAGGGCCACGATGGCAATGGTAGCAGTGCTGGACTCGGAGTTGGGCCAGAGTCAGGCACAGGAATGGTAGTGGCCTGGTGAGGGCCAAGTGGGTGGAGTAGGCAATGTCGTGGAGTCATGCTAGGCACAGTGCCAGAGGTGGACTCAGGGCAGGGAGGTTGGTGTGGCTGTGGGGGAGTCGGCCAAGTGCAGGGGAGCCTAGGGGCAAGTGGGGGGGTGAGCAGGGAGTCCTTAGGGAGGATAGGGCTAAGGTTGGGGCTCACACTCACACTTGCACAGTGGGGATGGGCTCAGGCGGCATCGGGATGGGTGGCTAACAGGCCAGAATGCATGGCTGTGACACAAAGATGGCATACACATGTGGCTTTGTAAACAATAGACAAGCATGCAAAGGCATGCTGTTACAATAACTTAAATGAATTGTATATACAAGAATTGTCATATCCATACATACCTGATCCCGATCCAACTTCTGGACCCTCCACTTCACCACCTCTGGAGTCCTACCCTACCCCCATCTGCTGTAATGGGTCTATCAGACAGAAGAGAGGGGGAGGGTTGGAGTGGTACCATGCACAGGTTTGTTAACTTGGAGTGGATTGCGCTACTCCTCACTGTCTAGCTAACTATACAGCTGGTCACGGTATCACAGAAGAGTCCAAAAATGACAAATAAGGAAAGAACAATAAGAAAAGGAAACATCAGGCTCTAGTGACTAGAAATGGAATCAGAAAAATCAGGAAAAATAAGAAATATGCAGGAGAGAACATTGGCTAAGGGTGGTAGAATCACAGGATTTGGCTTGTTTATGGTACACCTGTCATATCCGTGCATACCCGACCCCGACCCGACTTCCGGACCTCCACCCTCTTCACCTCCGGAGTCATAACCTACCGCTGCCTTTCCGATACTCACCTTCGGTCTTGGCAACACACCCCTCCTCTTACCTCTCCGACCCCTTCTCCGTCCGTTCCGATACTCATCTCGGACCGAACATCGCCCTACTCGCCACCCTTCCTACAACTCCGCTCCCCCTCACCACACCTCCACCCTCCCGTCATCCCCTACGCTTTCTCCGTCCGTTCCGATATCCACCTTCGGACCTGACTACTCTTCCTTACCTGTCCCCTCTCTCCTTCCTCCGTCACTCCTCCGCCACCCTTCCGCCAAGTTACGACCATCCACCGCTGTTCCGTACTTCACACTCGGACACCGTTCGTACCTTACTCCGAGCCTCCGTCATAGTCCATACCTCGGACTTTGACTCCACCTCGGTCTTAGTCCATTGCATTGGTGACCTCATACTACGTAAACACCATTGCCAATATTCCTCGGACTTCCAACCCCGCCTCCGTAACCTCCGTAAGCTCCACAACCCCCGAGCTTCGCGGACCGCCTCCGGCACTCTCGCCGTTTGTAATGTATTTCTCGCAATTCCCCCTCATCCCTATTTGGACTACTGCTTCCTTCTATTCTAGCCAGTTAGTCATCACCCCCACTTCCCCTCATCCTCCTGCCCCTCTGGGCCTCGCCCACTCTACCTCCTTTCGGATGTATCACAGGTCTTGCCCTATGACCTTCGGTACCGCTCCGCTCCCTCTAACCCTTTGTTCCCATTCGGACGTCTTCGTTCCGATTTGGTCACCCTTTGTTTCTCCTTGTGCTTTTGCCCCTTCCTTATATATATCGGCGCTTGTACATACTCGTCTGGTTTCAGTCCAAAATCGACCTGAAATGCCCCCAAGAGACTTCCTGCTCACCTACTGTGAAATTAAGGACCAAATGGACAAACAGCAATGGCACAGCGCTCCGCTTGAGTCGCTGAGGCCAAGGTCCCTCCACGCTAAGTCTCCGATTCCACTCCGGAGTCGTCCGTTTCCGCCCATCTCTAACAAGCTCCGGCGATGTGGTCAATCCTCACAATGGCAGCAGTTGGCAATGGGAACGTCGGCCGCTTGTTGTCTGTACAAAAAGAAGCCCAGGAGGGTGCGAGAGGGCGCAGCACAAATAACATGAGAGACCCGTGGCTGGTGAGTGAAAGAAGCTCTGCTTACCTGGTGTGCTGATGCTGCTCTATAGGGATGTACTGTGACAGCTTTAATCCTGGCGTACTTCCGTTCTGTGAAAGCGAACATGATGCAGACAGTAATTGGCAACACCCTATTCACAACTAGTGCTCACCGGTCAGTCCATGCCATGCTGGGTCGCATGGGTATCGCAACGGCATACAGCAGTACCATTGGACGACTCCACAGTCTTGGATTAGATAAGAAAGCAATAGGGCGCGTGGTTGTTGCAGGAAAAGTTCAGATTCACCTCCTTTATGACAACATCAATCAGTACCACCAGGCATGGAGAGCCAACTTGACGACTCAGAGTGCGCTGGAAAGCGGGATGGCAGCAACGGTCATTGTAAATCCGGATGTGGATCCAAAAGCGTTCGATGGCCCAGGGTATTACCAACGGTGTTATAAAAATGGGGCCTAATTGGCCCATTTCTATAGCGTCCGGGTGCAGGAGGGGGCCGTGACATTGAGAAGATGTTACAATTAATGTAACAGATGTTGTAACAGTGGGGTTTACAATAACATGGACATCAGGTGTTTTGGGTGATAATGGATGGTTAGGTTGTTATTATATACATGTCACGTGATAATACACTGTACAGAGGCCATAAGAGGCTAAAAATGGGAATTTCCCATTTCGATAACAAACGGAAAGCCGAGGCTACAGGAAAGGGAGAACTCACATTCGAGAAGCTCAAGTTGGACCTTGATGCCAACCAATTGGAAGGTGCTGCAGTCGCAAATATCCTAAGGATTCTCACCAAATACATCCCTGAGTTGGCACGATTCAAGCGGGATGTCGACGATTTCCAATACAAGAAGCACGCAAAGCACCGCATCAAGCTGGAGAAGACAGAGTATCATCCACTAGAGTGCTCGGGCTTTAATGAGGCCTACACTCAGGGAAACCGCGATGTCATTCTTGATGCATTTGTCCGTCAGTTAGGAGTCAGCCACAAGGAATTGGAAGGGAGGCAGTTTCCAGTGTCCGGCAATCAATCTACCATTGCACGCATTCGCACGTTGCTTGCACAAACATCGACATGCCGCACCTGGTTTACTTCTCATAAATGGGTCCTTCCAGTCATCAAACTTTGGCACATGAAATGGACATTTCTGAAGGGTATTTACAAAGCACACTGGGCATCTAAAGTCGGCAAAGGCGATATCGGTCTTCACTTTGCAGCTGATCGACTGGGGCATGAGATTAACCCTGATAAAGTCGACTTCTATCCAGGTTCCCGGCTTGCTGAGGTTGTTCTAATCACCATGACTCTCCATTTTTCCAGGTAAACATTCATTCCCACTTTCAATTCGTGTATTTCGACTGATGGGAACATTGGAAGAACCATATTACGTGGACACTCAGCACCCCAATTATTGGTGTCTTCAGGTCGCGCTGATAGGCTCCACCTCTTGGAAGAACTGAGGACTTACTGTAAGCCTGGATTCCCCTTGCACAAGTGTGGTTTCTCGTTTCTCCTTCAGCTTGCACGTACCATATATACAACCTATGGAACTACTGAGGCCGCGACATACGCTCAACATCATAATACCAGCACTGCCGAAGGGTTTTTTAGTGCATGTGTGCCCAATGTCCCCACCCCCAACCCCAGTTCCTTCCCCAATCGTCACCTTCGGACCCTGATCTTGACCATGGGCTTTCCATTACGAGCGCCAACAACGACGACAACGATCACAACACAGATAGGTTGGGCAACGGCGCTGGTGCACCACTTCCTAGCCCAGCCTCTGTTCTGCCTCAGCGCCAGACAGACCTCAACAATGCAAGTGAGGATGTGCAGCCTGCCCCTTCAGCTGACAATCCCGAAGGCGACACACTTCTTTATAACAACATTCTCCTTTATCGCGATCTCTTGCATCTTTATGAGTTCAATACAAGCGTTGAAGGAGAGAACGAAGGAAGGTCAGTTGGGAGGTTCAAACGAGACCACCACCAAGCTGTTCCCTGGTTCTTTAGTTAGGATGGGGAAGTGTACTAGTGTTATTTATTGTAAATATAGTACCAATCCGAGTGTTTTGGCTAATTCTATTTTTATGGGTTAGTTTTAAAGTTCCTGAGAATTGACTTACAGATAAACCGAGCCCTGCGGAGCTGTTTCTTTATTGAAATTTATTAATTTGTCTAGGTGTAATTCTGTGTAGCGTTGTTTAATTTGGATTTAAACTTGAATTTAAACTTGTACTTGGTGAAGTTTCAAAGATTCTATTCAGTTAATGAATTTGGATTCTGTCTGGAGTGTCCCTTGAGTTTGTTTTATTTTTGTCTTATTTTATTGCTTGTTTTAACAGTAGCAAAATAACTGTTTTGTGTTTACACTTTGAAATCTGGAGTGTTAACCAGCTCTCCTCTTGAAATATCTACTTAATATTTCTCTCCTTTATTGCTGCCTTTTACTACAGTGGCAATCTTAACTGTATATCACTTTTTTGCACTGGAGTGACAACCAGAAATGCTTGAGAAAAATAATACTCTATTTTCTTACTTCTCTAAGGGGGGCGAAAAGTCGCAGAAAGGGTCTCCCTTTTATACTCCTTGGGTCGCCTTCCTTTTTCACGCTCTACCTTCTATTTACAGGATTTATTTACAGTGTATTTTTCTCAAACTGAATAAAAAACGAAAATTTCATGCTATAGTTCTACTGCGCTTATGCTGCGCTGAACTGCGGTTCTACTGTGGTCAGACTGCACCTAGAATTCTTATTGTCCTCCCTCGCCTAAGCTATTTTAATGGTTAATTGGAACTTGACTGCGCTGTATTTGTCGCAGTTACCTATTTCAAATTCCCTATATATTTGCTATGACTCGATGATTCTGAATTCAAACTTCGCATTATTATGCGTACGGCTGTGCTGAGACCTTCAGCTGATTTATTCCAATTTTATTTAGTGACATTTACTTAAAATGAGACTGAAATGATAAATGAGTGAATTATTCAGGTTTAAAACTGAAAGAAAAAGTTGCTAGTAGTCAAGAATTACTCAAACGAATGTGTTATAGCTCTCCACTTCATTAGAACATCGTTCCCTAAAATTCCCGCCATGGTCCGTCGTAGTTTAGTGGTTTTCGTGAATTTCGTTCATATTCCCTGATTCCCTTTTGTATTATCACATTCTAATCCTCCATATGTATTGTTGGTTGTTATAGTAGGTTGTCCTTGAAGATATCATATTTTTATCTATTTTATTTAGGACTCTGGACCCCTTGAAGCTGTCTTCCCGCGCGTTTTCAGGTTTCTAACTTCATGTCCTTGTATCTCATTCATTTCTGGATGTTTTCTCACGCTCTTGGTATCATAAATTTTTATTTATTCCCACCTTTCCAATGGTACTAAGATTGTGTCCTATTTCCTGGTATTCGTTGAGTTAGCAAAGATTCGCACGCACATTCGGTAATCACGTGCATCGTTCCCATAGTCGTTTGTATGCGGGAGCCGTTTTCGTTTAATTGTTCGGGATTTATGATATGCGTGGGTGTTTATTTCTTTCATATGGGCTTCTGTGATTTATTTCAGATTTTTCCCTCATGATCTAAGGTTGTTTTGCACTTTCCATGCTTTGTTTTGACCGGGCTCTTCCTTATTTGGACGGAAATTGGTCTTCGCGATCTGCCGAAGTGCGGATCTCGGTTCTGACAGCCGGTTCCCTGCGCATCGCCACCCTCACATGTCATTACACATGATGCGGATTTCTATATTCCCATCATGGGTATAGCTTCACAACGGCTGGACCGTTTGGGCTGAAAATTTGCATATCTATAGTTCCCCATTTTTAATAATTTCTGTGTAAATTTCGTTGTATGTTTTAATTATGGATCCTATGCAAACATCGTCTTTTCCCTGAGCTCGGACTTTTGATGTCGCTATTCCCGTTATTGGATATCTCATTAATGCATGATCCTTTTATTATGAAACTTTGGGAGGATTAAGTTTAGATCCCTTCCTTTCTAATGGGCTATCAAGCTTGTCTCGGTCGTTACTAGTTAATCTTCGCGCTTGCCTTTTAGACATTGTCCTTGTTTTGCAGGAGTTTTAGTCATATCTCCGTCGTTTATGGGTAGTTTCCCCTGTAATTACTCTCATTGGGTCCGTTTGGGGGACATCTACATTTCCTATTATAAACACGACTTTGACTTTTGCATTAGTTCCTGAGGAATCTTTGTTCCGTGGTACTTCCGTCCTTGGCTACGTGTGCGGATGTGGGAAAGTAGTTTTCGTGGAGGTTCTCTGGTTATTTTTATAGTCAAATCTTGGTCGATTGTCCTAATTCTTGGTTTGATATTTGCTATAAATTCCCCCGAGAATTCCGTCTCATTGGTGGTAAGCTTGAAGTATTTTTGCTATTTTTCTTTCTTTCGATTTATCGTGCATAGTCATAATAATTCGTTAAAATTCAGGTCCTTCTATTTTCTCATATCTACTTGTCGTATGAGGTTTTGTGATTTATCTGGCATATTTCCATAATGGGTTTCCATAGTGTGGCCGTTATTTCTCCTACAGCGTACATGATGGCAACATTGGCCGGACATATGAAATCATCAAGGTGTTCATTCCACGCTGTCCCCACATAGAAGCGCTTACATTTGATTACAGTGGCTCTGCTTTTATTTTTTTGGGGTTGGTTCCCCAAACTATGGTAATGAACTTCTTCACCAAGTGTGTGACTTTTGGTGGCATTTGTCACCAGAGACCCACTTGACAATACTCACTTGTTATTTGGTCAACCCTTCTGGATTGCCAGGGCAGTTCCATGAGCACGATCTTCTTCAAGAGCACCTCAACTTTTGGCTGAAGCATGTTTTCAATGGGCGGAAGAACGCGTTTGACTCAAGTTTTCTATGGGAAGCTGTATCTCTAAACATCGTCGATCTCCGTGAGCTCCTACAAAGCTTCTTGGGCATGCTTGGGATTGCTCGAGTGCACCCAGGTCGAACCCAAGCAGACATAGAGGCTGATATCAATCATCTCGGCCTTAGCTATCTTCAATATTCGCTGCACCAATATTCTCCTGGCCACAACCAAACAACGATTTCCCTAGACGGTTTTGCATGTGGAGAGGAAAAAATCAGGAAAGTACTTCCAATGTTCCTTCAGAAATACATGATATGATGACTATCATTCTTTATTACGACACATCGTTACATCTTACAAGTTCTATTCAACATCCTGATCGGCATTTGCAGCCTTTATGGTGAGTTTGATTGACCTTTTCCCCACTTGTCGGGGCCTCCCAAGTATAGTTGCTGATGATGTCTCTCCTTTGCCCAGTGCACCATTATCGTCATCTACCATCCTGTTCAGTGCTTTACGCTTACGAGATCCCTTCCCCTTCTCCCTTATTTCCAGTTCTCTCTCCCATCTCTTATTGGAATCCTCGATCACCTCGATCAGCAATTCTGTCTCCGGAGCGTCCAATCCAAATTCCTGGCCCCAAGCCTCGACAAGCACCTCGCATCTTTCCCTGCAATATCCTTGGTGCATTCCCGATGCCAATTGTTCCAGGGATTGATCCGGTGTAACAACTGAGGGGCCATCAAGGTTTGTCATTTCCCGAACCCCCATTTCTTTATGCATTGACCAGATACTCTCTCGCCAGTTCCATAGGAGCTTCAGGGAAACCTTTATCATCCCTGGACTATACTTCTCCAGGTTCTGGTCATCATGGGGCAGTGAAACAAGATTAGCGTTCCTCGGTCGTGTAAGTTTTTCCATATAGTGATCCGTTGCTGATTGATAATCATTTGGTGGCCCAGGTGTGCATCCAGGAGCCTCACAACATTGCTCTGGTCGATAGTAGGGCTCATCATAATATCCACACAACACATGCTGATAGCACTTTGGATGACCTCGGTTGAAATACTCCACAAATCCCGGTGCACATTTATCTCGGTAAGCCACTCGTGCTGCAAGGGTGTTCTTTGACATCTTCTTCTTGTTGGCTTGGTCACCATAGAGGTCAAAGTTATTTTCGATTCGTATTTTGTCAGGTGCGTATATTATAACATGGCCTCCACTCCCATCACGGCTTGCCCGGCCATTCCACTGAGTCATTGACTCAAAGTCTGCAGGAAGGTCAAGGATGATTACGTCCTTGACTGACATGTCAAGCCCGACGTTACCCGCTGTTGTCACGACAACTATCCGAACAAGCCCCTGTTCGAGCTCCAGAAGAGTTTGGATGCGATCCTCTTGTGGTATAATCGAATGGAATGGGAAGACCAAGCCGTGTTCTTCAGTTATAAAAGCCTTCAGCTGGGTATGTAGCCATTTTACTAGTGCATCGGCAATTGCAATGGTGCCAACTGCAATCAGAGTAGGTCATATAACATCGGGGCTTGCAAGATCATTGGGAACAAGCCATGCGAGATCTGGGAACTCAGTCCCATGTATTGAATGTTTCAGGATACACGCCCCATAGACCAGGTCTTGGCAGTCAATTGGGAGTGATATATCTTGAAATTGTCCTCGTTGAAAACCTAACACATTTTGCGTTTTAGGTCGCGCAATTGCGGGATCCATTGAGCCTGACATTGCTAGGAAGGTAACATTGGAGGGAACCAGTGCCTGGAGGGTACCAACAGATTTGTATGCTTCTCGGAAACTTCATGACCAAGGTATGACTAGGTGAGCTTCGTCGATCACACAGAATCCCAATTTATTTTTGAAGATCCTAGACCCAAGCAACCCCTTGAAGGCAAGTGTGTTTATTCTTTCTGGGGCACATCCTATAATGTCATACATCCCTGACATTGCTTCCTTCCAGAGGTCGCAGGGAGGTTCACACTGCAGCGCCTCCATGCATGACTCCTCATGCAGTGCTAGAAAGCGCATTCCTTTAGCGTGTGCATTCAGCTCCTGATGAATCATTGTTAGCAAAGGTGGTCCCACTTAAAGTATGGGGAAATGGCCCACTTGATCATCCATCAGTGCATGGGTTGGGTATATCACTAAGGTAATGTGGGGCCTGTTCATTATCGTCCGTGCCATAACTGAGGCCAGCATGAGAATAGTTTTCCCGCTTCTGGTTGAAGAGGTTAGGAACACATCTGTCCCATTATACAAGTGGAGTGTGTTTTCCACCTGCCACGGCCTTGGAGAAGCAAATCCAAACCAGTTTCAGATGATTGCTTCCATCCAAGCCTCACTTCCTGGATGGAAAAGTGCCACGCTCTGCTGGAGAGACAGAATTCTTTCTTCATATGGGGCTTCCATCTTCCCAATCGGTGTCATTCTGCTAGCATGCGATGTTGATCGATAACAATGAGAGTGTACAAAAATAGAAGTTGTTCCGGCGTTGAGTCCATCACATCAATGTGTCAGGGCACAGCCCTTGACCCCACTCACCCTCAGACACCCTCACCCTTCTCCTAACCACCCTCTCTCCACATTTCCCCATTCCCCTTATCCTTCCCCCCACTGTTTCACATAATGACGCACGCACACGAACCCATGGGAACGTTCTGGGCGAGCGACTCGCCCAGAAATGTACAGCCACAACCGTGGGAACATTCTGGGTGAGCAGCTTGCCCAGAACTTTCCCACGGGTCACACCCGTTATGGAAAGTCGGCAGCAAGCGGGAACTGTATAGTTCCTAGGGTCCTTTTGTGTCGGCCTCACAGGGGGCTGAGAAGCTTACCCTTCTTCTCAGCTCATTCCCTGTGAAGGCTGAGGCCAGTCCCCTCAGCGACTTCGAGGAGTTAGCACCCGGGGAGAGTACCCCAGCTTCCACACCCGGCCTCACCCTCCGGCCACTCCCAGCTGGGGTCCGGATCCTGACACAATGCTACCATTTTGGGACATTTAAATACATTTCTGTACCTTAACGCAAATTGAAATTTGACCCCTATTCAGTTGGTTGAGTTGGGTCCTTGACTAGAACACTCATCAATTACATATCCCATTATGGTACAGACTAGATATAACAATTGTCATCCCTCTTGTCAAAAACCCGTCGGTTATGGAAGAAGGGGTGAATGCGTGAGTCCGAATGCAGGTGGGGGCTCAACTAGAGGGGGATCCGAGGGCTCCGGTGATGAACCGAAGCTTCTCAGGGAGCCCGGTTCTGCTGGATGGTACAAGAGGCTCTAAGAAGGACGCGGCCTCAGCGACTTGGAGGGAGCGCTGTGCCTCCGTTACGTCTCTGTTAGTCCTTGTATTTCTTATGTCTGAGGTGTCTTGTAGAACAGAGACAGGAATCACTCAGAGGGACTTTGGGTGGCATTTTAGTCGAGATTAGAACTGAGGAACTACAGGTTCTAATCTACGTGTATTTATAAAAGTGGATGGGGAGGACTTTAGTCAAAGCCCGAAATGACAAAACGGGGAAAACACCGAAAGGTACCGATTGATACCGAAAGGTACCGAAAGGTTCCAAACGATATCTAAAACAGGGAACCGAGGTGTCGGGCCAAGGAGGGCAGAGTTGGAGGCCGGAGAATGAATGGGGAAGACAAATGGGGAAGGGGGGTTAGCCGACTGAATGGTAGTAAGAAGGTAGTCGTGCTAAGAATGGAAGATGACTAATAAGTGGTAGCGTGAAGGAGATCACCGAAGGATACGGTTAGCTCCGAAAGCGGAGTTGCGTGTCCGAAGGATGTTGGGTGACTCCAATAAATGAAGTGGGCGAGGGAATGGTTTAAGGGCATGTCACGGGATGTCGGAGGTCCGTCAGGATATCGGAGCAAATCCGGGGTCTCCGAATGTTCCGACTCGGGACCGAGGTTCCGGGATGGGAGTAGCCAAGGTTCGGTGTGCCGCAACCAGACCGGAGCTGAGACAGCCAGGAGGGAAGGTGATTTGGAGAGTGGGGAGGCATGGTGTAGGGGATGGTGAAGTTGTTAGGAAGGTGTGATGTGGTGGGAGTGTGCGGGGTCGGGATTCCGGGATATGACACCTCTATAAGAATGGATTGAGAAAAGGGGAATTCTCCCCATCCTCATAACATACACGTCCATGCCCTAATTTACTAACTGGCAACGAGAACTAAAAGGGGGATAACTCTAGTTGATTTTATCACTAGGGTGTAACCTATCTACAAGTTATGTATATATAGTTACATAGAGGGCAGGCCCATAAATGGCAGGGCCAAGCAGAGCAGAGCTAACAGAGTTACCTGTTAGCCAACTGAATATTACTGACAAGTTGGGTTACAGGGTTAGTGGAATGGCAGGCTATAACCCAGAAATGGAAAGGAGGAAGCAAGTGAATTGCCCAATGGGGGCAGGAGTGCGCTAGCGGACATTGGAGCTGTCTGGAGGCCTTCAGAAATCCGTACTTAGGTGTCAGGGACGCGTCCGGGGTCGAGAGGGCCCGGGGGTAATATCCGGCACTGAGGCCGTCGCGGGGTGTGGAGCGGGCATGCGTACTGGCGGGCCTGATCCGGGACAGTGGTCCCTGGCCACTCAGACTGAAGTGGAGAATGTGAGAAGAAGGTTACTTCTTCGGTTCTCACTTCAGGTACATTTATGTACATGCGGCTTGAGTCACATGACAGGTGCCACGTCATCCTCGGAGGCAGCCGCAGGCATCCGGGTGTCCCCGTGGGGGATCCCGAGAGTGTCCGCTACATGCGTGCATGCTGGGCACAGCGGGAAGCCGTCCGGGGTGTGTGGGCCGGACGGGTCAATAGTACATCGATACAAAGGAAGGTGGTCCGTGTAGATAGAAAGAAATAAACAGGAAGAGGAAGATGAGAAGAACGAAATAAAGAAAGGGGAAAGAAGAGGGAAAAGAAAGGGGAGGAGAGGGAGGAAGGAGGGGGGAGGGGGATAGACAGCGGGGAGCGGGTGTGGTGTGGCCGGGTGAGCCCGGGTGGGCCCGGGTCAGGCGGGTGTGCCCTGACATTAGGGAGGTGTAGGAAATATATTGGATTGAGGGGGTGGTGACCATTGAGGGAGTTGGAGGTGATTGTGGAATATTGTTAGAACCATGCGGATTCAGACGACTCCGGAGTGGAATCGGAGACTTAGCGTGGAAGGACCTCGGCCTCAGCGACTCAGGCGGAGCGCTGTGCCATTGCTGGTTGTCCTAGGGGTCCCTAATTTCGGATCTAGCAGAGGGAAAGTCTCTTGGGGGGAATTCATGTCGATTTCGGACTGAGGTTACAAGTTACTATGTACATTGTATATAAGGAGGGGTCCGGAATCAAAAGGAGCGAGGGTAGGACGAAAGGAGACAAAGGGAGATGGAAAGGGGAACAACACCGAGGGTCAAGGGTTTGACTCAATGGTGTTTCTCAAAGGAGGAATGAAGGGCCATGGCCCAAGGAGGAAGGAAGGAGGTTGGGAGTGGGGAATGGCTAGCTGACTGAATAGAAAGGAAGCAGCAGCCCAAATAGGAATGAGGGAGAATAGTGGAACTGAATGGAGCAATGCAATAGTTGCAAGGTCCGATGTAAGTCCAGAAAGTCCGAACTCGGAAGTTAAACTCCGGAATATTGGCAAACATAATTAAATGGAATGAGCTAACCAATACAATGGGTATAAGCGGAGGTGGGGTCAAAGTCCGAGGTCGGAGCTAAGACCGGAGGTTCCGGAGACGGAGACGTGAACGGGATTCCGGAGTGGAGGTCCGGAGTCGGGAGCATAGGTTTTGTGTACTCGTCTGGAAGGTGTCGAGGTTGGGGTCGGACCCGGAATGTTCCGGAGTCGGACCGAAGGTGGTGTCCGAGCCGGAGGTGGGATAACCTCTTGGGAGTCGGCAAGGAGAAGGTGACAGAAGGGAAGTAGGACTCCGGAAGTCGGAGTTCGGAGTTCCGGGAGCCCGGAGCGGAGGTCAGAATTGTATGGATATGACAAATATGGAGGCTCCAAGGTTAGTGACGAAGGAGCGGAGGTAATCCGGAAGGGTCGGAGGTAGTGGAGGACGATGGCCATAGATGGATATGACAGAAGGGGTATGTGACTTGAGGGGGAATGTTGGAATACAAGTCACATGATGAAACTGAACCGGAATATCCGGGAATATTCTACAGGTTACTAGGCACCTGCATAAGCACTGGGCATAGAAGAATCTAGAATATTATTGAAGAGTATGAATATGGGCATGGGAGCACTGCATGTACTTTAGTTACAGTTTCTCTTCTCATTTCTATATTACATCTGGGTTGCGAGTGAACCGCTGAAGCGGGTTGCCATATATGGAATGCCGCATTTACAACAATGTGGATGAGGGTGGACAGCCGGGATATTTGAACACTGTCACGACCCGGCGTTCCCCGGGGCCAGACGACCTCCTCCCTGACCCTCTCCCACGCCCGAACACTCCCCGCACACTCCGCTCGCCGCCCGTCGCCGTCTAACCACTTCCTGCCACCTCTCCACAACCCCTCTCTTGATTGTCGTTGAACGACCTAGCGGCGCAGAGCGCCGCGACCTGTTGTTCCATGCTTCACCGCACCTTGTTACCTCGCGGCGAAGGTCACGCTTGACCTTCGCTGTCGTGAACACGTGCTCTTTGTTTGTTTTCCTCTTTCCTTTCTCCGCCCGCAATCTCCGCGAGATCTGGCAACTTATTCCCCATTCAGTTCCCTAGCGCTTATATACAGCTTGTAGCTAATGCTTGTACTGTAGTTCGAAATCAACTAGAATTACCCCTAGAGCTTACCTCTGTCCCCGCGAGACCTCTGACCTTCTAAGTATCGGGACCGCGTCGAGAACGAGGCGCAACGCTCCTCCTAGAGTCGTTGAAGCCGAAATCCCGGCTCTCTCGCCTAAGTAGCCTCGGCCTCGAGATCGGTGGGGTTTATTCCTCGCTAAAGCTCGGTCGTGTGTAGGACGCCTATTCCACTAGCGGGCAACGCTCGGTCGCCTACGGCTACCCTCGGCGAAGATTCGCACGGTTCTGACAAACACAGGATTTGTATGCTGGCCCAAGTGACTGCAGGAAAGGGGATGATGTGAAGTGTGAAGGGAATTAAAAGTCATCAAGTGATTGTGCAAAAATGCGGTCTGGAGGTGAAAAGGAATGTATTTTGAAATCAATGAATTGTATTGTTCTCAAGCCAAAGGCTGTCAACTTGTATAACAAAGAATAATGAATAAAGGAAATGCACACAAGTGCACATCATCCATTCACTGTCCATTCCTTACCTCACAGTCCAGTTTCTTGACTGTTTCCTCCCAATCATCATCAACCTTATCACTATTGTCTGATACTACAGGGCTGCTTGTCTGGCTGTCAGGTACACATTTTAGTTTGTCCACCATCTTCCAAATTGCCAGTGACAGTTGTTTTTGAAGCTTATCCTCAAGGGAGCAAGCAACTTCAGAAGATATCCCAATACTCGGAAGGGCCCATGGGGATATTTGACCATGTGAGCCTGGGAGGCTGAACTGAATATCTGTTGAGTTCAGGAGGGTTGCAAGCATGTTGCAGCACCAACAACATTTTTTAGCAACTCCAATTGTCCTTGGCTTATTGGAAGTGCCCTTCAAAAGAAAGATTAGCAGCATGCCTCCAAAAATGTAGGACACCAACAACTTACATGAAATATGTCTGGAAGTCGGGTATTCTGCATGTTGCCATCTTGGCCATTGTACTGTGCAATGGCACCCATCAGAGATGCTTCACAGTGGACCATGCCATGAAACTCCCCGGACTTTGGAAGCTTCCGAGCAAATTCCCAGAACCATGAATGCACAATGGAGTTGTGGCCTTTTGACTGATCCTCCCGGTCTTGAAGAGATTTTTGCAATATATCTGCGAAGATTGGTAGTGCATTTGCCATTGCTTTTGGCTCGGCAGGAGGAGCAGTGATCACGAGATGGAGACGAGGCCTCGGGGTACGTCGTATACGTGAACTGGAAAATAAAAAATCTGTCGCAGTGATCCACGCAACGACATTACCAAGGTATCGCATGGTAAGAGCGACCGAATCCTCATCTGTCTCAGCAGTGAGCTCTAAATTGTCGGTATGTGTGTCATCGAAAGTCTGGCTTTGGGGATCAGCGGAGCCTTCTGGGTTTTCGGTATTGGAGCGAGCTGATGAAGAGGTTGTGCTTTTAGATCGTGGGGACAATGAATACATTACAAAATATTGTACCTCGCTGACGTTTGAATATTTCTCGGTCCAGGATAGCGTTGACAGAATCCAGTTCAAGCAGATATTTGAATCCCTCTGATTTGATCAATAATTGGAGCAATTTTAAAGCAATCGCGCCCTTGGTGGTGTTGCCTGCCACTTTATTGCCGTCTAGCTTGAAACATTCCTTGCACCATGATAGATACGATGTAAATGTTTTCATCCAAAGTGGAGCTATGTCCTTCGTCCAGGATGCGAAATATTTCCCGCGGGACCATCGGCATTGGATGCCCCTCTTCTGGAATAGGATAACAAGGCGTTTTGGTATTTCACACTCGGACTTCACAAAATGGTCCCTGTCGCTGGGCTTCCATCCTTGGAGAATCTTATCTAACGTCGTATCTTGAAAGATGAACTTGTCGGATCGGAGTCGATGGGAGATGATCGATGCGCATCGCCGAACGATGAATGTAGTGATACGTCGAACGACACGGGCGTGTTCGGTTCCACCTCGCCGTACGGCACGGATATTGTTAAATAAAGACATTACGTCTGCTGCATGCTGACTCAGAGTGATATCCTCTGGAGGGCGGTCGCTAAATGCAATGGTAATGATGAATCAGAGCGACGCGCAGAAAGAGGTGTTGGTCACCTGCTCAAGAGTTCGTCGCGTTGGACGTCGTCTAGATCTTTAGATTCAATCTCAGCGACACCAAGTTCATAATTAAGGCCATCTGATTTGGGATTCTGGGTGGTAACAAAATCGTTTGAGAGCCCACTCTCAGGGGTGTCTGGATATTCGCCGTCGTCTCTATCAATCATCGCAAGGATATTCACGGAATCCACCATCGTTCGCGTGGTGACTGCGAAGGGTCGAATGTTCGGCCCCATCATGCCTCTCTTATCCGTACCACGAGTGAGGAGCGTGGCAATATGCATCGCAACTTTAAACTCGATTGACGAGGGACCTTTGGTAGGAGAGCTAGCTTGAGGATCGAGCCTTGACAGGATCGTGGTAAGGGCACGGATTCTCAGGTCAATGTTGCCGAGGGTCGGGGTGGCCTGGCTTGGCCCTTGGCGATCTAACCAACTAAGCATAGTCTTACTAGAAGTGGTAGACGGTGTATGGTTTCGTGGAGGGACAGCAAAAGGGACACTGGTTCAGGTGACTCACTTTCGAAAAAATTAAACGGATAATAACAACATATTCCACCGCAGTTTCACCACCCCGAAGTTTTGCAAAAAAAAACAACTTTGCACGTGAGCAACTGGCACCGAGTTCTGGCTTTCCACATGCTGAAGTTCACGGCTAGATTAGGTTAAGTAGGTCCCCAGCTGCGGCCGATGCGACTGGCACTGATGACTCGCGTTTATGGGATTTAGATGGGACCGCGGCAGCGGGTGAGGATATTGCCATTGAGGCGTCCATCCGAAAGCGTGCATGGCAGTGCTGAGCTCGGTCTTTCAAACCGTGACCCCAAAGCTGAGCGTATATGTAAGCAGGCTACCAGCCTCTATTAATATAGAGCGTATATGTATATGCTAACGAGTGTGCCCATGCCCAAGATCCGTGAACACGGGCATGATTAGAGCCAGTGGTGGTGCAAAGAATTAATCCTGGCCCATGTAGCACTATCAAGCGCGGGAGCCCTGGTGTACTGAATACCGAAGAGCTCTGTCATCCCCACAGCAGACAAGAGGTGAAACTCAGGGAAAACTGACTGTGGCGAGAACTTCGGATTCCCTCTCAAGGCAGGTTTTTGCAGTGTCCTCTTGCAGAGTGTTTGGATGGTCCCACGATTATAATATTGCCCAATGCGGGTCATTAATATCCCAGATTAAGCGCTCATTTGGAACGTCTGCATGCAGGCGACATGGACCTCCCCCCCGGTTTGGGCGATCAAATATCGAGTATCACTGAAGTCCCACAGACATGTCAGCCTCTCGGCATCAATAAGCTTCCCATTGAAATCATTCGGGAAATCTTCGTGCTTGGGAATTCCTTCCCTATCCAAGAAATCATTTCTAATGACATTTCTACCAATGTAGCGGCAGTATCGAGATTCTGGCGTTCCGTGGCTCTGTCAGAACCCCGACTTTGGTCGAAAATTTGTTTGAAGTTGGGTGATAAACGGTGGTTAGGGGGATTTGATCAGTTCACTTCCTATCTCGAGAGATCGAGAGGTGCTCGAATCCACCTTTGGATTGCCAATTATCGCGGCGCACCAATGGATGCCCAGTGTCGATCAATGGAATTAGCCGCACCTCACTTGGATCGCTGTTATTCATTGATCTATGACGATCATGAGTTCCACATGCCCAATGCCTGGATCCCATTGACTCACCCATTTCCGTCACTCAAGGAACTAGACATCTTCTTGACGCCGCGGTGGAGAATTGGACTCAATCCAGAGGCCATTCAACTCGGGCCGAATTTGAACCTCCACGAGTTCAAGCTTTCACATTCACATTTGCACACCGGCTTCCTTGCACCATTCAACGTCTCGAAAAGTTTGAACTTGACAAAGCTGCCCGCTTTTACGGTATTCAGTGTGCTCAGACGCAGCCCCGAAATCGAACGGCTCAGAATCTCGCTCCACTGGACGTCGATCCTTCCTTCGTCCCTCTATTCTCTATCACTTCGCAATCTCCGAACACTCGAAGTAGATGCTGGGCCCTTCCCCTACGAGATCGCTCCGCGACTCAAACTCCTGCGTGTAGCGCAACCACAGAGCTTAAAGATGTTGACTTCGTCTTCCGCTCTGGGATATGCCGACTCTCTCGCAATGGTAAAAGCCCTTGACTTGCGGGGTTGGGTGACTTACGGGCAGGGAGAAAGGTACCTTGTTCACTTCAGCTCCCTTTTCGCCCTTTCTTTGCGTTATCGCCGAGGTTTGGAGGCCCTCATCGAGTTCCTCGCCCCTGATGGACAAGCGGTACAGGATCGCTTCAATACCTCTGATTCTCATGAATCACGCAACGTCCAAACGCCGCCATGTCCGAACCTGAACCTCGTCATCATTGAATTTCTCGGGGAAGCTGTAGTCCCTGAGGGACTCACAAAAGCTTTGAGAAGCTTACTCCTCGGCCGTTCTGATATTACTATTATTATTGATTGGGTGGGGGCCACGGAACTTTCGCAGACGCTTAATCTGCTAGCAGGCCAATTCCCGCGCAGAGTTCTATTCCAGGTTACTGGCTGCTTCAACTTGGACGTTGAAGAGCTTAGGATCAGTTTTTTCGGATGAGTACTCCCCCCCATTCGTGGGATGCCACAATTCGGCTCTGAATTGGCTAAGAGGGTGAGTTGTGAGTTGATGTCACGATACCTTCTGACATATTTGGTACGTCTCACAAGCAGCCCCTCTCTGGAACTCCCAGTGCCGATCGTCATGCCACCACGCCCAGCTGCCGCACAGCCGCCTGCTCAGTACTACCTCGTTTTGGACCGCAAATATCCTGGTTCTCGGATTGGCAAACAGAAAGCAACGAGAACATCATCTGTGGATATAACTTGTTGCTTGTGGAGCTGACTACGTAACGGCGCGGCACTTGAGGTCTGATGTCGATTTGGGTCCGCACTACCTTAACGATCCCCATCCTTGCAGGGATAAGGGAGATGACGCGTTCGAGTTAACGGTTTCCCCACCCCCGGAGTATAGTTTGGTGCGCTGCTCAAATGAATGATATGGATAACCTTTGTACGCACCACAAATGATCCGTCTTGTCCCTGCAAGAGACATACTCAGGTCATCAGGTACCCAAAGCGAAAATTTCCCAAGTATGTCAGCGTAGACCGATCCCGATATCTTTGCATAGTCACAGTTTCTCATAGTTTTTAATCGAGAGGTATTCAAACTGACACATGGGCTCATTCTTTGATGAGACGAACTGTTCAGGAATATAAACCTATTAATGATTCGGGGACATACTGAATGGCGCCCCATGCATGTAAGGAGCATATTAACTTAACTGGACTCCACCGGGCGTCGTGAGGGTTAAAAAGAGCTCCATCTGAACCCGGTTTGCTATCTTTGTGATCCGCGCAGCTCTCCAATCGATGGTCGAACGCTGTCTTGTGTTCAGCAAAATTAAGATGAGATATGGCTGGCATGAGGCTGGTAAAATCATGATTGTAACATAATTGACTGCAGACACCGGTCGGATTATCTTTTCGGTGCAGCCAGCTTTCACCGGACAGCCTAGACTACCTTGGGAGGTTTGAGAGGGGTCCCCTGGGTTAGCCGGACTAGGGAAGAGATCGAATTAACGTCAATCCGTACATTGGTCGAGCCGTGTCCATCTTATGGATTCGTGTTGTTTCATCCCGCACATGAAGTCCAAAACGTCGCTCAATCATGACAACAGGCCTAGCAACGGTGACACGTTATGAGTCAGTGATTGGTGTCAAACGACAGCACCACTCGCGGAGTTATGATTAAAAATCGACGATAGAAGAAAAAGTGTATGTCACAAAGTAATTGTATCCTACGAACTCGGTCGCTTCGGTGAACCCCATGTCAACGGGTCATCAAGGCCGTAATTTGCTCTTGGATTTCTGCGCATCTCCCCATCACCAGTGGTTTCTGTTTGCTGAAACGCAGCATCATTTTCTCTCTCTGGGCCCCCATCCTCATCTACTGGTGGCAGCTCTGCAATCCTGGGCTCTGGTGCGCGTGGAAGTCCTCCATTCGATGAACTAGAACCGGTCGCTCCGAAAGGTGGCAAGGACCCGCCCCTAAAGGCGTTGCCAGCCGAAATGGATGACGTCCCTGTTCGAGCAACACTGCCAAAGAGCGAAAACGGTCCTCCAGTGCTGCCCGTAGCTCCTGCTCCGAAGGAGCTGGATTGCGTGATTGGCGGATGAATTTCAGTGCCGTACATCGTTCGCTTGCTAGGCGATGGGGGAGGTGGTGAGTCCAGACTCATGTAGCTTTCCTCTTGGAAACCGAAGTCACCAACCTCATCATATCCACGCGGCGCATTGTCAATGGAGAAAGCAGGTGAGAGAGGGGCGTTCGACGTGGACGTAGGATTGGAGGCGCGCGTCGGAGATGTGGAAGGAGCGGTGTTGATGAGTTGTGGTGCAAACTCAAAGGACGGAGCACGGAATGGGTTGGAACGAGGCATAGGAAGTGTGCCAAGAGAGGGGGCAGATGACATTTTCGGCGGGCTCAAGGTAACGCTATCATTGCCCCCATCATCGTCTCGAGAGGACACCTCGCCGGTAGAGCGGGGAGTGGAACTAGCTGAGGGTGAACCGACGCTGTAGCCGAAGGAAACGGCACCTGTATTTCCAACATTGGCGGGTGATACAGAGCTATCCGCCTTGCTCACTGCTGTGCTTCCTCGAGGGGTTCTACGGGCAATAGGATTGTAGCGGCCCGAGCTACCATCCTTCCTCGATGACTTCAAGCCGTTGGACCCGGAGCCTAATGATGTACCAGTGGTCAGCGGTTTGGATGGGATGAGGGGGAAGGGAAGTGCTGAGAGGGGTGGTTGAATAAGTTCAGCAGAGGAAGAAGGGAGAGGGACAAGTGATTCTTTGGGGATTTGGGGCGAAGGGGGGTGCTGGTAGTTGGGGGGAGGTACAAGTGACGAGAAGTAAGCTGTTATGGGGCTGCTTTGTGGAGGCTCGTCATTCACAACTGGAGGGCCAGAAGGTCGTCCAAGTGACAAGAGGGCTGGTTTCCCATTGGTCCCAGCAATGGTTGTTTGCGGTTCCTCCTGTGTCGCAGGGGCAGGAGCGATCTCGCCGGTGGGATTGATGTCAGTGGAAGCGGACTCTTCAGGTGGCTCCTCAATCACAGACCGCTGTTCAGGGGGCTCTTCTTGCGACGGCTCAGTAGTCCGCGCGCGTTTTGTTGGACTAGGCTGCCCAGATGGCGATGGTGCAATTTCTTCATCGCCTCTGGACCTCTGTGGCGTACCCTCTCTGTCCCTCTTTCCGAGATTTAGTGGCGCTGGAGGCGGGAGCGTCCCCTCTACATTCTCCTTATCATCCTCAAGCGTCTTCACTCGACCCTCCAGCCCACGAGCGTACGCATCCAGAGCGTGAACTGTGGCCTTCAATGACTCGATCAATCCCTCAGTCTGCCGCGTTGACGTCTCGCCAACCCTCCTAAACTCAAGAAAATCTTCTCGTAAAGTCTTTAGGTCGTCAAGAGCCGCGTCTTTGCCCTTCCTGACGGCTTCAAGTTCCTCGCGCAATTGAGCTGTGCGTTCGCGCTCGAGGCGGAGAGATTCGGTGAGCGAATTGATGGCTACCTTTGAGGCTTCAGTATCAAGTGCAATGCCTCTGAACTCCTCCGAGCCTTTGAGAGTCTCGAGAAGAGTGCTGGTACTACTACTCTTTGAAGGGGTTGTAGGTGCGGCGGGAACCGCAAAGAAGGGCGCAGATATGATCGAAGGACGGTTTATAGGCTGAGGTCCAGTCTGAGACGTCGATGCAACGGGTCCTTGTGCTATAATCGATTTGTCAGATATGAGCGCCGTTATCACGAATTTAGATCCAAACATGCTTACTTGAAACAGACTGGGATTCGAGCTGCTTGGATGTCGTCTGAGGCGATGCTCCGGAGCCAGTGTGGTTAACGGAGGTACGGCGAGAAGGGATCTCTACAATCACCCCAGCTGAACCAAGGGATTGGCGTGAAGCTGAAGTGTCTTTACTTGAAGGAGGACGCCCCTGTTCTTCTTTCTCCGTTGCCTTGCCTTTCCCTCCACCAGAAACAGAGGCGGGTGTCCTGCGTGTTCTTGACGATGTACCGGCGGGGCGGGATGTTGTTGAGTTAGAGGGCTTGGCGGAGGCTTGACGTCGCGCTGGTCGCTTAGGTGGTACCTCCTCGTCGCTCGACACGATACTGCCCTTCGATTTAACAGAAAACCCCCCAGGTTTGGACCTGGCGACAGATTTCGACGAAGTCGATATTGACGGGCCAGGAATCTTGGATGTGCCTGGCACGACTCGAGGTCTTCCAGAGGACGACTCAGATGCCGAGGGCACCCTCCTCGCAGTCGTCGTAGTTGTTGTAGACGGGCCACTATCCAGGCGTTAAATGGACCCCTGTAAGGATTCCACCAATCAAGTTGCACGTTCCAAGGATCGCACCTTTTCTTAAGCTTCTCCATTGCTTTCTGCAATTCTATGACAAGTTCATCTGTCTTGAGGTTCGCCTTGATGTTATGCTCCTTTGCAAGCGACTGGAGTTCGGCGCGTTTCTTCGCTTCAAGTTGAGTCCGAGAGAAAACCGCAGGCATGATACAACTTCGTTGAAAGGGAATCGGTTATATGTCGAATACTAATGTGGAACGACCCTGAATGCGCAAAAAAGCTAAGCGTGAGAGGGCAACGTCGCGCGCCCTTGCAGATTGCGGCAAGCACGAGTTGGCTGTTGGGGAGCGGTTGGAGTGCAATGAAATGGCCTCGACGAAAATACATGTCAATATCAAAACAACCTAGCCTCGGCGAGCAACTTCGAACTCCCAATCCCAAGAGATGATAATTACAAGCTAGATAATAATAAAATAATGTTACAAGCAATTAAGTGTTACATCGTGGAGATGAGACGATGGTGGCGTGAATCCGAGAAATTAAGGATTGAGGCGATAGGAATTGAGAGCAAGAGGTGTTCACTATAAGTACGAATGGTGGAACTTGCCTCCCATAACAGTTGTTGTCGAAACAGTAATGACGTTCGACTGGGTCGAAATGACCTTTCTATGAACTTCTGGTGCAGTGTACTCCTTGTGAATCCGTTCCACTGGCTTACTGCTCTTCTCTTTGGGTTCATCTATCTCCTTTTCTTCCCTTTCCCCTTATCCTTGAAGCCACCCTCTCTTCCCTTCTCCGCATCGAGGTCGACGTCCTCACCCGCATCCTCACCTTCACCCACCTCCTCGATTCTATCCTTTTCTGGCTCCGGAGTCAGCGGCAACGCATCCTTCAATCGTCCTTGAGCCAACAAATTACCGGTCCAAGGTGCAGGAATAATAGGTGTCTTCTCCAATTCAAGTACTCTTTGTTCCAAGGACTCCACCTTCTTCCTCCAATCCTCAGCACTCGGCCCGTTGCCGCCCGCGCTACCTGTTTCAACTTGGTGACCGAGGTTTTCCAGCTTGTCGAGCAAGTCCGCATCAATTAGCCGGTTGACCTGTCCCTCCCACGACTCGAGACGTGCGTTATTCTCTTCGAAGCGAGTTTCGAGATGTCTAAGATCCTTCAATTTCACTGGGGCGTCAGTGCCTTCCCCTGTACTTCCTCCTAGCCCTTCAAGAGACTTCTTGACCTCTCCCAAACGTTCGTCCAGCTCAGGCAGCTGCTTTTTTGTCTGATCCATATCGGTCTGAAATTCCAACGCTGTCGCAGTCAGTTCATCCACGTCATTCCTGAGCTTAGCATAAAAGGTGAGAGCAGAGCGCATGGTATTGAGAACAGAAAGCGTCTGACGAAAGGCAGTGATGACAGTCTCAAGGGTTGGCTCGGAAGGGAGAGTAGGCACTGGGGGGATTATAGGTTCGGGAGGCTGGGGCTCAGTGGATGCAGGTTCTGGTGCTGCACTACGACGTTTAGAAACCACACGAGATGAAAGCTTCTGTTGTTCCTCATCGAGCTGTATCGACTCGGTGTCAGCTTCGGTGGGCGCTTGGTCGAGGGATGCACTTTGATGTTGGTGTTTGGACTTCCAGTCTTTCCCTCGTCCTTTGGTGCTGACAGCGGGGCCTTTGCGAGACGAAGGTTGCCTCCGTGGAGGTGCAACGAATTGTTCATCTTCGGCTGGCTGGTCAATTTCCTCCTCCTTTGCTACTGAGGTCTCCTTGCCTTTTCCTTTGCGCCTCTTGGGAACGCGTAGTTGCGGTTCCCCTGCTGTCTCAGCGTGATCGTCTTCCCTCGGGCGTTTACCTTTGCCCTTCGTCGTAGCATGGGTGAGTTCCACGGCAACTTCAGCTGCTCTGTGAAAAAGAGAGGGGTGAGAACGAACATATTAAACATGATAAACAACTGACTCGTCAGATTCATTAGCAGGCGCGTCCTCGGTACGCGTTGAAAGCCTTGCATTCCCAGAGGCAGGAGGCAACTTCATTATTTTGAGGATCTCCTCGATGATATCATCCTTCTTCCTGGCCTTGACCCCATTTTCCTATATACCAAATGACACGAACAGGAACCCGCAAATCAGTAAGACGCAAGTGTGGCAATTCGCCACTTCCGGCCTGGGGTACACACCTTTGCAAGTTTCTGCAAATCACCCCACGGCGTATTGTTGAGCCTTTTATACTCCTTTTCGCGTCTTGTAGGTGGCATGATGGAAAACAGTAAGTTCGGATGCACGGTTGAAAAGCAAGATGGCGAGAATGCAAGTCTGCGAGGCAAGCGGCTGTAAGAAAACTTGGTTATGTTTGGTGTTTTGGCCCGCACTCCGAACAATATGCGCCTTTGTGCACAAAGCAGGAAACTTCACGTGACTGTCGGAACCGAATTGCAAATCGTAGTATATAGGCTGTATCTGCTAGATGCATCGTAGTGGATGTTGTCGGGTTCCAACCAGTAGGGGTTCGAACAAACGTGTGTAAGCATATAAGAAGGCTAGACAACGAAGAGATACATAGCTTGCAAAGTGAATTACTGTACCGCACGACCAATTACGGTCACGCATCACACTGACGTTCCGGTTGAATGATCTTGTCACACAATTTTTTTGGCGCTAAGTGGCTGTGTAAATCGGATTAGATTCAATGAAAACAAAAGCCGTCTGCAAGGAAGTAGTTTTTTGGTGTAAATGTATCAACACGAAAATTTGCCAGTTGGACATTCAGCGCCACTGTGGCTGGTGTCACACCAACCTTGCACCTCTTCGGTTGCTTGTCACACGTCACAAGGAGAAGCCGGTTGACTATTTGTGTCACACTCGGAACCTCAGCCAGTAATTGGTCGTGCGGGTACAGTAACCTTCGACACCGGCAACCCAGTATCCGAATATTTGTTTGTCGTTTTCTGCGTACCCTGGCTTGGCGCTCTCACGACCCCACAATATCCACCGTAAACCAAACAAAAACCAAACATCCTGTCATCATGAAACGTATAGTTGATCTATGAACTGGTGTCCTTCGGCCCACAACTTTTGAGGCACAACCACTGAGAGGAAGACCCCACAGAGATCATCACTAGCTATTGTCGACCGTGCAAACAAGCATCGCTTCGGTTAGGCAGGACTCCAGCCTCTATGACTTCGTAATAATATATACGCTTCGGTGGTGTCTATCACAGCACGGAGTCTGTCACTACTCAATGTCTGCTCATTAGAGATAGGAAAATAACCCAATTCGATTCTATCTCCATGCTTCCGAGCACCGGGAACCGCGCGGGGGCGGCGTTCTCACTCTAATCCGAGATCCCACACTGACAATTAGATAGCCAGGTCAACAATAACGAACGGATAACGAGAAAAAATCCGGATTGGATTGGAAGAACCAAATGTGGAACATATGCATGTAGAACTCAAAGGACAGCAACTGTCTAGGTCATCGTGAAGCGAAACAAGGCGTGCAACGATGCGAATCTAACGGACCACCGGACTATCATCCGCAACCTCACATACGACATCTCACCGAAACGGTCCCGGGTTTCGTGGTTCTATAGACAAATGCTGCACATAAAGCGGAGCTTTCAGGCGAGGAAACGATGTCATATTGCGTACTGGAATATCGCGATGCGATCCATGGGGTTCTAGGATATCAATGTGCGAGATCGGTTGAGAGCCAGGGAGATACATTCCTGGGCAGTATCCCGACCAACCTCCGCCACTGAGTAAGGCGTGCGCCTTGTGCAAGGGCGCAGCGAAGCGAGCGTTGGTGGAAAGCGAGAGGATTGGGGAGAAACGATAGGGTTAGAGTATAACTCGCGAGCGCGGTGACCGATGGCGTATTTGACCCACGCCTTAGAGGGCCGTAAGGCTGTGCCGGCCGCACTGTAAATCTTACGTGTCAAATGCAATCACGTCAAGTAACCCAGGAACGGTCCATGCACCCCTGGGTGGTGATCGTAAATTACTACTGAAAGAAATCAGTCGGAGTGACCTCGCGTTAAGAACAGGGAGTCCCCGAACTTAGGGTGTCATCAAACTTGAAGTACCGATGGGGAGAAGAGATTAAACGGTAGATATTGTCAACAAATCTGGGATCCATAATTGGTTTGATGTCAATCCGCTTGTATTTGTGAACCTCAGCACCCCAACCTGACTTTACGGATTAATGGTTCGTTGGCTCCTTCCTACTCATCGAGATCTTCAATCAATTCGATTCACGCGTAGACACAAGATTTCATGCCAGATGCCCGTCGGCAGACGTAGTACATAATCAAAAATCTCCAAGCTACTCAAGCGGGCTTTCCGAAGTCCAAACTCCATGTATCGCAACACTAGGTCACAGACTATTAGTGGAAAACTAAGGCACCAGTCAAACCATTGACGATCTCTACGAGACGCTCGACCTCGTATATGGCAAGCGTCAAATTCTTCTCATCAAGAGCCTCGGACAGAGCGGGGAAGGTAGTTGCTCCGTATCCTGTATGTGTTCTATGAATGAGCGAATCAAACACACCCAAATTAAAAAGAGCTCACCAAGCCACTTTCCAGGAGCTACGCCGAGATGCCTAAACACAAAATGATCGCAATCAGCACGTGCGAGATCACTTTACAAGACCACGAACTTGTACCACTCCCGATCCTTGATGCCTTTCTCAGAAATAAACCCTTGCTCGAAAAGTCTCAAACGGCTATTGACGCTCGCAATACGTTTGCGAGCCTTCAAGAACTTCTTCGGAAGACGAGACTTGTGTCCCTCAGCCTCAAACGCCAAAGCCATGATGGCGGCATCCCTGCTGCCCTTGTCCTTGTGGCAAGGCCATTGCCCATTAATTTGCCTCACCACGGCACCATCTCGCTGCTGTTCTCCATCACTGGTATCCCTCTGCTTGGAGTTGGAGACCCCGTCGGCTTTGCTAGTAGCAACACCTACGCGGAACCTCTGCTCGTTCTCACGGGCTTCAATATCCTCGGAGCGCTCCATGTTATTTTTTCCTCCAGCAAATCCTATGCGGACCTTAGGGAAGTCACGTCTCTCCACACGAGCCTCTTCCACCTCAGCCATGGCCCTAATCTCCTCTTCATGGCCACTTACATCTGCTTCGCGTTTGTGGATTTTTCCCGATGCAAGATCAAGACGGATTTTGGGGAAATCACGCTTTTTGTGTACCTCTTCACGACCTCCCGCCAAACCGACCCTGAACGGGGGAAAGTCGTGTCTCTCGTGGACAGACTCATCGCGAACATAATCTTTTCGGGACGGAACGCCGAAAGCACCCTTAACCCAATTCCTTATTTTCTTCCACCCCCGCTTGGCACACTTCTTACCCTGCTTGTGGAAATGAAGGTGATGGCGGTGGTGGCGGTGATGATGGGCACGCCGCTTCGTCCCAAGCTTGCGGAACTGTTTGCGGAAGAACTTTTCTACAGCTACTCGCTCCTTGTCTAATTGAGCGCTTGCGTGCTGGAGACCAATAATGGAATGATTGAGCTTAGTGAAGTCTAGGCTGAGACCTTGAGACTCAGCTAGTGCCTCGACCCTGTAAAACATGTCAATGGCTGTGATTCATGAATTCACTACACTGTCATACGCACTTAGCGAGGTACGAGCCAAGCTCAAGAGCATATTTGGTGGTGTTAATAGGCAGGATAAGTGAATCAGCAACACGAAGAGTGACGAGACCGAGGTACTTGGCAACAGCCACCTAAAATGACAAATGATCAGTACAACGCATTGGTTCAGAGGTCAGGCTTACGTGGCGGTGGAACCCAGGATCGGCGTAAAGCTCTTGGTAACGCTAGCAACGAACCGTTAGCAAATAGAAGAAAAGATAATGAGCAAGCGTACGTGAGAATCATAGACGCTGTGGTAGTGATATACGGCATCGGTGCGTCCAGAACCAAACCCGCCATCGATGGACGCGATCTGCTCGAATGGGTCAAACTCCAGGGACCCACATTTATATCAAGACTCAACGTACACCAAGCCTCTGCAGGAAGACAGTATAATCGGATCCGCTGCCCAGTGGTTTGACACCAGTGCTCTCAGATTCATGTATGGTCGATTCTTCGACAGCTAGCTTGACGTCCTTCTCCTTGTCAACCAGGGGGAATTTCCCATTGTCCCTTCGAGCGTCCCAAAGAGTGCGGTTCAGATCAGTAGGGTGAGGGAGGTCTTGAGCGACGCCACGGATAAGATGAGCGAGGGAAGGCGAGCCGCGGAGACGCAAGGTCGACCCCGAGACCGCGGTATCTGCAAACCAAGTAGTGGGTTATGTTCTTCGCGTCGCCTTGAAACGGCTTACATACCAGCATTGAGGTAGGCAACTACATGCTCCTGTAACCAATCTGCAAAGTCCTCTCCCCATTCAGTGGAGCCAACCAAACCATACTGGTCGACGAAAAATTCAGCGGGAACGTTGGTGGCTCATCCATCGATACGTACTTCTTCGGCATCCCAGCTAGCGAATACGATTGTGCGAAGGGGTTTCCAACCGGCCCGGAGTAAAGTGCCGAACCCTTTGATAATCTCAGTCACAGCGACAGTTCCGGAGGTGGGGTCACCGGCCCCCATGACCCATGCTGCGCACACGCAATACTGTCACCCCAGGACGCAACGTCGGATTGAGGAAATTTGGGCATACCATCTCTATGATTGCCAACAACAACGATCTCATTTCTGATGTGGCCAGGGATAACTCCCATTACATTCCAAATTGGCGTGATATCTGTCCTGACTTGATTCAAAAGTCTGATGTCCCGCTTACTGCTCTTCCCATCCAACTCCCAATCCCACTTGTCGCCTTGCGTGTCATAGTCACCCCATATCTCTTCGAGAAGCCTTTTGGCGTTGTACCAGGAGATTGGCAAAGAAGGGATACTGGGGATGTTTGTGCCTTCGAGGCGAGTTGCATTGGGGTATGCTGGATAGCCAGGTGTAGTAGGGTCACCAGGATAGATACTAAGGAACTGGACAGAGCCACGTTGGACCGAAGTAGGGTTACGAGCTGGACCGTGAGGATACGGTAGATAACCGTTCTGCACTGTTACTGTACCATCATCACGAGGGTCAGAATAGATGAGGCAACCTATGACGCCAAGTAAATATCTCTTTCAAAGGACAAAATACGAATACAAACCAATAGCTCCAGCCTCTTGGGCAGCTTTAACCTTCAAGCCACGGAAAACACCGCCATAACGAACAATTGCAATCTTGCCGGTGAGATTCGCCCCAGAGCTCGCAAGTCCATCAAAATCAGCTTTGCGTCCATAATTCGCGTAAATTAGTTTTCCCTACTTCACTTTTAGCTATATGTTCAGACTACTCGGCCACAAACTTACAGAAACATCGCCATCCTTGCTGAGGCCATGCCATGCACCGACAGCTCGTGCGTACCCACCCGCAGGATCCTCCAAGTCTTCCACTTCCTCAACATTGGCCATCCACACAGGCGTTCCGTCATCTCCCAGAATATCGAGTGCACGCCCCAAAGGAGTGTTCAAAACTCCGCCGAGAGCTTAAATGTTGGTGGTGGCGCCCGTGTGGAATGAGCTTACCAGGATAATACTTGTCGATCCAAGCGACGGGATGAGTTCTCTCAGTAATAGACCGCGTAGCTTCTTGCGATTGGGAAGACCCAGCATCATAGACAGGAATCTCATCAGGTTTGGGAATGAGTAATTCAGCTTGTAGCAGGTCGAGGAATTGCTTTGCCGTTTCAAAATCTCGAGGGCTTCCAGCAAGATGAGGGATGGATGAGTACGACTTGCTCGTAGATATAGCGCTCTCGGGATTCGGAACCTCCCTAGGCGTGTTTGAAGGGGAATAATTACTATGGGGAAATGGTGACGAGTCCCACTCACTCACAAGAAGCGACGTTCAGCCTGCGGAACGGTCAAATGCCCGCGAGAGTCAGGATTGGCAGCTACTCGAACACGTTGGAAGGTGGTATCACGTCGTCTCAGGATTCCTCGTACGGCGTGGAGGGAAAGCCCTATCAAACCGACAAGTGCCAAAATGCGGAGCAAGATGGCCCTGCGTGAGATCCTGGGTTGGTGGGTAGGTAGCGACAAAGCCTCCTTGAGTGGCATATCATCTTGGTGCCCTTCGAGGAGGGCTTTCTCCTCGTCGTCCCTCATGTTGCGTGAAGGAATAAGGTTGTGCACGTGTGGCCGTTCCAGAATGTCACGATCACCTCAGGGTCCGTATTTTAATTTAATATTGCATTGTGGACATTCCGTCCCGCTGCCAAGGAAATAAAGCTATTCTACCTCATCATGGGTTTTTCCACAGTTATGGTACCACCTAGGACGTTGGAAGTCGCGGCATTTGGAAACTCGATCCGCTCACACAATTCAACGGGGTCCACAACTGAGAGAAGGCTTATACCATTAACCGGGTCAGATAGTGTTCCAGCTTCCCTTTCTTCGAGATTTAGATGTCTATCTTTCATACGACCGACCAAAGGCGTTAGCGAATCATTTCATCGCGGTATCGGCTCGCTGGTGCACTACTTTCTATGAATACATCCAGTGTGCGGCCGGGCTGGACTCGCCCGCGTCGCCATCATACAGATCTGTTGCAAGTGCAGCACGCATATAATCTTCGGTTACTGGATCATGATCTGACCCTTACGGCTTTGTGTATGCTGTCATATCATTTACAAGTTTGAACCGTAAAACGACAATTAAGTAGGTTGGGGTTCGTTACTGCGAGGGTATCGATGTATGGTGCTTGCCTAGCTAGTCTCGCCAGCATCGAGGATAAATGAACCACAGCAAGATGGGGGACATAACCATGTGAGGATGAATAAATATTAGCCTTGAAAAGGATTGCTTGGGAGGCATGCGAAAAAATGACCCCTTTTCCGGAACGGCAATTGCAGGAGATTTGAGGGAAAAGGTGATGTGGGATTGCGGAAGAGGACATGAAGTGACAAGATGATGTATCTCAGAGAACAAGTGAAATCAGACCGCAATACATATTCCTGTACACTCCACAAGAAAAGAAAAGAAATGGACGAACTGGGATAGTGCGTGCGAACGGCTTGATATGATGACGAATGGTACAATAGCGCGTGAGATGAACGAACACGAGCTGAGACATCATGGTGTGAGATCCATCCTCTCGTCATTCGAGACTACATTCGTGTTCTCAAAAACTTGGTTGAGGAAAGTCTCATCTTCAGTGCCGAGGCAGCTGGCCTTGAACAATGCAACATTCGCTGCTTCACGAGCCGCATCGGCTTCGCTCGGGGCAGCGTTCGATATCAAAATAAATGAAGCACGACGCACTGTCTCAATGTTGCGCAACATGAGGGACCTCGTTTTCATCACCACGTCATGAGCGCAGACCTGATCAATGCGGGGCCGATCGGCTGGATTAGAAGCCATGAGGCGTGTGATCATGTCCACGAGGGTGGGTGTGAGGCCAGTGAGATCAACATCGGTAAAATCCTGTTGGCGAAGACGATGCCAAGGATCACCCCTATCATCGAAACCAGCGTTATTTAGGATCAACAGCCAAACAGAAGACGTACATATCAGGGACTACGATGTTGCCGGCGCATTCAAGCATGATCATCCCAAAGCTGAAAATATCAGCTTCCGGACCATACCTCCCCTTGAGAATCTCTGGAGCCATGTACTCCCGGTCACCCTCACGGTCTAATCCCTCGCTTCCGTCTCCAAACGACGCAGGGCGTGGCCAGCGAGATGCCATGCCAAAATCGCCAATACGGAGACGGCCTTCCATCGTAATAAATATATTTTCAGGTTTGAGATCGAGGTGAATGATGTTTTGGTGATGGATGTGGAGTATGCCCTAACACCAGATATCTTCAGCGAACATTCATGAGCAAGTTTAAGGTGACAGTATTTACGTTGCCAACTTCAGACATAATCTTCCATATCCTCGGTTCATCCAGTCTCGCAAATTTCGCGCCAAACTCGAACAAGAAATCCGCCAAATTACCAAACTCACATAATTCTGTTTGAATGAATAACATTGAGTCTTGTTCCCATCCATGCACAAACTGGAGGATATTGGCATTCGGCGGTTCGCAGGGAGAGGGAGAGGGTTGAGAAAGTGACAGCGAACGGGAGCGACGTGAGGTGGTTTTGGACGAAAGGTGGCGCAGAGCATCGAACTCCTCAAGTAAACGAAGTCTGTGCCTAGGGCCTTCATAACGCTTGCTCTTTTTGATTGCATACAGCTTGAGCTTCACATTTCCGGTAGTTGCGCGAGACCTCACACGATACGCCTGGCCAAATGACCCTGCGCCAAGAGTATCTTCGACGATGAACTCGTGCTCGAAACGACCTGTCTCCTCCTTGATGCCATAATCAAGCACGACATCGTCGTCGTTGTCATCATCGACATCGCTAAAAAAAGACGAGTTCGGCAGAGGACTGGCTGGACGATTGAAGGGAAATGTGTTGAATTTGATTGGGGAAGAGCCAGCGGACGACAGACGAGACTCGGGATGAAGAGGTGAAAGCGGGCGGGTAGAGTGAATGTCTGAAAGACGACGAAGAGGAGAACTGTCGACGAATGATACTCTATGTGACTCATTCCCTCGAAACTCCGGTACAGCGAAGCCATCTTTACCAAACAAGGGAGAATTCCATTCATCTCCGCGAGGGTATTTCGAAGGGGTTCCAAACCCTTCAGAACCGCTGTCACTAGAGAAACTCCAGGCACTACTACTAGTTCTCCGCATGATATCCGCTCTCCTCTTGTTGATTCCCATACTGGATAACAAATCGCTTCCAGACTTCGTCTGCGATGGGAGCATTCCATCAAATAAACCGGACGGACGATGAGACGGTGGGAACGGTGGGCTGCTTTGACTTGTGGGGATTTTACCAGGTCTGCCGAGTCCGATGGGGCTCCTTCCGTACGACCTGCGGGGCGCCAGGTTACCAGCGGTACGGAGAGTCGGGGAGGGAGAGGGATTAGACAGCGAGTCGAAGTACCCTACGTCAGAATCAGGAGAATCCGCCGCAAGGTCGATGGGAGTCATGGGAGCAAACTTGAGAGGTAGAGATTTACGGGGTGCTAATGAATGAACATCAACTAACCGATACTATAAATATGGCAGATACATGAAGTTCAACTTACGCATCTTGGCCCTCTGGACGGAATGTTGTTTCATAGTACTCTGCCAGGGACGAGACAAAGTCGTGGCTTGCCAAGCGCTTGCCTTCACTGGTGTGTCAGGCATCATCGGTTTTGCCTGTGAGCCATTGTTCACGGTTCGGGTAGCCTGTTTAGCCTGCATTGTAGAGAAGAGTAACGAATCGATGTCAATCGTGCCCTCATCATTGGGATCAAGACCAGCGAGATTGACATCATCCAAGGCAGGCCATCCAGAAGCCGCCGCGGGGGCGAAACCCGGCGTGATAAGCGGCATCGCAGGGGCGGGACTGAATTGGGCAGGGTGAGTGACATGAGGGCCTTCTTTGAGGCCATCTAAGAAGTTGGTTTTCCCCACTTCCTCAACTGGCTCTCCGAGAGAGGTCATAGATGCAAACGATTCATCTCCCCCATCATGTTCACCTTCGAAACTGAAGCCTACGAGACCCGAGTCTCTGGAGCGCAGCAGCTCCTTCTCATCCTTCCCAGCTTTGTCTGTCTCGAATTTATCAAAGAGCATAGAAGGACGAGCCCTCAGAACCTTGGCACGTCCAACTGAACCTTGTAGACCGATGATGCTGCGTTTTTGGGCAATCCCCTTTTCTACGGGTATGACGAACTCTGGAAGACTGTCCGCTCGTGGCTTCGCAACCACGGGCTCCATGGGATGGTCGGGAACAGGCAAAGGAGTAGCGAAGCCAGGTTGCCAGACAAAGATTTGGCCGCTGTCTTTGTTGGGTTCGCGAGTGGGAGTCACCGCGGCGAATGGAGAGGAGGATGAGTTGGCATCAAATACATCATTCGAGATCTTTCCAAGGGAGAGACGTTTGGCCGATTTAACCTCCGTTGAGCGGGTACGGCGATGCCGCAGATGCAAGGGGAGACGGGGTTTGGGGCTCAAGTTATCCGGAACTTTAAATCGCAAGGGGCTCTGAATATCGTCCACAGGATCCTTTTCGTGCAACGACAACTTCCGCATACTGTCGGAATGATTGTTCATGTGTGTAGACCAGTCATCCGTTGGGAGAGGAGTTTGAGGCGGTGATGTACTTGCCCGACGAAGTAAAGGGCGAGTGAAGTCCGGCGCAGGAAGTCGACCAATAGTTGGGGCACGAGACTTTTTCCCATCAGGTGGAGTTAGAACTAAACGTGGCAGAAGTGTCTGTGAGAAATCAATGGATCGCCTTTTGGCTTTAGGGGCATTAAGATCCGTTAGCGTAAGTTGAGGTGGCCTAACGGAGGGAGTGCGAGCTGGAGTCGCTGATATCTCGGCTGCGGGCCTGCTTGTAGACTTTGTGAGACGCGGAACAGGCTCAATAGCAGGCCTCCTGGGTTGAGACGAACTGGGGTCAGAGAGGGATGGGCGTTGCACGGAAGGACGGGTGCCGAAGCTCAGAACCACAGGCTCCGTGACAGAGCGAGTTGGGGATTGGCGACCCTGGTCCAGCTGAAGGTCGCGGGAGGGTTGGAGGGGGCGTTTCATCGTCGGACTGAGAAGGATATCTTGACGGCTTGAGATGAGCGAATCTACTCTATCAGAAGGTCGTTGAAAGAATAGTGCAGTGGGACTCGTATCTCGCTCAGGCGTTCGAATAACAGTCGTTGTCATGTCGTTACGTATAGTCGGTCGTGTGAATATAGAAAGAAAGGGAAGACAAGAGTGTAAGGTGATGGAAGGCGTAAGCCGGTCGTCGAGGAATCGTGTTTAAGGGCTAGAAACGTCGTGCAGAGCCTCTCAAAGGCTGCTTTACAAGAATGTGGTTGAGCGGAAGCAAGAATTCACATCGGTTGGTAAACAAACCGGATTTAACAATAAACTCCGAGAAAAAACCATGCCGAAAATGGGCACAAGCCTGAGAAATTTCAAATAACTTGCAGACAGAATAAGGGTATCAACAAGATGCGCTTCAGTTTTGGGCGCGGTGACGCGCTTTTTCGACGTCTAGCTCCCGTCTAGCCTGCCTAGCCTCCAACCCAAATACCACAACGGCGCTGACCAACGTAAACACCCCCGAAAAGATCAAGGATCGCCGCATGTTCCCCGGTGGACTCGCGTCTTTGCCCTCGCGAAGGGCATCCATCACCTAAACAGTAACAGATTCCATCAATACGCGCGAGAAGAATCATTTCCAACATAAGGAACATCGTACTTCGACAAAAATGGCTGAGAATCCATTAGCAACACCCCATAATATTGAGGAGGATGCCTCGGGGCTTGAGGTGATTTCGCAACCGAGTTCTAACGCAACCGGAAGGAGTATGAAAGACCCCACACCCATCACTACGAATACCGCATATAAACCGCCGTAATTGTGCGGTCGAACTATGCATTAAGAACCATCAAATCAGTTCCAGAAACATCGTTCCACGTTGCGTGGCAGCGCATTTACCATCCCATATCAATGATAACCAAGCCACACCGATGATAGGTATGAGAATTTTCGTAGTTATACCGAGATGATGTGTGAGAACTCTGTCGAAAAGCGGCGAAGTGACCAGGGCTCCAATAATGCCTGCAATAATGAATGCACCACCCTGTCGGGGATGGGATGAGAGATATGTAAAGCGGCCTGTAGCGGAACAAATTGATCACCATGTTACCCGAGGCGTTTGAGGAGTATCCGTGAGGTGCCTGGCAGGGACTCTGAGTGCCAAGCGAACGAAGCTGCTGAAGCACTCACCAAAATCTCATTCACCAATGTAAAGAGCGAATTCGCTCTAGCGAGCATTTGATGCCGATCATTGAGCGGGTAAGCCGAAAATATGAGACTGAGCGACTTACGCTGCGACATATACCCCAAATAGCCAAGTGACGATTGCAAAGTCAATTACTTGTCTCCGCGTCATATATAGCTGGCCCGGCCTCGTCTTCCCAACGCAAGCCCTGAAAACTTCCATCGGTGAGGGTGAGCGCACTGAACCCGCAAATGCTACGAAACAAATTAGTCACTATACTTCTGCATACCTCAAAATACCCACTGGGAGGGATAGGTGGCTCATTCAGCACGAACAGCCCACTTAGACTGAGAGCCGAGGTGATAATGGCCAGGACCAGTAACTGTGACGAATTGATCAGCTGTCTCTCGATGACGCGCTGGAATTTGATGTTGGAGGCTCACCCCATGCCGCACATCCTTTATGAGCGGCGATATCAGCTCACCCAAAGCAGAACCGATGGGATTTGCGATGGCAATGATCGCGGTCGCTGTCGTCCTACCCTGTAAGTCGAACCAAAGCTCGGAGTATTTTGGTCCTAGAATCTGGAACCACGGCTGAGCAAAGCCAGAGAAAAACTGTCCGAAGAAGATAATTGCATAGGCATGTGGAGAGGATAGAGTGTGCGAGTATGCCCCGTAACGGACCCAGGAACCGGCTGCCATTATTACAGAGGCTATAATGCACTGAAATTAAGGTCAGAATCCTGACTCTGCACTTCGAGCCATAAAATATGCTCACAGGGGTACGTATCCCGTACCGACGAGTGATGGGAGGAACAGCTATAGATGATGGGATATACACTAAATTGACAACGTTGAGCAGCCATGTAACTTGGTGGCTGCGAGACGATTGAGTGTGAGGGCGCAGATGGTTGCCGAATACGTACAGCGAGATGAGGAACTGCTTGGACGCTTGAAGGAATATATGTAAGATAAGACAGGGGATCATAGCTGGCGCAACTCACTGTCAACACTGATAGCGGCAAACCATAGCGCATTCATGCCAGAAGCAACATTCAACCTATTGAAGAAAGCGATTCAGCATTTGAAACCATAGCCGTATGCGGCATACGAACAAGAAGAGAGCAACGAGACCGATCCATCTCCTCTTGAATACTCTGTATCCCTGAACAGGGGCTTCTCCATGCGGGAGTCCCACCTCTCCCCCGTCGCCGACTTCAATCTTGACAAAGTCTTCGCTGGTTCTTGTCGACCCAGGCATCACATCCGCAGAAGGGACGGTGTGCGTATGTTCTTGAGGGTAGTTGCTATTATTAATAAGGAGCGAAGAGGGCGGTTCAACAGGAGTGCCAGACTCCTCATGTGCTTAACATTTGATCTCAATCAATCCGGATGTTCCATGACTCAAAACGGATCGGATTATGTCCCTACCGGGGATAAGGTTTTCCATTGGTGTTTTGACTGGCAACACAGATTGGGGAACGCTCATTGAAAGGAGTGCATAGACGTTGGAAGGAGAAAAATAATTCAAGGGCCAAATACCAACATATTTATATGTGTATGTATATATATTCCTCGGCGTCAAATTTGGCGCTTGTTCGAGAGAGCGGATTAATTGTGCGGAAGCAAGAAATCCATCATGCGAGAAATCAACTGAGTCTGACTTGATTTGGAAAGTTACCGTGCTTTGCTGGACGCGCCATCGCGTTCACTAATAATTAAATAGATGATAGGAGATTTTTGCCTGCACGTATTTACTCTAATCAATATGATGGGCAAGAGCTAGGGCTCAGCAATTATGTCATTATCTCCCATTGGTGACAATCATTGGGTTTACGGTCAGCTTTCATACTCCGCAGAACACCACGACCAATGAATCCGTCGGGACTAGATGGCAGGCTACAACTAGCAGATGCAGTAGTCGAAACATTCACTCTAGGATCGGGCAGGGATGTGGACTTCTGTTCCCACGGGCACTAGATGAGGGGAGTGCGCCTCCAACATGCTAGACAATACGCGAACCAATACCTCAGTACTGCAACCATTCACCAGTGGAAAATATCCCGCTGACCTAGGAAATTTATATCGATAAATACTCGGCCTCTCAGCCCCTTGTGCGACAATCCTGCTATGTGCAGTACGCTCAGCCGCAAGAGTGTGTATCTCATTTTTCTTCAACCAATCCTCTGGATCTGCTATCCTCCGCTGGATGAACTTGCTGATCGCGCCACCCTCCTTATTTGATTCGCTGGGCGCCGGGACGACAGTAACGAGCCCATATGCCAAAGCCCCACCAACAAAAGTATTCCTCCAGAACGGTGTAAAAAGGGCTTCCAAATTGCACTGTTAGGGAGAATATGGGTTGATGTTTGTCAAAGAACTTACTTTCGGTTCTATGATCAGAAGAGGAATCGTGTTCACCATGGTGAGCCTCCGACGAAGCTCGCCGAGCAGCACCAGCCCTTGGAGTCGTAGCAGAAAGGTTTCTGCGAGCTGCGGACGCTATAACGCCTGATCTTGATAGCGACGTCATGCAAGGACCGCCCTGAGAGTTTCAGCGATAGAGTTCCAGTACTAGTCTTAGACTGTAACCATCACGTGCAGTGAATGTGCGACCAGGTTGCACTCGACCCGGCGTTGAGAGTGCGCTACCTAGAGTGCTACACCTATTCGGGGGAACATTCTTCACTTAGTTCGCGTACTGAGGCTAGATTACTTATCAAACAGCTGTATGTCGAATCATGTGCTACGTATATTCTAAGGGCCTCATAGTTGCGCCTTAGATGACACAGCTCTAGTTCCACTAGCGGCGACAGCTTCGCTAGGACACAAGGGCTCATGATTCGTTGGGAGAATTCTGGTTATCCATGGGATTGGGTAACAAGTGCATGCAATTAACAATTCTTTCTATGACACGCGGTTGTGCAGCTGCAACTAGCTTAATGACAAACTTCCATGCTCGGCTTGTCGCCTATAGTGGAAGATGCGTTGGAAGCATTCGTGTGTCCACATTACCTTTCCATGCAACTTGCAGCTGAACCTCCTGCCTAAATGAAGCAAGTTCTTGACAAGGACGTCGACAATGTGGTGAGCTTGGCGGCAGCGGGGCCCTGGAATAATATTGAGGATTGAAGGTGACTCCTTTGTTTTGTGCAGCATGAAGATCCCGAAAGGTAATATGTTCAAATACACTCGGGGCAAGTTTCTGACTAGATCGCTGAGGAATCGGTAAGGAGAAAAGCTTGCGCACGGATCCTTTTGAGCCTCAGGCAAGAGTTCGAATACCTCAGACTCACGAAGCGATAAATAGCCGATCTTTTCGTCTCTGGATTATTGAGATTCAGACGTTTTTCCAAGTCAATCTCTAAGAAAGCTTCAAAGTGTGACTGACGATTGAGTCGACACACGGCCTCCTCATGCGTCGAATCCCCAAGGTTCTTCAAGGCACGATCGAGCTCAGTGGCAGGATCCTCGTTTCGATTCAGCCACGCACATCGCCTTCTCGTTCCTTTCAAAGATCGAGGCACCAGTCTCCATCTTGTGAACGAACTCTGATCGCACAGCATCTCGGGGCGTAGTTTGAAGCAAAAGTCGTTGCGCTACAGGAAAGACTAACGGGAACTGCAACGATTACTGCGAGAAGGGGCCATTGCTTAGAAGGTTGGACGGAAATTTGGTGGATCACTCCCTAAATTCGGTCGTGGTTCCGGCCGCTGTGCAAGGGGGAATCCATAACTTGACGTACTAGCCATTATCTGGCAGGCTTCCGTGTGCGTAGCTGGGGCTCACTTGCCAGGTTTCTAAGAAAGCTGGTGACCCGTCCCCATTGTGAGAACAAAGTGGCGTCGCCACTTCCACTATCCAGTTTTCCCACGAGGATCACATCAGAAAAAGCCATAGCAAAGCTCCTGCTTACGTCCCTTTTCACCACATGCTCAATCCCAGTTTAATACCATCCCACTTGTGTTAAGGCCCAACGGGGGCAGTCCAACCCCACATTTCTGCGGTGGATATTCCTTTAAGTCAGGCAGCATGAGTTTCCAGCAGCCTTCGGTCGGGGGCTCGATCCCCTTCACCTTGTAAGCAGATACTTCTGGACCACGAAAGTGACTTTGCGAAGAGGAACGTTGCCGAGATGGAAAAACACCTTGTCGTGACTTCATAGGTATCTGGCTGTGCTCATGGATGGAAGTAAAATACGGGGATGTATGTAGAGGAAACTGAAGAGGGCGTACTTGAATGACTCGGTCGGGTTCGAGCCAAATATCGAAGCGATAAAAATGGCAACGCAGCATAGCATCCGTCATCAGGATGTTCTGCATGTTGTTGATATTGCCCTCAAGGGGCCCCGAAATTAAATCCCTGAGTCCAAACATTTCACAAGGCTGCACCTTGATCACCAGACATAAATTGATGTAAAATGAAGGCTACCTTGCTTTTGTCTTCAGGGGAAATATAGGATGGTTCAGTGCCTATCTTTCCAGCAATAGCTTTGTCTTCGAGTTCCGGGTATTGTTTGTCGTCGCAGGCACCAAATAACAAGCGTCTGAAGTTGTCTCGGAGCAAAACCTTGAAAGGAATTCAGCGGTAGAAAAATATGCCACTTGTTTCCTTGTGTCTTTATCTTTCCCTTGGGGCCAAGACCATGATGCAACCTCTGACTATATCCATGCAAGGAGACGGGTACTTGGTGAGAAGATGTCGAGGTCCGCTACAGGCAAGACCTTTTCACACTGAGCCGCCTCTTCCTCAGCACCCTCGATCGCCGCGTTCTCGACGGGTAGCACGAGGAAATTTACTTGAGAAGGCGTTTGTACCGAAACTTCTCTGCTCCCAGAAGTCTTTGAGAAAGGAACCAAGGACACGGACGCCCGGGCCAGCCAGTTTGTCATAGCACTCCGTTTCCTTAGCTTTCGGAACCAGTTCCCAAGCGCGCTCATCAAAATAAACCTGGTCTGGGAAGGAAGGACCTCCGTGGTCACGATCCGTCCTTGTCGCGGGGACTAACCGACGATTTGGAAAACTAAATGTCGATATTGTTTTTTCTTTCTTTACAGGATCTGTGAACACTGCGGGCTTACTGTCGCCAGGAGATAGTCGAATCTCGGGATGCAGATGCATAACGAACCTTGTAATGGACACTTGCAAATGAATTGTAATTGAAAAAGGGAAGGTTGCGCTTTTATGCAAGCGACCTCTTCAACGCTATCTCGCATCAAGTTCGCTTTTCCATCTAGGATCATCAACACTTACTGACTGTGTGCCATTCTGAGCGGTCTGATATTGAATCTGCTGTAGCTCTGAAGACTGGACCTTACATAATGCTGGTTCGATTAGGCAAGTGACCAGTTCTCCAGCTCACGCAAACCTTACACCATGGGTAAGTCAAATTGTCTGTGTCACTTAATCAAACTATCTAACAGGACTATCCAGCCTCTACCACGACAAATAATGCGATCGAAGTTGGTGCGTTGACTGACACATCTCAGGAGCCACTCAGGGATAGCATCTTCCATTCAACTTGACTTTAGCCACGAACACCATCCCGAACTCGACTGCAAACGCCGGTGAAGGCGCTCTGCCTCCACCAGACGAGTCATCCATTGACCCTGACTCAACGAAAGCTCGCCTTGAGAAAGTTCTCCCTCATCGTCCCGAGAAGCACGAACTAGTTGATCGGAACATCCTTAAAGGTACTTAGACAATTGTAACATTCGTCCATGGAATGCACTACTTCCTATCCGCTTTCCCGAAGACTCGAACGTCGCTCCTGCCCTCCAAGCACGTGAAGCCGAACTTAAGAGGGCCCAAATTGGGGTAAGCACTCCATCCTTTTCTCCCCGTTTCTCATCTCATCTCACCTTCGTTTAGGACGTCATCGAACGAAATATCCAACAGCGAAAACGAACCATCGACGGGTACACATACATTCCGCCGCTTCCAAAACCTGATGAGTCTCCTATTGACGCCGACGAATCACGTCATAAGCTCGAGAAGTCATTGAAGCAACGTCCTGAAAAGGATGAATTGGTCGAGAAGAACATATTGAAAAGTGAGATTGTCGTCCACCATGAGTAGCATGTCTCTGAGTCTTGAGTTAGATTCGAACGCAGCGCCTGCACTTCAAGCGGCTCAAGCGGAGCTTCAGCGATCTCAGCTCGAGGTATGTCGCTGTTGGAACCAACAAAAAGGCGAGATTTTGTAATGCGGAGCGCACTTCCCACCAGGACAAGTTGGAGCATGCTCTCCAGCAGCGCCCTGAGCCTGCCGAGCTTGTAAGAGGTCACATACTCCAAGGTTTGATAATCCCACTTCTCCATTGGTCCCAGAATTTGAACACGTCCAATGACTTCAGAGGATGAGGCTCCGCCAGTTTAATAAGATAGGCCCACATATGGATCAAAGTGATGAATGTATCCTCTACGATGGAAGTACGCAAGCAAATGTGTATACTAGCGGTGATTGATGTATGATAGTTGTCGATGATACACCCAACTCGACACCAAATATTGCGCAGGTATAAAATGGTTTCCTGAGCTTTTCCGTAGTGAAGGCTTCTACTTGTCGCGTTTAACACCAGCCTTGACTCTTTCCTAAGGTGGCAAGTATAGTCGCAATTAGCCAAGGAAAGGCAACGATGTGAAAGTGACGTACCCTGACGTGGATAGCAGCTCGCGTAGCACCTCCCTTCCCTACCCACCCCCGGGCCGTCAGAAAGCTAACAAGCTTTGGAGTGAGTGCAGCCGTAAGACCGACTCGAACAGGGAGCAATAGTGTCTTATGAATCCCATAAGCCAATATAGCTATTGCATACAATCCATCAGAACCAGAGCCATTCGGCGATGTGCCAACCGAATCCGTTGGTTCAAGGGGGTCCGTCTGACGGTGCAAAATCTCGTTGATGAACGTTCGTATCGGCTGAACGAGGCGGTTGACTTGTTCCGCTCCAAGGAAATAGATGACAGCGAAACATAGGGTAAAGTCTAATGCGGTGAGAACGGTGTAAACGCCCAAGGCGTACCATCCGTGAGTCTTGATGAGAATTTTCAGACGTTGTGTTAATGATACGGTTTCCTCGCGAGGTTCAGGTGAATATGTGAATGAACGGATAGTCAAGGGGTTTCGTATGCGTGCGGTATGGGGTATAGTTAAACGTCGGGAGAGCGCGGAAGATGGGGACACGCTTCTTCCAGTAAGCGGCAGGACGGGAGCTGGAGCACTTCGATGGAAAAAAGACCGGAAATATCCTACACGGAGAATCCGTCCTGGGGGCATATCTGGGTGCTTGTTTTCTGATTATACCCCCGTCCAAGTTAACCCTAGGGTGCGTCAGAACTTGACGGTGGGTAAGTGGTCACGATCTCGTGACAGTTACAATTCAAGGCAGTCCCAGCATCTGTCTGACCACGATCTTCTCGTCCTCACCAGTATCACAGGAGATAACGTCATTGAATAATGGAATCCGCGTAAATACCCACGAGGCGTGGTGTGGGCTTGACACTCTATTAGATTATTAGATATCGATTGATGTCTACGCCTCACTGGCTCGCTCGTTGTACTGCCCCTTATGTTATAGGACCAATAACTCCCGTCTAAGACCAAAAATCCCTCATAGGTAATGGTGACGTGTGTTCGTCTCTCGCGGAAGGGATGGGGCTTCTGTGGCCGGAGCCGGCGGCGCTTGTGCATTTCTCTCCACTTAGTTCGTTCAATCTCTTATTGACCTAGAAGCTATAGCGGGCGATTTGACACTATACCACGCATTCCAACCTGGTCATCAATTGCGTAGCAAGGAAAAAGTTTCTTGAAACAATACAACAGTGCGCCCACGAGGGGTTTAGCTTCTTCAGCCCGGCAATCGACACGGAGAACCAGGATTTCCACAACGTTTCCGAAGCGGATAATCGGCTAACAATCCAGTCAAGAATGGAATGTGGACACACCGGATTCCAGGCATGCTTGTCGGTAATGTCCCTACAAGAAGCGTTCCCATACCTCTTGAGGCATTTTGATTACAGCTGAGGCCCTGGTTTTGTTTTCGCGGTCGCTGAGGTCGAGGAACAATCAACATCACGAGAATAGATGAGTGAGGATTACAAGTTTTCTGATGCGTCTGTTTGAGGGCCGGCTCTTGCCTCTGTGGAGTGCTTATAGTCCTGAATCTCCAGGCCCGGTCGTTGACGGGCCTATCGGCGCTTGGGCGTGAGAACCGGATCTCACACGTGACTCGGACAAGAATTCGACAGGGAATACTATAATAGGCGAGTGACCTGTGTTGACCAGTTGAAGATTCAGTCTTCGCTGGCCAACGGGTTTATATATAAGGCTATAGGCCAAATCCAAATATGGATGTAGAACTTGGAGTCGGCGAAATACAAGGACATAGACAACGTATAACATGCTTGAGTCCGTACAAGTCCGTCGGCGTTACGGCTTAACCGTACACTGTGCATCTTCGTTCAGAAAGTTTGAACTCTGATCTAACCCGAATTTGAACAGCGCGGGGTTATGTACATCATTCTGTTTGTACAGTAAGACTATGGCCCAAGAATCATTTTTGTGCCAATGTTACGTTTGGTGTGTGATCGTCCGACTGCAAGTGTCAAAACACTTAAACCCCATGTGACGTGCCTCCAACCCGCCTCATCCTTCTTATGCCTGGTCATCGAACGCCCCCCTTGTTACACCGAGCACCCGGCACACCCACACGAGCGTTTTGCACCTTCTGAGCCCTAGCTCTCCCCTCACCTCATCGCTATATCAGCTCATCAGCGCTGGCGAGTATGGAAAAATCAGACGCAGCTGCGGACAACCCTCCCGCGGTCCTCGTCACTCCTGACCTTGATGCTTCATGTCCTTTTGAAGGACCAGAGAAACTCCTTGAGATATGGTTCCACCCTGCTCCATTAAGCGCGGACCCTCAGAGTGGGCTTCGAGCCATCGATCGACACGACTGGGAAAACATGCTCAGCGTTGTCAAATGCAAGGTTCTCAGTATGATCAGCGGCCACGAGATGGACGCATATCTCCTCAGGTATGTTTTTTCACCAACTTGTTTGGCCTGACAACAACTGAACAGTTCAATTTATTAATCGTGACACAACTTCCCCCGCCACTATTCCTCGGCTGTGCTTCCTAATTGACTCCACTTCGTTGTTATCCATGAACGGCTGTTACAAGTGAATCGTCCTTTTTCGTCTTTCCTCATAAGGTCATCCTCAAGACCTGCGGCACGACCCTCAACTTGCTCGGTTTGCCACGCATCCTCGAAATTGCCGCTGACGGTTGCGGTTACCGCGACGTTTGGCGATGCTTTTACTCACGAAAGAGTTTCATGTTTCCCGAGCGCCAGCATGGCCCCCATCGCGAATGGAAAGACGAAATGGATTATTTGGACAATCTGTTTCCCAAACATAACGGTGCTGCATACGCAGTCGGCAAAGTCAACGGCGATCATTGGTTGTTGTACTTGACGACTCCTCCCGGTGATGACCAGTTTAGTAACCCTGACGAGCCTTACAATCTGCACACATCTTCCATTGAGTCATCCCAGACCCTCGCTTCGCCGAACGAAAATGATCCTGTCATGGTTTCTGTGGATTTAGACCAAGATTATACGATAGAACTGCTTATGACGAAACTGGCTGCGCCCGCTCGTCGGCCTTTCTTCTTCCTCGATGAAGACCTTAAAGATTTCACACCAGAACAAGACAGTGAGGGATTCACCGGCGTCGCACAGGCTAAAGGGGCATTTGTTTCTTCCCAGTTGGGCATATCTTCTATCTTTCCGCAGCACCTCACCAAACTGGATTCATATGCGTTCGAGCCGTGCGGATATAGTGCGAACGGCATTGTCTCCTATGGCGAGGAAACATCCAATGTCGGATTGGCAACAAACGGAGAAGGATACTATACTATTCACGTCACTCCAGAGGAAGGGTGGAGTTACGCCAGTTTTGAGTGCAACGTCCCTATCATGCCCGCGGATTTCCATTCTCCCACCGCGAAGAATTTGGCCAAGGACACCAAAGGCAATTTCCCCAATCTAGAGACGCTCATCCAGCGTGTCGTAGATATCTTCCAACCTGGACCCTGACACTCACACTCTTCATATCTTCGCCCTCTCCAACCCCGACTTCCTCTCCTTCACTGCCTATTTATGGACTACCTATCGAGAATCCAGGGAAGAAATATCCTCTCGGAATCCCTGAAATCCAACACCACATTGACGATGAAGCTCCACCTTTCGTGGAGACTGCGCAAAAGGTGTTCAGGCGCGCACTTCTCCCTCGTGGATATAAGAGGACGGATAAAATTAATTACGAGTTTGGAGGATACGATCTTGCATTTGCGACGTTCCAGAAATTGTGACCAGTTGAATGTAAAAATTTCCTCCTAGTCTGGGTGCTCATCGGAAAGGTTTGATCTCAAGAATCTCATGTCGATCTCTTCTCGTCGCTGTTAAACATGTAATTGACAATACGAACTATCTTATCTGGGACCAAGTCCGTTTGAATGCTCAGCCTAACAACTTGTGCCACACATGCACAATTAGACAACTGAAGAGCTGGAGGACGCATGGAAAATAAGATGAGGATGATCGAATATGCACCCAGATTGCTTCCTCTTTCGATTCCCGAAGGAAATCCATTTCACCAGGCCAGGATCCGATATGCTGGCCTGCCTCATTGTCTCATGTATTACGTTGCTCGCTCAACTGCGATAATTCGCACTGATCAGATATCAAGCGAGTATGGGATGCACATGCCATAAGAGAGCTGACCTTAGTCGACATCAATTTTCAGTCTCTGTACAGCTTGAAACATTCTGCCACAGCGCTTTCGGCGAAGACATGGGATATCTGATAACGGCACTAGACATTGGTGCCTGTGAAGTCTGCCGATTTTCCAGTAACAGGAAGTAAGACAATGGTTATCTATAGCCGTGCTGGTGGTGCGAGGGACGGGACCAGTGCCACATGCATGGCTGTGTGGTTCGGCATCAAGAGAGACCGGAGGTCACAGTGAGGGAAATAAAGAATGGCATCCTCTGCTATCCGTACAAATTGGTCTTGCCCCGTTGATATTGCACTCCATGAAGAGATTTGGCGGGCCCTCCGCAAGGAAAGAAGGTCTGAAATCATAACATCCTTCTTGTTCCACGAGTTGTATTGGAAACGGTGGTACTGGGGGCCTTTCGCTTACGGAACAACCCAGCAGAAGTTGGCTTACTCTCTTCCTCTTGAACCGACGGCTCTTTTGCTTCCAATTTCACAGGCGGGGAAATGAATGGCAACTCCACTTGAGGTTCGGTCGGGGGGTTAGGGATTGGGGATTGAGTGCTTGTAACATCCAGGATGGGTACAGGGGGGACTGTCTCGCTGATTTCCTCCGACTTCTCGGCTCCTTTGTGTTCAAGAGGTGTCACCCCGGCGTTTGTGGTTTTCTTTAAAACGATAGGCTTCCAAGCCGGCTTCGGGAGGGACTGGTCCTGCGGCTCGATCTTCGGCTCTTCTGTCGGCTCATCCTTTACCTCCCCTTCCTTCCGCAGAACACTAATTTCTCCCGGGTCATATATATCACCCATTGCAACAGAAATTCTCCTCCTTTTGTTGCTTTCGAATTTCCAGCGCCTCTCTTCCTCATCCGGAGTTGGCTCGGGTTCGGGCTCAGGTTCAGCTTGTGGTCGGATGATGGTATCGGCGACGAGACGTACGTCCATTCACCTATGCGGCCTTCTTTTTCTTTCAGCGCCTTCAATGCTTCCATATGCTCCCCTTCCACATCGACGAAGCCTAACTGTGCGGCGTTAGAATAGTTGGCGTAGGGATCCGAAGGTTTAACCGGTTTCTTGGGTTTAGGAGCTGGTGTGGGGGCGGTAGAATATTTGGATGGGCCGGCAATTCCAGACCCAATGTCTTGTGCGTAGGCAGCGTTAGCAGCCTAGTAAAATTTACATTAGCTAAATAAGTAAAGATGAATTTGACTCACCGCTTCCACCCTTGCCATCTCACGCTTCTCTTCAGCAAGTTCCTGCTTCTTCTTCTCCCCCGATTTATATATTCCACGAATGTAGCGCTCTCTGTTTCCTTTGTGTCGCAGGCCATTCTCGTGTTGTTGACGTGAAGGTGCGTCATCAGCGATATAAATGTCGCAGTATTTGCAGAAGTACTGTAATAATAGTGAGAGAAAAGTCATCGCAATTGAGGAACCCCCACCTTCTTCTTGCTGACCCAGTATTCGCTCATGTCTCTATCAAGCTCGCGAAAGCAAGAAACGTCAACTGGAATAATAGAGGCTGGGTCTGCCTATGACCATTGGTGAATGAACTAGCACAAATAAGGGTCTCACGTGCGTGCCCTGAAGTGACAGCGCTTGCTCATATCTTCGCTCTAGCTCTGCAGAGTGCGGAATATACGCAATAGCGATGAATTCTGCGAAATTCTCCTTTTCAGCACTTCCCATCGAGGGTGAAAGTGACAGTTCAGGGACGGAGGCTGGAGACGAAGTCCAAGCATTACGACGCTCACCAAGGCAGTCGGCGTAAGTCCTTCGACAAGTGGCAAGAGTTTATATTTATATCTCGTCCTTACAGCGTCCCCGGGAAACCCAAGCAGGCGAAGCAGAAGACTCCCAAGGAGTCCAAGGTGGTTCCAACAAACTTGAATACACCTACAGCGCCAACCGTGAACGTGAAAGAGTCCAAATCAGCCACAACTAGCCTTGAAGATGCACTATCTACCAAAAGAAGCACTACCTTGGCATCACAAGGGCCGACGAGTCTCACAGTATCCCCGGCCGACGTCTCTTCTCCTAGTGAACCAACTGGTCCTACTACTATCCTGAAATCTTCAGCAAGGGATCATTCTCGATCGCGTTCTCCCGCTCCGAAGGTTACCCGCTTTGAGCCTGATCTCCCATCGCTACCCACACCGCCGTCGACAGCAATGGAGCGGAAAAGGAAAGCTTCATCCGATATCGTGGTCCAACCATTGAGCAAGGAGGTAAAGCTCTCTGAAGAGAAGAACGTTGTTCCAGTCTCAAATGCGAAGGAAAAACCTGTGGGGACTGACGTAGCGGCCGTCGAGTTTGCAAAGAAGAAGCAAAACGCAATCACTCGAACGATATGGACGTTAGTAATGATTTCAGGATTCATGAGTAGGCCATTGTCCCGAGATCTTTCTAGATAGTCTCTCATTTACTCTGGTTTATAGGCCTTCTAGTCCTAGGTCAACCGTATATAATATGCCTTGTGTTCGTCTGTCAGGCCTTGGTATACCGAGAAGTCACTGCTCTGTTCTCCCTCACTCATCCGTCGCCAAGGGGCGACGACGAGGAACGCACCAATGCTTGGGACAGCGCACTCAACTGGTATTTCTTCGCCATTACTAACTATTTCCTCTATGGAGAGTCCATCATTTACTACTTCAAGGTATTGAACCAGCAATCTTTTATGCGTTGTTACTCAATATGATTGATTGTAGCACGTCATCTTCTCTGATGCGCAGTTCCTTCCGTTTGCCACAAACCATCGATTCATCAGCTTCATGCTTTACACCGCTGGTAAATCAGAATCTACGTCAAGACGCTGAAGATAATGATTGATTTTCCTCATTCGAAGGCTTTGTTGCATTCGTCAGTCAGCTCAAAAGGGGCTATCTTAAGCACCAGTTCGGTCTCTTCGCTTGGGTTCACATGACTCTGCTGGTCATCGTCGTGTCGTCGTATGTGCCAAACCTTACATTTTGAACAGTGTGATTTTTGACTTGGCGCTCCTCCAGTCACTTCATCGTCAACAATATTCTCGAGGTATTTCTTTCTCAATCTTGACTTCATTTGGATTAACTGATGTGTTTTTGGAGGGTGTTATCTGGCTTTGGGTTCCTTCCTCCCTCGTCATCTGCAACGATATCTTCGCTTATATCTGCGGTGAGTGCCTCGACAGGGGTCGGTTTGCGTCACTCATCCCGGATGAAGGCATCATGTTTGGCAGAACCCCGCTTATCAGGTTATCACCTAAAAAGACTGTTGAAGGCTTCGTCGGGGCTTTTCTTTGCACATTGGTTTTTGCTTATATTGTGCGTATTCATTTTCGTCTTTTTGATCTACCGTTGTGACTTCTGTACTGCAGTGGGCCACGCTCTTCATGGGATACCCCTATATGATATGCCCCGTCCGTGACCTTGGCACACATGCATGGAGTCATGTAGAGTGCATACCTAATCCTGTTTTTATCTGGCGCGAGTATCATTTATGGCCACCTCTGAATGCCCTCCTGACGTCCTTCGTGAGTTTCCGATCAACAACTCATAATCAGGTCTTCCCTGATGTTGTTGCATTAGCTTCGTCCCGATCGACCATTCCCTCCCATCCCTTATGCTCCATTCCAGTTACACGCCCTTGCTATGGCTACATTCGCGTCGCTCGTCGCTCCTTTCGGAGGATTCTTTGCATCCGGATTTAAGCGTGCTTTTGATATAAAGGACTTCGGTGATAGCATTCCTGGTCACGGTGGTATAACCGATCGTATGGATTGCCAGTAGGTGTTAATTTTAGTATGCTAAGGCATATGCTAACACATGTTGCACTGTTACTCAGATTTTTGATGGGCATGTTCTCTTATGTCTATTATTCGGCTCTAATCCGCCAACATCATGTTACTGTTGGCTCCGTTTTGCAAACCATTGTTTCGAACCTCGCTGTTGAGGAGCAAGTGGAATTGTTCAGCCAACTGAAACACTATCTGGATGGAATTGGGGCTCATCCTTAACTGTGGATATCTTGGAAACGGTGTTGGGTTGCTCCGAAAAAATTTTTAATCAGGTGCTTGTGCATGTAAATACCATGCGTTGTTTGCATGTCGTTATCCAAAATCGTTAGTACGTGATCATCATTGGGATGGGTACCCCAAGGTATATGTCGAGGAAATGGGGGGTTGAAAAACATGAATCGCACACACATACATGAAGAGTATTGCAGGAGAGATGTGAAATTGACGTATATGACAATATGTGCAGGAGGTGGACGATGGAAGCTAGGGCGGAGGTACCGCTTGTTAATACAACTACAGGGATATCAGGTCGTGACAAATCAAAACCCGCTCGCGATGTTTACTGATGGTGATGAACGAAGCTGCACAGAAGTTCAGAGATTTCAGTCAAGCGTACGGGACCAAGAGTCGCTGGTGTCAGGAGGCGTGCTATCTGTAGTGGGCACACCGGGGCGTATTTCAACGGGAACTATCTTTGGGCCGTCCGTATTTGGGCGGGCGGTGCGGGTGGTGGTAGTTGATGAGGATGTGGATGCAGCCTTGGGTGGTCTTTCAGGTTGTTTACCTTTTCCTTTGTAATCACTGGCAGGAAGGTATATAAGAGATCAAATGATGGATATGATGATCGGGAACGGTGGTTCACTCACTCACGCTTCATTCAACTGTCCGGTGTTTTGCACGAGCTGTGGGCTGCCGCCAAAAATCGTCGATGGGGCACGCCGCTCAAGGATTAACAAGGGTGCTTGTTGGGAGCCCGACGGTACGGAGACAGGGGCGACAGGTGGATTAGAGATAGGTGGAACTTGGAAAGAAGTGATTTGCACGGGTGGTTGAGGAGGTCGAGAGCTGGCAAGTGCAGCTTCAACCCTGGATAATTGGGACGGCTTCTGTGGGGATTTCGCGAAAGCTAAACAAATCAGAAGATGAGTGGGAAAAGGCCTAGGGCTGAATCACAGATGGATCCATACTGATAGATCTCCGGTGCCTCAGCTTGCGCTCTAGCTCGGCGGACAGCGCTTGGTACCTTCTTATCTCGGAAGCAAGCTCGAACGCCTTCGTGTTGTTTCCAGCGGCTTCTGCCCACTGTCGTTCTTCTTGGAGCCTCCGCGACTGCCCAGCGGCAGCAGAGGCTTCGCGTTCCAGAGAAGTGACTTCATCGGCATCCTCCTCGACATCTCGACGACCCTTTTTGAGGTCTTCACGAGTGGCTTTGATGGCCGGAGGAGGGACGCGCGGCGCAGAGGAATTGGGGGGAATGATTTCCTCATCAACGCGGTGGAGCCGCCGACGTCTGTGGCGCGGTCGAGTGGTGTCATTTGCTGTCGGTTCCGGGTTCGTGAACATCTCCTCCCATCCTGTACGGGCCAGCTCAGCCACGAAGACGCCAACTGCTATGCCGATGACGCCGCGCGCCAGTATTTCAACCTCTCCGGTCATGCTGTAGTCCCAAAGCTGAAATCAAAAGATCTTCAGCATGTGTCAAAAGATCTTTGGTCTTTGGTTACCATTCGGGCTGTAAGTCCGAGTACCAATGCGCCAAAAACACCAGTATCTGTCGAACTATACGACAGGTCGTTTCTGGAGTCAAGAAGGAAGTATAATAGCAGGCCCTCCCAAATGCCTAACACACTTCGATCCAAATCCCAAGTGAGATAAGCTCCATCTTAATCGAGTCCCACTTACAGTGCTCGAGCATGGGGATTCATCTTGGCTGTTTCAGAAAAAATGCTACTGTTACTTGTACCAGCGAAGGAACTGAGGGAGTCCAGCTCTTGCAGTGCGACGCGTAAGCCAAAACCAAGGGTTAATGCAAGACTTATGGATGTCTGAGGTTTTACTGCCAGCAGGTCCATGGCTTCCTCGTGTGCGGCTGTGGTTTCTTAGGCAACGGGTGATAGATCCACCTATCTTGGAGGGGTGGGCACGTTGTGGATGGTCTGTTTCGCTGAGGCTGATTTTTACCGCCTCAAGGCCTATTTCCTTTCTGGGTCGATAGCGTGGGAAATGCCGAGCAAACAATTCAATTGACAACCCTGCATCTGAGTGACTGAGTCTATACGGACGGTTCTTAATCTTATCGCTATCCTTCCTTTAGACGACATCGCAAGTGAGACCAAGACGTGCAATTATGCTTCCGACGATGACCTCGTCTAGTAACTGCAGCCTGAGGTCGAACATTCGTGACCGCACTAAGCCTCAAGAAGTGTCAATCGATCCCGCCGACCCAATCGTACGTTCGAGCCAGGTACCAATTCGCGCGAGTTTCATAGCCCACCTATTTTCCCTTCTTCCTGCTTCGTTTCCGGGCTCGAATGTCCCACTGGGATTACCGCCATGTTTACCAAAGGATTCGTGAAGGGCAGTGCGTTGTGCCCACTCGACCATCGTCAGTAAGAAACATATGGCCGGTTGAGAGTTCCAGGGAGAATAAGCAAACAGCTTATCATGCTTTCCAATCATTGATGAAGCATGGCTCGTCCGACAATATGAAGGATGACGATGTGCAAGGGTGCGCAATGAAAAAAAAAGCTCTCGTCTTTAGGAAGAACCTCACCAGTCCTTGAAAGGGTGTGGCCTCCCATAGGAATTCTAACACAAAATCTTGGGTGATCTGACCACAGGCATGTCGCATAGCAAGCTAGTGAAGGGTCGATGATTCCACTCTTGACCCAAGCCCCGCGTTATGCCTGGAAACCCAGGCCGAGCCCAGAGTGTTACCCATTGATGGCATACTCCCGACAAATTGTGGATGATGATCGTTTCGTGCTAACAATCGAGCCTTACTATCTCCCTTCGGAATCTATGATTACTCTGGACGGGCTGAGGCTGAGAGTAACGTCGTCAGGATGGCATACGAGGGAGGAGTCACCGAAAACATGAAAGCTACGCCGACCCGAAAAACGTAATCGATGTATGTCCTTTCGCGCACTTCAACCAAGCTCAGTGTACTTCGTGTACGGTGAATGCCTCATAGGGGCCTGAAAACTGGCAGAAGGTCGTATATGCCACTTAAGCGTAACCAGTGCCTGCGCATTTCGCTCAGGCGTCAATACCCTTAGACAGTCATTCACCGTTCTCCAGTGTGTTGTCGGTCCCCATCCCTGTTTAAAGCAAGGTAGAATCTGGCAATGTAAATAGGCATTGATCGAATCGCAGTGCCCCCAACTGCTTGACAGCCATATGTGACATCGGCATCAACACGACGCAACACAGGACGGTCATGAGCAAGCTCACATACGAACACATTCTTTCACTCTAACACACCGCTACTTCAGGACCAAACAATTCAGATTTACTTTTCCCTCAACGTCGTGCTGCAGGCCTGGAATGGCTTCCGATATGACTGAAGGGATGCTCCTTGAGCTCCTTCCGCAGCTGAAAGTATGTGTATCGTCCGCTTACTGCTATGTTCAATGCAGTCCTAGCCACAATGATCAAGCAAGACTCTCGTCTCCACACCTTCGACTGTTGCTCAGGCACGGGCTATCATCAATTCGCATCCTCAACTGACGTATTCCCTGATAAAAACAATGGTGACGTTGGGGCTTGTCGATCCCAACGTTGTTGCTGTGGGTGTATTTTCATTTTTATTCATGGATCCCCATCTATTTCATGACGAGACACCTTGTTCAATGCGTCCATTACGCTCAATCTCAGTCTGACTTTGATGTTCCTTGGCGTCATTCATCGTGGTCAGGACGCTGAAAAATGCCTCTACTTTTAGCAAAAGTTAGCCGCTTCCCAGCCTGCTGCTCCACCCGCTCCGCCTGCTCCTCAAATGCCAACAGTTCCCTCACAACCAGCGCCCACACAGCCCATCTCTTCCCATCAAAATCCCCCTTCGTCGCATCCATCTGCATCATCCTCTCGACCCGTCCTGCCTCAAGCATCAAACTCTCATGCCCCCTCCATTTTGGACGGTAACCCGACGGTCAAAGTCACGACTGGCTCAAGATTTGCCCCACCCGTGAACGCGATGGGTGGAACACCACCAGTGGCCCCCGCGACTTCCACATCCACGCAAGTCACTCCTGTGCAAAATCAGACGGCAGCCGTGGCAGCCCTTATCAATGCACTTCCTCTCGATCAGCGTGTAAGCTATGATAAGTTCCAGGATTAAAACAGTGCAACTAAGAGTCTTTTACTGTCATATCGTGTTCCACCACCCGACGGGCCAATTCTAGAACACAATCGTCCAGCTCCTTTCACTGACTCCAGAGCAGATCAATGCGATGCCTCCTGAGGGTCGTGCTCGAATACTCGAAATGGTGGGTATTCAGTTTCTTGATTCTATGTTGGTGTCTCTGATTTTGAAACACGATCCTCACGGTGCCCGTGGTGCATCCTCAATGCCATTCTGTTACTCAGAGACGAACCTTCCTTGGTCCCGGAGCTTAGCATCCAATGGACAATTAACCACAGCACGATTTTTGCATTTCGTGTCGGCTGCACCAGGTTGCAAAGGATGGTTGGATTTGGAAGAGCACATAGGTTCCAATCATATGAAGTCGGCGGGACTACTCTCCGGTTCACTACATTCGTGTGTCAACACATAGCCCCAGGAAATGAAGTCAAAGCCAAGAGAGATGGCTCAGTCAACTGAAACGCCTTTTGACCGCAGCTCGTTCTTCGCCAGGCTTATTTCCTGTGCAGCATGCAAATAATGATCAGATCAATCTTGTCATCACACGAATTCCAAGTGTACTGACCCTCATTAGTTCCTCGTACGCGTCGGGGCAATCTTTAAACGTCCATAACCCCCATCCCAACGTGGCGAGAGAGTATGCACCGAAAGACACTAGTAGCCACCAAGGTAGCTGACATACGTAGTCAGTCATGAGCGCATTGGCTTTCAGTCAGTTGAGGAAGCGTACAACGGGGATGAGTTGATGAGCAACTTCCTTGCTAACGAGGGGTAAAGGTATTATAGAAAGACAGGTTAACGCATAGATAAAGGTGAAGATGGTGGCAAGGATAGTAAAACGGTGTGCTCTTGTCATGGTCCTGTTGGACAAGTTTTGGAGGGAGTGGCTGTGTCTTCGCAATTGCGCGACTCCTGCCAAATTCTTCAAACTTGGAGATTTGACCTCTCAACTACATATGCAAGGACGGTGTTTTACGCCATCGCTCGACAAATGGTCTGCTATATCGCCGCCTAGGGAAGCACTGGCTTGACTCAAATGTATTGACAACTGTCTGTTAGCCCCGCAAAATTGTATCTGCCAAAGCCCGAAGTGTAGGCTGAACCCGGGGTAGGCACAAACAGAGCACTCGTGTCATTTTGCTTCTGCTGCTCAAGAAGCCTGTTTCCCGGCACTCTGTCGGGGAACTGAAGAGGATTGCACACCACGGGATTCTTCAATGCGCTCAAAATCTTAGTGCATATTTGAACTCTGCAACTATTTGCTCCCTATTCCAAATTCGCGAACTTCCCACTTAACCCCATAACCACCATTATTCCGACTCAGTCCGCGAAAGAAGATGGACAGGCGAGTCTAGGCCAACTTTCACCCATCTCGCTTTTTTCCGATCACGGAGCCTACGATACCGCTTGGACCCTCGGATTATTGCTTTATGCCCAACAAAACTGCATGTAGCTCTTAAGACCGCGCAATCTCCTATTTAGGGATGCATTTTCCCGGAGGGCTTCAAAGGATGTTCAGAGTCGCAGCCACAATTTACATGACGGCAACATCTCTGGAGGAATATCGATTCCTATGTGGCGAGCAGCTCCTTGCACTACTCACCCGGTACTCCTATCTCCCTGGATATGTGGTGCGGTGATCCACAAATTCAAAAGAAACGGTGATGCGGAAAAATGCCCGTAGGGATTACTCTGCCCAAATTCGGCATTTATCTACCTAAGAAGACGCTTATGGCTATTGCATATGTTTTTAGCCATCATATATAATATGCTGAAATATGTGCTCTTTTGACGGGGCTGCGCACGTCGAGCGAATGGAAGCATTGGTCCAGGATGCACTGCAGCCGGGCCGAGAACTTACAAGGTCATCCGCCCAGCTTTCTTTGCCTCCTTTGCTTCGAGCTTAGGGACCGTAACACATGAGAACCATGATGACTGCGGCGCGCGCATGCTGTGCCACCCGTCGTGCGAGAGGCTGTCCATCCTGTCCAACACCTGCAGAGCCTTCGCCGCCTTAGTGGACCGCCAAAACATGGGGGATTCTTCTGCTCTATATCTGGGAATTATCTCCTAGGGGAGATAACTTTGAACGCTGCATTGGCTTCTAGCAAGCCAGATCCGTCCCCTGGGAACCATGTGCCGCAAGGAAGCTGCCTCTAATGATGTTGTCGGTGCTTCTCCTTGGTCCCTATCTCGGCAACGCAAATGGGCGTGTCCCAAGTTTCTCCATCACCTCGGCACCCAAACCCCACGAAGGATGAAATAGATACGATATTGGTGTATTCGCGGGAATTTCCTCTCTCGAATTTGCTGTAGTGATCTTGACTTGCGCATTTCCTGCTGATATCCTGGCCAGGCATGCCATAAGAAGCTATCCAAGTGCCTCCGCCTATTCAACCCAAGGTTTCCATGAAATGCAGGGTATAACGGAACAAAAAGTGCACAAGTAGGTGTTATTTCTCCCCCAGATCGGTTGCGCACTGCAAAGTGACATCCTAAGCAGGCGTATAAACCTCTAGCTTACTTTTCTATAGTTGGGTACAACGCAGAATACGTTCGACATCTCGTCCTAGCCCCGAACAGTGATTCTGCGTGACAGCCGTCCATGTTATCTATATTATTTTCCAACTTTGAAAAGTATTCTCCATTTGCCTTTGGCGCCTTAATACGAATCCCCCATGAATCAAAACAGGCAAAGAATCTGCGGAGGATTATTTTCTTCCAGACAAGGGGGGCTATTTGCCTTTGTTGCGAGAGACGATGGTTATCAACTTGCAGTTAGAGCCGCTCCCTGGGAATCTTATGTCAGGAGAATCGGTGACGGTGAAGCCGTCAGCGCTGGTTCTCTCCTTCTGGCTTATCTTGCTTATCAGGCCAACATCTACTTGTTCCCCGTTATGACGCAGGCACAAAGAAAGGATACACGCCGTCCTTATCATGACTGAAGCATTGTGCGCGACATCTATCTCGATGTATTTAGAGTCTTAGACTGCCATCCTCCTGATTTAGGTTCTGGCCTCGGCTTTACATCTTAGGGTGATTCGTGTACGTGGCTACGTAACTAGTGGAGTAGCGGCGCCTCCACGCCTTTTTCCTTCCTATAGCGCACAATCTTGAGTGGCTAGACCAGCTCCTGAGTTAGTCAGCTACCTAATGAGCCCTGTCCTTCCCCCCTACTGTATTGTGCGCGGATGAACGCGTGCCTTGCGACGGCGGATATGAGATTCTGTGCAAGTACTCTGGACTCGCTTCTTTGAGGAAATGAACCCTACATTCGGTAGTCCCGTACAATTGCAGTAACACCTATTTGAATATCCTCTGGAAGGTATACATTCACTGGATCCGCCCAGGACTTCAGTGCTCCTATTTTGCTCCCGTTACATCTCCATGCCAGAGACGCCACTAGAGCAACTCCGCCCCGCTAATGGATAATGCATACAAAGTTCGCCCATCTTTTTTTCCACTCCATCTGTCGTCGTTTTTTCAGCTCCTAACCTCTCCAGGCACATGGCCCAGCAAGATCATAATCAGGTCACAGAGACCCTTACCCTGACGAACTTTTCACGTGCCTCATCAGAGGATACATCGCATATGACAACTCGGACGTAGGAGAGTGTACACCGATTGAGACGATCCGCCATTTTCGCTACACGCTGGTACAAAACAAACCTGATTCCGTTTGTGTCACGTACGACTTCACTTGCAGTGTGGCGGCGTGGTGCAATTGGATCCCGTCATCACAGCGAGGATGGTCTGAACATGCAAGATACTGCTGGTGGTCGAAATCGGGTTGTGTAATCCTCGGAGTTTGTGTCTATTCACTTGCGGTCGGTGACATTCTGTGGAGAGCATAGCTAACCAATCGCGAGCTTCATGAGGCTTACCGGCCGGAAGCAACATTGCATGCAATCATCAATTGAAAATAAGTGATCAGATTGATCAAACTCCATCTGTCCTTCGTACGGACGCGTCTCCGGTGCCAGACGCTTCATATCACCGCATCAGTTTCAAAAACATTTTGCGTGGAACGTCGATAGAATGGATTCTTCGAAACTTAATTGAGGGAGGTGGAATACACTTGTACGTATGGCGTGGAGGGATGAGGTAAGGTGTATTTACCGTGGCTAGCGCGCTGAAATCATGATAGTGCTTATATGAACGGGGCGTTTTTTTTTTTTTGCTCGGTATTTCGTCGATGTAATCAAGTCCCACGCGAACGCCTCCACCGTCGACGGTTCGTACGAATTGTTAATATTCTTGGTATGTGGATACCTATGCATGACTCTTGACTGACTTACGATTTAAGGCAGCGCTGTCACATCTTAATAACGCGCGGGCATTTCTCCTATTTTTCCAGCCATACTACCATGATACCTCCACATGGTGCGAGGGCATTCCAAATGGTGCTGCCCCCGTACCAATCAGCGTTGCAAGGGTGCCACATTTGTACGATGTGGCAAGGCCCCCCCCCCATTCCCGGATCTAACCGTCCGGTAGTCGACTTTTCATCCACTGGTTCTTAAATCATATCACCCTCCACCTAAGATCATAGACCTGCGAATCTAGCATCTGCTTTCCGGCAACTCAGCTCAACGACACAGGAAATTTCCCCTCTGCTCCGCGTGTGCAAGGTATACGACGGATCCACGGCGAACCTGCCCGGTTCAGAAATCGTGATCAGCGAGAATGCAATAACCTATCGCTCAGGCCGCAGACACACGCCCATTTCTCCCATGTTCTCTATTCCACCATTCTACAAGTCGTTGGAGATATCCTGTCGAAATCCTACTTATGATTAACGACCACCTATGAGTTGCCAGCTTGTGCGATTGACCGAGCACTCCCTACGCCTTGCTTTATATCCAGCACATGCAGCCGTAGTTGCGCGTACATACAGAGCAAGTATGCGCCAGACGATCCGGACGTTTTCCGAGAACCAGGCAGATCTCAGGTCCATCTGGCAACATCCAAACCTCGTTGCTATCACGGGCACTATGCAACCTCCTATTAACAATTCTTGTGCCGACTTCACAAGGCTATGGTCGTGCTTCCAATGGTTTATCTTGGGTTGCCTGCTTGATTTCACATCCGGTCCTGGGAAATCGTTCGTGCATTTATGATAATGCGTATCCAAAAGTGCAGTGGGGAGGGGGGGGAACGCTTACCCGCAGAACCTCGAAGTAGCAAAGACCGCTGCCCGAAGACCATCGCTGATCGAGCCCGATTCCCGAAAAATCTCCGCCGACATCGGTTGTCTACACTCCGTCTTTATATCACATATCACATACTCATATGAAGGGCTAGGTCAAGCTATTGAAAGGAGTCAACCTCCAGTACAGCTGCCTGACCATTGTTGCTCTACTCAAATGATGATTGCGTGCGGCCACATTCGATTTGAATTTCGAGGACACGGGGCCTTGAGTTCAACTTGAAGGTCCCATATTTGGATAGAGTGCAGTGAGAGAGGCGGTCACTTTTGCATTTGTATTTCCCGTACAAACCACCCGTATAACGGCTTGCAGGCACGCCCAGTCGATCATGAATTCGTGCCTTTTGTACCTCATCACAGGAACCTAACCCTCACGATTCATTTGAAATCTTACTATTCATTCTTGACATGATGGAAAACAGTTTGAAAGGGTTATTCACCCGATGCTAGAAACCATTGTGTACCAGTGGCTTAGAGGTGTCGAACTAGCTTGCCTTCCAGTTCGAGATCTCACGCATGAACAAACCCTCTCGACGTCGGAATATGGAACCAAGCACACCCACCGAAGACCGGCCCTGCATGTCGTCCTCGCAGAATTGCGGAAGCACAGCAGGTCCAATCCCGAAAAGCTTTGGAACGGGCGGGACGCTGAAAGGAAAAGAGAATAGAGCGAAGAAAAAACGTAAGGGATGCATGGAGGGTAAAAAGCTATCTGTAGAAGCTCTACTTATTGCCCTTCGCCCTTCGGTCCCTTGAGCTCCCAAGCTGATGCCCGAAAGCCAGCTGCACCGGGGTTGAATCGCTGATACCAACATCGAAGGGCTGGATTTATATATGAGGACAGAACAGAGCGAGGGTTAATTACAATATTATAGTGATCTGGGTTCCCAAGAACGAATTGCTACCGATTATTTCGCCCGAAACTCAACCCAAGAGAGTGGGGGGGACAGTCAAATTGGAGTGAGAAATTAAAGCAGTCAAAGGGGGGAGGAGGGTCGATGGGTAGATAGGGGGTTGGTTGGGGTGTATTTTCCAGGTATAACATGTCCTTAGTCACGGATGATAGACAATAAGCCAATAAGGTAAAAGCTGAACGAATGAATAGGAACGGTCCTTCCACCCGCCATGTACCCAAAGTCGGACTAGAGCCCAACTCGGGGGCCGGTGCTTGTGATCTGGATGCATCGAGCCCTCCATCCTGTTCCTCTGAGCCAGAATGTTGGCATCAGATGGAGGAGATTCGGTGAGGCGGTGATGCGGTGAACATGAAGAATACGCGGGTGGAGCAGGCTTAGGGGTGTGGGTGTGGGTGTGGGTGTGTGAGATCTGTGCGGCGGGGTCATGAACGGATGTGCAAATCAATATTAGAAGGGTTGGGGGTTGAGCAAACAAATAAATAACGATTGTCCAATAGGTGGCGGGATTAAACACGGAATTCGAACCCAAATAAGGCCGAGTTAAGCGAGACAAGATGACAAGGAACGGACAGGATGGACCGGCTTGAAAGAGGGGCGCGGGTCGGCGGCAGTGGCAATGTTAAATAGCATACGCAATCCATGGGTGGCGGCCCGGAATAGCACCATTCGATGCAACGACATTTTCCAAGAGCAGACTAGCCGGGAATGGAGACGGTCCTTGTAGCGGTTGTGGAGACTGCTGTTGAACTATAATAATTCTGGCCCCGTGCACGATGCAAGCCTGCCCACACGAGGAAAAGAGATAAGCAGATAAGAAAATTGCAAGAAAAAGGCACTACGAATATGGCAAGGCAAACGGGAATAGTCCTGTTTTGTATGTATAGAAGCGGTGTTGTGGCCAAATGAATTACGATGACGGCGATGGTGACAGTGGCGGAATGGAACAATCAGATCGGCCGGAAAACGAACGGATGTATGGATAATGGAGCAAGAGGAAGGAGTTTGGTCAAGAAGGAAAGGACATGCTAGAAACAATAAGAGTGAGCAAATAGTAGAGCGGGAGAAATTTGAGTGTAATAAGAAAGATATAGATGCAGATACAGACGTGAGATATAGAAAAGAGAATGTAGGGGTTCTTGGTAAGATAGATGAGTGTGTTAGTTTGGGGCAAAAAACGAGAGGACGGAGAAGGGGCGGAGGAATGATCCCCAAAAGGTCAAAAAGAAAAAAAAAATTGCTATTTTCACAGGAGTGGAAACGGGGTGATAAGGATGACAATAATCGGATGCACTTGAAGTGCAATATTAGCTGTAGAAGGCGCACACAGGAGGAGAGACGTTCAAAGTTGGAACACAAACACAACAAACCAGGTCTCAGGAGCCCGAAGATGGCTGCTCTAGTGGGACTTCAGGGCCAAGAGCCCCAGCGAGTGACGATCGCGCGGGTACCTTTGGAACCTTATATTGAAGCTGATATGTAGTGGGTGGCACATATCGAGGTTGCATCTGTTGCTGCTGATGGGGCTGCACTGTAGCCGAGCTCGAGGGATATGGATACTCAGACAGAACACTCTCAGGCGTGTCGCCCTATGGAAAAATACCCAGGTAATGGGAGGTATTAGAAACCAAACAAAAGTCAAAGACAGGCAGAGACAACATACGGGAAATCCGGGAGAATAATCTGTGCTCATCCCGAAGCCAGAACCAGGCGTCGATTCGTGCGACACGACGGACGTAGGCGTGTAGGTCAAAGGCTGGGCCGGAGTATCATGAGAATACGCGGTAGAAGTAGCCGGAGAACTATATACATCGTACGACGCGAGGGCAGGATTGGCCCCATGAGGGTAAACGAGCGAAGCGCCATAGAGTGGACCAGGACCATGAACAACAGGAGGCGGAGGTGTGAGATTATAGGGAGAAGATGCGACGATAGCAACATGGGGCGAACCGTATGATCCGTGAGGGAAACTGCCCCCCACACTACTCTCCACACCACTCACAGTGGCTTCGAAAGGGGCATTGGATTGCTGTGGCGGATGGAAAACAGGAAGTGGACGCGCAATAGGTGGATGTTCATACCGGTCCCCAGCAGCAGATTCATCATGGCCAGCGCTTCGTGACCCACCGCTATTTCCGGGCACGTAGTAAGAGCTAATCGACGTCTCCGTAGGATAGCTAGGGTTCTGGCCTAAGGCCGGAACGTATTCGTAGCTGCTCCCATAAGCCGGATACCCATGTCCGGTGTAAGCAGCGGTATGGGCAGAATAAGGAGCGCTCCACACAGGAATAGGAGTCTCGATAGTATATGGTGTGCTAGGAGACCCAGCTTGGGGTGTAAAGTACACGCTAGGCGTCGACGGAGTATTAGTGCTTGCCCCTGGAGAATCATCCTCGTAGTTGAGCCCGGTATTAGTAAGAGGACTAGGGGTGCCTTGAACGCGGCCAGCCATAACAGACGGGGCATCTTCGAGCCGAGGCACAACGAATGGTGGTGAGGGAACTGTTTCGTTGCCTCCAACTGTCTCGGGGGAGAAGTCTCAATCGGCTGTAGGGGCGAGACAGCCGTAACAACGTCTTCTGCACTCCCTTCACCACCTTCGTTCGCAGTCTCAAGTATGGGATGGACAAAGGTGGCAGGACATGAGGCTCGCCTAATATCAGGCGCAAATCCATCAGGGAATGCCCATTGCCGATCAAACTGGCCACTTCCTTGTGCCGACGGAGGGGAACGACCCAAAGCGTTCATTCCCGTACCCGAGGTTGAGGCATGCGACAAGATGAGTGGTGGAGGCCGAGGCATTGGCATTGACTGTACATGGTGCGGAGCACTGTAAGGTCCTTGCTCATGGCCGCCCGATGGCACATCTTCGCATACTTCATGTTCCACCGTGTTCCGCGCGAGGACTCCAATACTTATACTTGTCGCGAGAGATCCAGTCGAGTAGATGCTGGGGGTCGAGCCAAATCTAGATAAGGAGGACTCCACGGACGCCGTTGATGCGTGGCCGCGACGGATGACTGACGAAGCATCTGACGAGTAAACAGATGGGAAAGAAGTGTTTCGATAATCTTGGGGGGTAACGAACTCCTGGAAGGAGGATGAGGGAACGTCCTGCAAAGGAGGCATGCTCGAATCGGTTGCACTTTCCTCTCGAGACACTTCTTCCGCTGTCGGAGCGTTCTCGGGCTCTTCCCCTTTGGCTTTCTCATCCGAGTCGGCCTTGGTGGGTGTCTTGTTGCTTCCAGACCCACTGCCGGGACTGGCAGACCCGGAACTGGACGACGTTCCAAGAGTGTAATGTGGCGAAGGTAATGGTCCAGGAGGCAACGGCCCAATATGGCGAACCGGGGGCCAAAATCCATGGGTATCATGTTCCGAGGGTCCAGGAAACTCTTGCGTCGGGTGATGCTCAAGAACTGGAAGGCTGTGTCTGTAGGAAAGGGGCTGCACCTGAGATGCTGAGGACCTCGGGAGGGTGTTGTAGAATTGCCTGCGGGACGGATTAGATAACGAGGGTGTGAGCAGGTTGGGCGGCGCATCGACAGGTAGATCGAAGACAGACTCAGGATGATCGTGGAGTCGCGCGCGAAATCCTCCCGATCTATGCACGGCCAAGGGATGGGGCATGAACCCAGCCTGCACACTCATACGAGAGGCTGTCCCTGCAATGGATCTAAAGGTGGACCCACTCTCGCTCAGATCACCACTTGCGTCTCCAGTAGATGGTCTAGCTTCATTGTTGCTGGCTGGATCACCTTCCTCTCCTTGGTTTTTGAGCCTGTCCTGTGCAATTGGCAGAATGTCCGTCTGTGCTTCCACAGGAACAGGTGCAGAACCCCTTCGCCGGAATATGTACCCAGAATTCTGTCTAGTGGAATATCTTCCTGACACATCCCCTTCGCCTGATGACGAAGGATCTCCTGAGCCCATTGGAACGAATGACATCGTGGGACGATTGAACCCCACCGTGGACCGCCGACGAGTCAAGGTATGAGTCATAGTGGGTGATGTAGGGGAAAGGGGAAGCCAATGAGACCATATCGAAGACGCCGCAGAGCCAATCGTTAGATTTCGAGGGGAAGGGTATGGCGCACTCCTTTGACGAGAGGAGGATCCCGGTAAACTCTGATGGCGACCAAACATGACGTCTTGTTGGCGACGGAGCGCATGGGGGGAGATGGGATTTGAAGGAATGAAAGGGTTTCGATACGCGGTTGGGCTTGAGCCAGGAGTGAGCGCCTGGGACGCATGACTTGAGGCAGGGAGCTGAGTGAGCTGAGCGGCGGTTAGGCTGAGGAGTTGTAGAGATTGAGCCGGGGACGTCTGATGGCTTTCACTACTTCCAGCAACAGGCACGGTGGTTACAGCGTTGGTGTCAGATATGGGTAGGTTGCCCTCAATTGACACTCCTTTCGCACGAGAAAACTGGATACCCAATGATGAGGATGAAACGTCAGCGCCCTCGCGTAGGGCTTCGGATACGCCGTGTTCCGACGACAAACCAGGATTAAGCGAGGCCGGAGCGGCTTCATGTTCATCCACTTGTTCAGGTACAGTCACTGGATGTAAGGCTATACCGATCTCCTCGGGCTCTGGGGAAGGATCCAGTCGACGGGCTGGCCGCGCAAACTTGGGCGGACCCCGATGGGTAGGATTGGAGGTGGATGGCTCTGTGAATGTCGGGCTCAGAACGAGAGCTCGGTGAGTCAAGTCTTGCGCTGAGCCTGTGCTGGTCGCCGGTTCACGCGTTCTTTTGTGTTCGTTTACTTTAGCTGTGGCTCGTCTGCACAGATGCATACAAGAAGGGTCGATATGACGAAATTGGAAGTACGGCGGAAGACACGTCGCGCTTACCTGTTCTGGAACCACACCTGCAGTTCAAGAAGGGGTTAGAACCATCATACGCATAGTGCCAAACAAAGGATGAACGTGCCTGCACCCGCTTCACATCCATTCCAATCTGACTGGCAATCTCCCTTTTACGCGCGTTGGTTGGTCTCGAATCCTGGACATAGGCTTCGAGTAAAACCTGCAGCTGGGCATCAGTCGTTCGCCGACGGCTCCGAGGACCAGTTGGATTGTAGAACTGGGGGTTCAAACCGGGCCCGATAAGAGGAACGCTATCGGGATATAATGTTGAAGGGAGAGCCACGGTCTGGCAGTCAGTTGTAGGCGACGGGGGATCGCTAGAAGATGAAGGCGCGGCAAACTCATCCATTTCCCCCTCCTTGCCGTCGAACGATACCAAAGGATAGAGGGGAAAAGAGAGAGAGCACTAGGAAAGCGACATAGTTTGGAGGGATGTCATAGGCGGAAGCAAAATTTATTTGAACCATCCCTCGACCCAGTTTGGCTCACGGATCCCTCGGGAACCTGGGAAGATTTCCTTTTCGAAGTCCAGGGCATTTATGCATCCTTGTATTCAGTTGGACTTGTATTTTGATTTTGAAGGTATTTTTCCTCGACGGGGACGGTTTTGAGTTTGGAATTACCAGCGCTTTTGGGTGGCGCTTAACTGTTAAATTGTTAGGATTCGCTCCCGAACATTTCCTCGAGTCCAAATGCGAAAAAAGCTCACTTATTACCCCCGCGGAAATCCAGCTCCGGTGCTTAGTGAGCAATTGTATTGAGCATTCATATCGTATCTTTCAGGGATTTGATGCTCGTTCAAGAGCTTCGCGACTCTGACTCTAGCATAAGGGTGACCGTGAGAGACTGTGGGAATCCAACCGTTCTCTCGCTCTTGTGGAAGCTTACACTGAGGTTCCGAATCTTGGCACCATCAAAAAGTTCCTGGGAGGGGGGAAATGCACAGTCGACTCTAATCTAACAGGGACGTTTTCGAATTTCCAACATTATCAAATACTCGGATAGGTACCATGAAAGGTCAGGCCTGGGAACCGATTCTTGGCCGTATCTGCGGTTTTTTGTTAAATGTTCGAGGCCTGTGACTTATGCAGAGGTTCAACCCTCGAATTCTCAGGCAACTGATCGCGATGCGAGAGCCGCTGCCGAAATCACACCAAGTAGCTTCGGAATGTATTTGGAATTCGACGTCGAAGATGGTCGCTAAATGCGAGAAGATTTTCCAAACTGGTTCAAAGCAACAACTGATGAGATTTGGGATTCACTGTCGGGCCTTCGGTCCATACAATCTCGATCTCCATCACACTGCCAACCCTGCATGGAAGTCCTGGGGCTTCGCCACCAATAAATTTTTGTTTCCCTGCACTGAGCTTGTGCTCAGTCAGGCCGATTGACGCGAACAGACCAGAATACGGGAAGGCGAGCATCGTACTTCGGGGCAGCAAGCAGATATCTCTTCCAAGCTTCCGTTGAACTATCAACATACCCCGGAAGCCGAAGCATGATGGAAGAATCGTGTTCGCTTCCTCACTTCCAAACGCGGGTAGTGCTAACAATAGCCAACCAAAATGGAAACTGTCCCGAAACAGGTGCTCGACCAAAACTGAATGGGAACAGCGGGCACAACCGCTACACGATGATGACGGATACGCACAACGAAAGGGGCGACCCAACCTCAGACAGTCAAGGATTTCCCACCAAAATGGGGCTATCACAGGCGACAGAAACGGTGGCGAAGCGTTACTGCGCGCCACATGGAAATAAATTTATGAGCCCAGAGCAATCGAACAAAGTAGCCTGGAACCCTTCGATACCGTCGACGAAACATAGGCACAGATCATGCAAAGCTCTCTCCATGGATACCCACATTTCGGTTTCTGGACGATGAAACACAACCTTCTCGTGCCAGCAACCAGATTTCGTCCCGAAATGGCAAGTCCCTCCCTTATCGCAGACCGAACGACCAACTGAAGGACTACTTTGCCCTGTGCACCGTCAATGAGCGCGGCATGCGAGACGCCAGAACTACAACAGGGACCGGAAATTAATCATCGAGCCCACCCGCAAAACGCAGAAGCCTCCTGAACCTCCTGAAACCCTTGCCGAACTCCCCATTAGAAACGGCTTCCAATAGCTGTTTGAGTAGGGGGAGGCATAATTCAGCCTTGTTCGAAAGATGTCTGTCGCTGTTTCTTTTGCTACCCTCGAGTGGGAAGTAACCAGCTTCAGCTAGGCGCTCAGACTCGGATGTATGACGCTCCCCTTTGAACTCACTCTGGTTCTTGTCTTCGAATTCAGAAGCGATCCCTCCCCCCGATCAGTATTACACATGCGAGGCCACGTGCCTACACTGTCAGCGACAGGAAGAGCGCGAAGGAAACACCGCCTCTTTCCTGCGGATGCTGCCATAATGAACCGGGCCTTATGGCGGCCTATCAGCAAGTGTTGGCGGAAGGCTTCGCTAATAGGGGGGGGGGACAAAGTTAGGAGGTGGTGGGGCGCTCAAACAAATTTGGATGCAGGAGAGTCGGCAGCTTTCTGACCGCCTCCGAGAATGGCGGCACCGGCCGACATGTGGAGAGGCACACCACTAAGGGTCCCACACACAACCCATCAATGCGCTGAGCATAGCATATATGTAGAGGGAAAGACTTGAAGTCCCACGGAGACCGGCGGAAGCGGTCCAAGTGTACTTCCGGCAGCAAAGACTGGCCAGAATTGAGATGTTTTCGCCCCCAAAAGCGAACGACCAACCAGATCGCCCAAGATGCCGCGGATAACACCGGCGCAGTTGTAGGGACACAGCAATACCGTCAGCACAGCACCCAACCATCTCGACGTACGACATGACGTGCACAGGTTTCAAAATAGCTATTTGTGCACTTGGGCTTCAGCATCAAACATATTCGCGCCAGTTGACCCAATCGGTTCTTGGTTCAGGGATCACGATCGATTTTTTGCGAAGAAATTGATCTCGTTCTGATGTGAACTAGGCGCCCAAGGGCGTTCTCCTACCGTTAGCCATAACTCTCTGTGTGCATGTGCGCACCTTCCAGTTCAACGTACGCGTTCACTCACCAATCGGCTATTATCGCCCGTGCTAATTAATGCTGCATGACGCATGCGCGCTCACCTGCCTACATGCGCGCCACCGCCACCGGTTAGTTTTACCGATCTTCTGCCCGTCATGTTCCACATGCTAACAAGGGTGAGACTCGGGTAATACCCTCCTCCGGTGATTTGGAGAGGGGCTTGCAGCATTTACTATACGTCTTTACCCCTCAAGCTACCACAGCAATCTGGCATGCCCGCTGGTGGATGAGCAATTCTGGATTTTCTTGAACGCGAACAATCTTGTTCTCATTCTTAATTTTCGTGGGACTCTGGACTGTGCGGCGGCATTCCCGGCGCCGGGGGAAGTCCTCTCTTCACATGGATCACACTGCGGGCTGGGGAAATGATCTGCAACGCCATGCACGTCTTTCCCAATAGTCATCTTCAGGAGGGCGGAGGCCGCATTGACGCCCCTTCATAACTGCACCTGGTGTCTCCTTGCTGAACATCGAGCTTTGCGAAGCGCTCCTCATCTCCAATGCTGTCAATTCCAACAAGGTTTGGTCATTCGTACATGTATACATTGCGTACAAATTGTTAGTAAAATAATGATACCCAAAACTGGTCTGATGGGCCTCAATATTGACCACATCTAGATAACGATCATACACACTGGAAACCAGCAGCTTGCAAACTGGCGCACTGGGATACAAGCTGAACGTAACGATCCGTTAGCTGGATGTTTCAGTCTGCGAGGGACTCTTGGTATGCTCGCAGACTCCAGAAAGCTTTTGAAAAGTCGCATGCACTGTGAGCGAGGTGAAATCGATCCTTTGTGGACTAGTACGTTACGGGAGCTTTAATCATATTTCAGGGTTGAACATCTTAATAACGGTTTCCGAGGCTGATTGCTCTTGCTCAGCTCGGCACCCATTGAAGTGCCCGTAAGGAATCGTAAACTCAGTGCGTAACTGAAGGATACGAACGGTGGGAAAGCAACACAAGCCAACTAGTGATGATTCGCCATGAGAAAAATGAGGATAACTGAGGCGATAATCAACACAGGAGATCGTCCATCGTCTTCAAAGTGTAAGCGGTTACATAAATCAAACATGCCATTCAAGAGAACAATGGAACGGAACCCTCTTGGAATGTCCCAAGGTCGACAGCAAAGCGTGAGGTGCAGATCGCACAAGGGAACATTCAGCGGATGTTGGTTGCCCAGCCGATGGAACCTCTCGACGCGCCAAATCCGAATATAGTTAAAACTATTTCCTCATATGGCAAATCACTACATCTCCTATCGTAGTACGCTGAAAGATGCGTTGCCGGTTCTTTTCACCATAAACACAGTGGATAAACGTAGCACGGAGGATTCTGTGATACGTGTCAGGGACCGGAGTTTAGCCTGGCACCAATCCGCCGTAAAATATGGAAGCCTAAAACAAGCTTCGTGCAACGGCCAGGGGCGTATAAGGCACTGAAGGCACCCCCATCCATCGCGATGATACATTTGGTCGCTGTTGGCGGTTATGAAGACTCCGAGGGTCTGGGAAGCGTAATGGAAAATTGAGTTGAATGGCAGACTTGACTTGGCGATTAGAAATAATACAGTCAGTGATACAGGTCAAAAGGAATCCCTTACGACGGTCGGTTTCGACCGGTTTGCATTGGAGGTTGAGAGGGGATATTTGATAGTCACAACTGGCGCCTGCTTAACTGCGCGACGCTTTGACCATGTTAAGTAAAAATCGCCGTGGAAAAGCTCTGCTGATCGACATTCTTGGCAGCAACTTGGGGAATCAGTCCGTGCGTTGGCATGGAAAATCTAACTAGTGTTTGTGGCACTCTTCCTTTGTCACTGATTACGAGAAAATTTCCTGCCCCCACAGGAATGAAAGAAGCTAGGAGAACTTTCGGTTCATTCAAAAGGGTGAGAGGCAAGAGGAGGCTTTCTATGCCATAGCGAATAACATGGGCTCTAATGAGGTAAACCTGAACGATTCAATTTACTGAGGTGACTGAAGAGCATCTCCAGAAGCGGCACACCATAAAGAGGTACTCCCGAAGGGTAAGCAGTCGATTCCATGAATAGTCAGGATCGTTTCTGAGCTGGTTTCTGACCAGGGAGACTCCCAAGTCTCTGGCTTTGTGGTGACACCTTCATTGAGGCGAGGGGGCGGCAGGCTCCGGATGTTGTTTGGCCGTGAGAAAATCCCGGCACCCCAGTCAAGCAATGCCACCACCATCTCCTTCATCAGCCCTATACCTGAAATTACTCCCAAAGACCTTCTATGTGTACCAAATACCTTCGGATGCCTCTTATTCCTCAGGCTTATTCGATCACCTTATGAACGACACGCACGGCGCCGTCAGGGGCGGTGGGCGCACTGCTGGCCCCTTTGCGCGATTCGTATCCATCACCCGTACACGAGATGAGATATCCATTGTTGTCGATGAATCCATCGATGCGGAGCTCTCTCGCCACGGCGTGCGGCTAGACCCTTCCAAGAAAAGCCCCTGGCGTTGCGTCGCCGTCAACGGACCGATGGAGTTTTGTGAGCAAAGACTCATTGGCGCGCGCTTGGATGAGCCTCCTCGAACGAGCCCCTTTGCTCTGACTTGCATTATTTTTATTTCCAGCCCTTATTGGGGTTTTGTGTGACTTGACGACACCCCTGAAGCTTGTTGGCATATCAATTTTCGCCATCTCGACTTGGTGCGCTCATACCCATCTCCTATAATACCCCCCCCCCCCTCTCTATTATTCTAACGTTGAGAACAGGAACACTGATTATTTACTTGTTCCATACGACAAGGCAGAAGACGCTGTCCAGGCTCTCAAAAACGATTCTTGGACATTCACAGATGACGTGAATGCCGTTGCCTAGTGAGCAGTGATCCAGTGAAGGCTACCTACGGAGAACGCGTTTTCAGCACGCACAACTTGTGGATTCATTGACGCATGGTGGCGTGGTGTCATCCTGAAATAGGAACAGATATCAAGGAATAGGGAATGATGGAATTGAAACCATGATGCGGATCGCAGGCGTATGGTATGGAAGTACAAAAAGAAACCAGATTAACCGCCCAAATGTCTGAATCCCATAACATAAGTAGTGGACAGTGGTGATACATAAGAATTCAGCAAGCCAGTGCTCTAATAGGGGGTTAACAGAGTACAAGTAATAATCCAAGTTAAGGTGCTTTGTACTCAGAGATTCGATGGAGTCTAAATGTCGCCGTAATTTTGGGGCGTCAAGACCGTGATCTTGCACAGAACACGCCCTCCCGGATATTTGCTGTTGTGTAACTTCAACCCGATGGACCCAGCGCCGATGATCGCTTTTGTCCCAGATGATTTAACAGGCCTCTCATAGTAATCCATGGTCTCTTCGTCGAACGGGCCAGTATTGGGAATGACAAATGGACGAAGGTCAGCTGGAGGCACGAAAGTCTTCGCTGCTCCGTTCCAATTGTAAGCAGCTTGGATAATAGCACGGACAGGCTCCAGATCAATGGGGAGTTCGTTGACACGGTCACCAAAAATCGCCTTCAGGAAAGGCATTATTCGTTCATCTCTGAGGGCGCTCAAGATGTTGTCCACCAAGGACGCCTGAAGATTGTCGCTGATTGCATGATCCAATGACTTGAATGTTCCAGCCCTCGCATGCAACATGGAAATATCGGTTTCTGTGGTTCTCCGTGAAAATACACTTGTTACAGGAAAGGCGGGTGTACTTGCCCTCATAGGAGATCGAACGGTAAAGGCTCTTCAGATATTGGGAACATTTCATTCCCTCTTCCTTCCCCGCCCTTCGTGAAAGGGATGGATGGAATGGTCCGAAGATTTCGTCATGGAGTACTTCGTTGATAACTGAACGTAGTCCCCAGTCGATCACGTCTTCGAGGGGTCGTGGAGCATGGCTTCTTGATAAAATCATCGAGGGTATGGCATAGCCTCCAGGGAATGAAGCCTTCAGTGCCTCTACGTCAACATCGTTTGTGTAAGGTGTTTCGATGCCATCAAACGGCCAATTTTCTAAGGTCCATTCCGCAGCACCTATACAGAAATCGGCGACAGCGGTGTTAAGTTTCACAAAACCATCCATCAGGTGTCGTGGGAGCGCGTGGGTTTCCGCCACTTGTTGGACAAGAGAGGGTTCATGTGAGATGATGCTGGTTCAGAAAGAATGTAAATATCTGCTCAGTAGCAACGAAGTCTTTTGAACGGACGTGCTGGGTAACTCTTCAACTGTAATATTCAATGGTACCACCTTGCATCCTGACACAGTGGGGTCCGTATGTTTTTGAGTTTCGAAGGGATAAAATTGTGATCCACTGTGGTGACTCTAATTGGTGGAGCCCTACTAGTTGGTGTCTGCGATAACACTGGAAGTAAGTGACCATACCGGTGGCCTGGGAGGCAGTCTCAAAAATTCATTGAGTGGCCCTAAGCTCCACCTCCCCACTGACGGTACCGGTGGTAAGGCCCAAGTGTACTCTGGAATTGGAGATGATGCATGGACCGACACCGAGGAGGAGGATGGTGATGGTGTTTGACTTGACATTGATCCTGCATTGTCAAATGATCGGCGCAGTGAATTAGGGGCAGTTGTACGCGTGCTCCGGCCACCACCTGCCCTGGGTGTACGGTCGTCAGAACGGCGAGTCATCTCTGCGAGGGCGCGTTGCGCTCCTGAGGGCAGTGCTTGATGATTCAGAGGAAACAAGAGAAACAATAAATTTGTGGCTAAGAGTTTGGTTCACGTGAATGAATGAGTCATTATACTAAATAAAATTAATGTAGATTTGGCATGTCTGATATAGCAATGGCGGGGTGACGGTCTAGATGAGAAGTGCAGACTAAGTGCAAACCAGGGTTAGTGATTGCATTTCGCGTAGAATTGGGGAAATGCTCATGCAGGTCAAAATCCCGTCGAGAACAAATGGACAGAGCTGACTGATCGAATCCAGCCGATGGGAGAGCGTGGAACACATTTGGTAGAACATTGAGGGTTGTTCCGTGGCAGGGGCAATAGCACAAGCTTCTGCAAGACCCGCCCCATCTGGAGTCACTCAGCCAAGCTATTGGAACCCAAGAAAAAAGGCGAATCGTCCTAGATGCGTCCGAAACTCCTTGAAGCGATCCACTAACTCGACATCGTATGTCGTGCCACCTAGAATATTATTGACAGAAGGATAGCAAAGAATTGCGGTCGCACGCACAAGGGATAACGTCATTTGGAGGTCCGACGAAAGATCCGTCTGTTTGGGATGTGACTACGGATATTGTGCCTGGAGCTGTTGGGGTACCGGATTCGTAGCCAGTTGCGTGTTGTGTTTGAGTGCACCTACCCGAGGTTATATCGGTATCAGCCTCCCGAAAACCATCCATGAGTAGCTGTGGGAGTATGTTGGGTGGTGCACGGTAATGGCTTAACGTGGGGTTTCTATGCTCTTGGGAGGTCCCGTTGTGGAGGTCAACTTCTCGGATTTAATTCCGACCGTGGCGTCGCCACCGGCACGCTTCGAGTTCGATTCGCCCTGGACATGCTGTTTTTAGAACGCAACCGATTGAAGAGATCGAGTGTGTTGGTGTTTATCTCAGGGATTTCTCGGCCACTGTGCATATCGAAACAGAGACCCACACAAAAGGCTTGCCCCTCAGCTATGTTCGCAACGATAATAATGTGCATCCGAGGCACCGAATCGACCGCTGCAACATAGTGATAAGTTGAACCGGTGGTTGAGACACAACAGCACATGAATTTTGCACGGGTTAGGCAACCCGACAGAGTTTGTTAACGTCAGACTAGGTGCGACTCTCATGCAGTATGTAGAAACAACCGATTCACGCGAAAGAGATATTCGAAGTCAGCAGAATTGGCCCTTATATCAGGGCGATAGCACTACTTTTCTAAGAGAAACAAGAAGATTCCACGAAATAAATCATGGGTGTTTAGTACTGATACAGGAAGGAACCACATTAAGTGTCCAAAAGTCTGTAGTCCCAGGAGCGCTGGAGGATGGAAACACGTGAAGGAGCAATGCAAAAGATGACGCTCTAGCAGATGAATAACAAAATACAGGTATCAGAGCGATCAAACTAGGGCGTGTTGATACACTGGAGTAGTTGAGCATAATTTTTAAGCGTCACCATAATTTTGAGGTGTCAAGACCTCGACCTTAAGTAGAACCCGCCCTTTCGGACGCCGGCGGTCATGTAGCTTCAGCCCGATGGACCCAGCACAAATGATCACTGATTTCCCAGAAGATCTAACAGGCTTCCCATGGTAATCCATAATCTCTGCGTCGAATGAACCAGTGTTTGGAATGACGAATGGGTGAAGGTCAACCGGAGGCACCAAACTCTTCGCCACGTGGTTCCATTCATAGGCTACCCGAATGATGGATCGAAGCGGGTCCAGATCAATGGGAGGTCTGTTAGCACGGTCACCGAAGACCGCTTGAAGGAGATCCATGATTCCTTTATCTCCATCCCTCAGAGCGCTTAAGATATCGTCAATGGGTGACACGCGAGGATTATCCCTGGCGAGACGATCAAGCGACTTAAACATTCCGGCCTTCGCATGCAACATGGAAACATCGGCTTCTATTGTTCTCCATTAAAACACAGTCGTCACGGAAGGGGTATATGCACTCACCCTCATAGAGAATGGAATAGAAAACGCTCTTCAGATGCTCGGAGCGTTTTGTCCCCTCCGTTCCCCCTACTCTCAAGGAAAGGGAAGGATGGAAGGGATCGAGGATCTCCTCAAAGAGTGCTTTATTAATGATCGAACGTAGCCCCCAGTTGATTACATCTTTAAGAGGTCGAGGAGCATACTTTCTTGATAGAATCATCGACGGAATGGCGCACCCCCCTGGGAATACAGTTTTCAGTACGTCCAGGTTGACATCGGCAGTGGAAGGTTCGATGCTCTCAAATGGCCAATTCTCCAAGGTCCATTCCGCAGCATAGCTACAGAAGTTGGCGACGGCAGTGTTGAGCCCCTCAAGATCATCGACGAGGAGCTGTGGGAATGCATTAGCTACTGCACCTTTCTGGGCAAGAAAGTGTTCATGCGGGGCGGCGCTGATTTTAACGGAAGGTAAATATTTGCACCAACAGAAAAACCTTCATAACTGACATGCTGCTTGGTGTTTCAATGATCTTGTCTGATTGTTCCCCCGACATGTGGTCCGTATGCTGAGGACCTTGAGCTTGGTATAGAGATCCCCTCTCGGATTTGATTCCCCTAGGTTGATAACGCTAATGTAACAGGGCCCTCAGACTCATTGATGTCTAAAGTTGCATTAGAGACAATCTTACGAAATCCTCAGAAAGCCTTCTTGACGACTCAGAAAACAGCCCATGCCCCGGACTGACGGTGAAGTCCCTGCAGGTTCTGTTGGAGACGGTAAACGCACCAACACTGAAGAGAAAGATGGAGTGGGTGATAGCCTCGGGGATTTGTTGGGCAACCGTGCTAACTGCAGCTGAGGCGGAGCCGTCACCCCGCCATCCAGTGTACGTCGCCGCAGTATTTTCCATGGTTCTGGAGCGTGATTACGCATGGTTCGACCGCCCCCTGGCCTTGGGATGGTATTCTTTCTAGATGGTGAGGGAGATAGTGCTGATGTTTCTTCTAGTGATTGCTTGGGAGATGGTTCGGAGGGCGAAGGTGACGCCGTATTATCTGTTGTATGTCCACCCGAAGATTTAGGGCGCTTAGTTCGAGGGGCTGCGGAGACCTCAAGACTGCGCTCTCCCCGAGTGGTCGGGAGGCCGAGAAAGCGATTCATTACTCTTCGTGCTTGGATGAGCGCGAAGGTGTCGAGCGCGCAACGACGAACAGTTTCGGATGGGCAACTGGGAAGAGGGGGTTATAGGTAATTTAGTGGTCTGTTCACGTGCGGTCAGAACAGGGTCAAATATTACATAATATAATATACAAACTTACCTTATATTTCGTGAACGTCCAAATTAACTCGAAAAGATCTCACTTAGGATTGGACGATTCTAAGGTCCTCATGAGAACAGATCGAGACCCCGCTGGGCGCATTTTTTCAGGCTTCTGACAGCCTGGCACAACATCCATCTAGGAGGAAGATGGGGAATGGTTATATGATTGAGCGACGCCTCAGCCTTCAGCAAGATCTGCTCCACATGGAGTCGTCCAGCCAAACAATTATGCGCAGCCAAAATCTGAGGAAACCGAGGCTAGTACATTCAATTCCTCAAGGAGGCAGCAATGGTATGTGGAAATGTCGCTCCGCTTGGGAAAGATATGGTGCTTGGGCGTTACTACCAAATATCGCATCCCGGCTGCATGCTGGTAGTCTCGGACGTGGTACCGTGATATCTACGTTTGCGCAACGATTATGAAGTATCCAAAATGAGCCTGCCATCTCATCGCTGGCTCACGCCCAAAAATAGTGAAGTAGCGGCGGCGGCGGTGGATCAGGGTCCTACCATAGAATACCTTCGCATAGCTAGATCACTCTTGCGGTTGGGGTGTTGAGACGTGTCCATTGTTGTCAATGGGACGTTTGGACGGGGATGATGAGGGGGGAGAATGATCTGTTTAGCCTCGTTGTCCCAGTGCGGCTTTCCCGACTGGTACACCGTGGTATATGCATGTAAGGCTGGTCACCTGCCTAGCATACATCAGTCGGGTTTAACGTTTGTCCGTGGTGCAGGTTCACCATTCAGTTGGTCGGGTCCGGGCGCCGAACATGCCGAGGACCTCTCTGGTGGATAGCAAGTGATGGCACAATGATTCCAACTTGACTCGGAGTAGCTAGTAACCACGAGATTATCTAATTCATTTGTTTAAAATGCAATATTCCCGCTATATACTCTGCAGCGGGTTTGGTCCCCAACTGAAGTCGTTATCAGCAGTTTCGGTAATATCGACGTTCGTTAGATCTGGTGCCCGGCATTCCAGGGCACTTATGTACTCTTGGCCGGTGGTATCGCGCCACTAGCGCTATACAAAACAAAAAGGCATAGTGAACAATGAAAGATTACAAAGCCGAGTTCGCGAAGCTCCACCGTTGTATGGCTCGGGCGTGTCACGTCGGCAATAGGGTGGTGGTTCGCCGGCCCTTAACCGCCTGTGGCGTCGAGCTGTAACTCACCTCAAGAGGTTAGAATTAAGCAAATTGGCGGATCTCCGGCCAGATGCAGTTTTGTGGTAAACAGATCTGAAAAGAGAGTAGATAACGGGTGCGTAGCGTGAAATCCGACAGAGGAGGCCTCATATGTTGGACGGGGTCTCACTGAGACCGCCAAGGGCCATGGACACCTTCAACAATGACTTGCCCCACGATGCGAAGGAAGACTTGGAATCGGTCTGAACGGAGTGGCTGGGTCAGAATGTGTAAGCCAATATCAACTAAAAGGCGTTTGAAGGCAGCAGAACTAGACCTCTTATTGTTATATTGGCAGCGGTAACACCTACTCCCCATGGATTCAACGGAAATGGGAGGTTCTCATGACATAGATTAGAAGTGTGTATTACTGATACACAGAAGTCTGGAATCCGGTGAGCGGGGGATGGAAATGCACAACATGCAACGCGGGGAACTAAATGACGATGCTTCACCAGATGAACAACGAAGTAAGGGTATCAAAGGAATCAAACTGAAGCACATTGATACACAATCACGCTGGGCGAGAAGTCGAACATGGTTAGTGAAATTTAACCATCCCCATAATTTTGGGGTGTCAAAACCACGACCTTGAGCAGAACCCGTCCAGTCAGACATTCGCGATCGTATAGCTTCAGTCCGATGGATCCAGCACAGATGATCACTTCCTTCCCGGATGATTCAGATGATTCCATGGCCCTCCCGCAGTAAAGCATAGTCCCTGCATTAAATCGGCCAGTATTTGGAACGACAAATGCTCGAAGGTCAGCTGGAGGCACCAAACTCTTCACATTGTGGTTCCATTTGTATGCGCCTTGGATGATAGCTCGCAATGGGTCTATACCGATGGGGATTCTATAAGCATGGGCACCGAAGATCGCGTGAAGGAGAGGCATGATTCGATTATTCGTTAGGGCGCTTAAGATATCATCAATTGACGACGCCTGAGGATTGTCCCTAGCTACTAGACAATCAAGCAACATGAACGTTCCGGCCTCCGCACGCGCCATGGAATCGTCGGCCCCTGTGGCTCTCATAGAAGTACATTCGTCACCTGAGGGAAGCCAGAGGAACTTACCCTCAGGAAGGACAGAATAGTAAATATCCTTCAAATACTGGGAAAACTTTATTCCCTCCACTCCTCCTACTCTCAGGGAAAGGGATGGATGGAAGGGATCAAAGATCTCATCACAGAGTGCTTTGTTAATAACCGAACGTAGTCCCCAGTCAATTACGTCTTTGAGGGGTCGAAGAGTGTACTGTTCTGACATAACCATCGACGGCAAGACGCCCCCCTCTGGGAATGCAGCTTGCAGGGCACCTACATCAACACTACCGAATGGCCCGCTGCCCAAGGCGCTTTCTGCAGTATCGCCACAGAAATTGGCAATGGCGGCATTGAGTTTCACAAAACTATCCAGGAGGGGCTTTGGAAATGCACTAGTTGTTGTGCCTTCCTGGGCAGGAGGGCGTTCGTACGGAATGGCGCTGGTTCAAAGGGGGGTAAATGTTTACGCCAGCAGAAGGTTCTGACTGCTCACACGCTGCTCAGCGCTTCGATTGCTGTGTCCGATCGATGCGCCGATACGGGGTTTGTATGCTCAAGAGTCTCTGTGACTTGGGAAGCATGGTACAGAGACCCCTCCTTGGATTTGTCTCCCCTGGGTTGATGACGCTAATATGCAGAGCACTCAGATTCATTAGTGTCTAAGGTTGCGTTGGAGACCATCTTACGAATTCTGCAGAAAGCCTTCTTGATGGCTCAGGAGGCAGTTCTAAACCCCACGGAGCTGAGATTAATGGTAATGGCGGTATGGGTTCTGTTGGAGAGGGCACATCAATCCACACCGAGGATGAAGATGGTGTTGAAGGTTGTCTTGGGGATTCGTCGGGCGATCCTTCCTCTCTCAGCGAAGGCGAAGGCATCGTCCCCTCCATTGTACGTTGCCACGGTAATTTCCACGGTCTCGGAGCGTTAAGCGCGCTTCGATCGCCACCTGCCCTTAGGAAATTGTTTTTAAATTGAATTGGTAATGGGGAAGGTGAAGCTGGTGCTTGCTCCAGTGATTGCTCGGGAGATGGCCCCGAAGGCGTTGAAGGTGGCACTGGATCATCTATTGTATGCTCCATAGCTACGGAGACCTCAAGATAGTGCGCTCCCTGGGTATCTGGGAAACTGAAAAGGCGAACCGTCTCCACTCTCCGTGCCTAATCTCGCGCAGAGATGCCGAGCGCGCACCACAAATGGTTTCGGATCGACGACTGTACTAGGGCCCCGGGCAATTTCACTGGCAAATAATAAATCGGCAAATCATTCACGTGCAGTCTAGACCGCAATGTCAAATTCGATCAATCCTTACAGCACATCCATTCATGTTTTGTTGCCGATTTGACAACAGCCGATGGTTAAATCGGCATGCAAAAGCCCATAAATGTCCTTTAGGATTGGAGGCCCTCATCGAGGACAGATTGAGACTGCGCTGGGCGCATTTCATCATTGCCCACTTCAGATCATTGTGTTCGGGATTTATAGGCTTCCAACAACCTGGCGGGACATCCATCTAGGAGGAAAACTGGAGACGGACATTCTGCAGGAATAATGCCGACTCCTGGGTCGGAAGTGCGTAAGTAGTTGAACCTTGGGACAGCAAAACCTTGGCAGCAAGATCCGCCCTACCTTGAGTCGCCCGACTCAATAATTATTTGTAATTCGAACCTGAGGGAACCCGGCCCAGGTTGTTCTGGGAGTGCTACCGACCCGACATGGCAAGTTGTACCATCTGGAATAGAAGGACCACCGGAGACAGAATGCTCCATCAGCCCATTCCGTGATGTACTCGAGGGAACAGCGGTACCATTGTGGAGGATGGGGGAAATGTCCGTTTACCAAGCTGCCACGCTGGCCGGTAGTTCCCGGTGCAAGGCTGCGATATTTGCATCTGTACGACGATTGTCTCGTATGGTGCATAAAGATAGTGAAGTGCGTCAGGGAGCTCGGTTTGGCTACGGAGACTCCAGGAATTAATTCAATCGCACTCCTGTCCTCTCAGAGCTCCAACGCACACTCCTGATGCTCTCATGCTCATCCTCTTATACCTCCAAAAACGCAGGTCCGTTCCGAGACAGAAAACTGTTACTGCTTCGGTAATATTTCCATGTTACTATGCCTCGAAAACCTCATTATAATAAAATGAAATGTAAGTTTCTTTAGCAAAAGTCTTAATCTGACCGATTCATAACGATTGACGGAGTGGAATAAGATACAAAATCAGCCATAGCATCTCATAATCGAAACGGGGCGGAGTAGAATGTGTGGAACTGGTTTGGAAATTGGGCTAAACTAATGGACAAAGGCATATAATTGTCGCTTGTCGGTAGTTTCTCGACCCCTGGATAACGCAAAAACGATGCAGACCTTGCCCACTCGATAAACGAGGCAAATCCAATTGATGGTGAGATAATATTAGAGTTAAACTTACGTCGAATGTTCATTGTGCCAGGTACATCTATCATTCGCGCTGATAATTATTGTGTTATATGTTGTAGCACGGCCCCCACCAGGAGGCGAACACGATACACGAACATGAGGGTTGAGAGTAAAACGGGTTGGGTGGAGGAAGCCGGAGTGCGAACGCATACCAAGAGCTTATCAGAAGTATTGAGCTGGAATAATAGTACTGATTGGGCCCATGTCACCATCATACAGTGAAGTCTTTCCAATTAGTAAGGTAACCTGTTCCGGTTCCATTATACTGATATTAGATAAACATTTCCCCAAACACTTTGATGTACTTATATTGATTGATCTACATCCACTGCACTTGCCTACGCTCCAAGTAACTTCGACTCTCGACGTGCTAATACTCCTATGGGCTTTGATTGACTTTAATATTTAGTTCTGGACATTTATCTATTGCTGATCTCGACTGTAACTCCGCCGAAAACATTGGTTAGGACTGTCTTCACTATGGGGCAGTACCCTACTGCACGACGCCGTCCCATTCTCCGTCCATTCCAACGTAGAAACAGTCTCCGAGGGATATTCTTTCACTAGTGAGAGAATACTGATTCGTGCATTCTTCGGATGCACATGGGATTGGGACTTTGCTAGCCAGAGGTTGAAGGTAGAAATCTCCCCACCGACGCCAATAATTGACCCGCTCCTGTTCAGGCCAACGATTAAGGATACAGCTGCGTGAACCTCCCAGAGCCCGGAAGCCTATCAAAATCCCCTTACATTGGATTGGATGTTTCAAGTGCGTAAAATCCACTGAAATGAGTGTTAGCAACGGAAGCGCTTGGTTCCCTTGCATCAAATCCAGTTACTTTTAAAGGGGGTCGAGTACGATGCTCCGATGGGGCTTTTCAATTACAAAGAAACTGGGTGATCATAGCATCTCAGAACCGATGGGGACGGTATGCGTTTTCAATGTAGTTCGAAGGTGAAAGGGAAGCCCTAGTAATGAGAAGGGGAAGAAACTAACCACTCCCCTTCGCAGCGGCCTAAGACACCGGTAAGATCCAGAGCGCTGAGGCGATCTGTCAGGGACTGAGGTGATGTGATTAGCCATACATGAGGAGCCGCATGAAGCACAACAATAGGGAGCAATGGTCGCAATGAATATGCTATTGCTGCAGCTGAGGACCAAAGATTGAAAAGTACGTAAGGTCCATTGTTTTAGCAAAAAAGGTGTTTGAAGTCGGCAGAACTTGGGCCTTCCATTAATATATTAGCGAGGATGACACCCACTCTCCACGTATCCCAGAGAAATGGGAAGCTCCCATGATATAAATCATGGGTGTGAAGTACGATACAGATCAAGAGACAAAGAGTCTGGCAGAGGTGCTAAGGGACGATGCGTAGGCGGACGAACGACAAAGTACAGGCATCAAAGAAATTGAACCGAGGCACGTCGATACACAATCACACTGGGCAAGTCGAGCATGGTCAGTGAAAATTTTAACCGTTGCCATGATTTTGGGGTGCCAGGACCGCGACCCTGAGCAGAATCTGTCCAGCTGGAAATTGAGAGTTGTATAGCTTCAGCCCAATGGACCCAGCACAGATGAACGCTTCTTCCCCAGATTCAACAGCCCTCCCACAGTAAACCATAGTCCCTGCATCGAATTGGCCAGTATTTGGAATGATAAATGTTCGAAGCTCAGCAGAAGGCACAGAGCTTTTGATGTCGTGGTTCCATTCATATGCTTCTTGAATGATAGCTCGCAGTGGGTTTAGATCGATGGGAATTATGTGAGCAACGGCACCGAAGATAGCCTGAAGAAGCGGCATGATCCGTCTGCCACTCAGGGCGCTCAAGATATCATCGATCGGTGACAACTGAGGATTGGCCCTGGCTGCTAGACAATCAAGCAACTTGAATGTTCCAGCCCCCGCACCTGCCATGGAACCATCTGCCCCTGCAGCTCTTCATAGAAGTACATCCGTTATAGGAAAGCTAGGGGGACTTACCCTCAGGGAGAACAGAATAATAGATACTCTCCAGATAATGGGAATTTTTCCTTCCCTCCAATCCCCCTACTCTCAGGGAAAGGGAAGGATGGAAGGGGTCAAAGATCTCGTCAAAGAGTCCTTTGTTAATAATCGAACGTAGTCTCCAGTCGATCACATCTTTGAGCGGTCGAAGAGTATTGCTTCCTGAGGAGACTATGGATGGCAAGACATCCCCCTCCGGGAAAGCAGCTTGCAGAGCGCCCACATCAACACTATCAAATGGCCCACTACAGATGCTTTCTGCAGCAGCGCCACAGAAATCGGCAATGGCATCATTGAGCTTCATAAAATCATCAATGAGAACCCTTTGAAATGCGCTAGTTGCTGCGCTCTCCTGAGTAGGAAAACGTTCAGGCGAGATGGAGCTGAATTAACAGAGAAGTAAATATGTGCACCAACAGAAAATCTTGGATAACCAACAGGCGGTTCGACCATTCAATTGCCGCGTCTGATTGTTCCCCCAACACGGGGTTCGTATGCTCGGGAATCCATTGAACTTGTGAAGTGTGATGTAGAGATCCCCACTCGTATCCAACCCCTCTGGGTGGGGTCGATAAGGTTTGTCTCGGTTCTGCTGAATCCACCCACTCGGAGGATGAAAATGGTGTTGACGATTGCCCGGGGAATTCCTCGAATGATCCTTCCGATTGCGGCGGAGGCGAAGGCATTGTACTATCCACTGTTGTACGTCGCCACAGTTTCCTCAACGGTCTTGGCAGAGTGTAAACACTTGCCCTTCGACTGCCACCCGTCCATGGGACACCGCCTCTAGATTGCACCGATAATGGAGAGGATGGTACGGATATTTGCTCTGGAGATGGTTCAAAAGGCGAAGGCGACACAGTATCATCCATCGTATGCCCCCTGGCCGTGGAGACCCCACGACGGCGCTCTCCCTGGGTGTCCAGGGTGCCAGGAAAGCGATCCATCTTGCACGTGGAGACGTTGATTTCAGATCAATGACTGGGGGCCCGTAGGCAGGACTCCAGCCTCTACGATTTCGTAGGGAGCCCGAAGGCAAACATAGGGGCTAATCGGTGGTTTGTTCACGTGCAGTCTGGACCATATAATATGACGGTGTACCTAGATCGTAATAATCGGAAAAACCCGTTTTTTGGTGGAACTTCTCGGTAGCTTACAGATACACAGGCTTTGGCTAGAGGGGGGGACGTTCCATGATCATATGTCGTGATGTCTATGCTTTGCGGGCCTTTCATCCTGAGTGGGTCTGAATCCGGGTTCTTGGGGGCTAGAAGATAGACATTGCAGTGGCAGGATGAGAGACACAGGGACAAATGTCGTGTTACGTTACCTTGCTCGTGATTGGAGGCGCAACAGTTTCCTAGCTACAATGGAATAAAATGAAGCTGAATGTTCATGCATTAATGGGTAAAGAATGCGTCAAGACGCGCCAAAACACGTCCAAATGCAAGCCATTCACAAAAGATCCCCATCAGGGTGGCAGCATGCGCGTTCCAACAGAATTATTAAAAAAATGATGCGGGGAGAGGGTATGTAGGTGGAGATATGGATTTGAGCACGCGCAAGTGAGACGTGGAAGCAGTCGCCAACTCCAACGCAAACTGCCGAGCACAACTTGCAGCCCTGAGCACCGTTTCGTCCTTTAGCACTTCTACCCTGATGTCAATTTCGTGGCTATGCCATTCATGCCTCCCATTCCACTCACTGCACTGGACACTCCAAAGCTCGAGTTTCCATCTGCCTTATAAGACCTTCCGCTGGCGGTACGAGCATATCTAAGTCGAGCCTGACTTCTATCGCTTCACTGTTGGTTTCGTACCGACGGACAAGATGATTGCCTAGGACACTGTGTCGCATCTAGTAATTCTCTCACTGAGCAGTGCCGCTGCTCTCTTTGCGAACCTAGTCCTGTTCACTCGTACACGACAGAATGTGCCTTACCCATTCCAGTCCAATGTCTGTAATCATGGTAATGGCATGTCCTAAAGGTGTGGATGTCTCATCCTCACTCAACCTTCTGGCCCTCTTCACTTCTGTAACAACTGAGAAATGGGAACCCAAGCCACGGAGCTAGCCACGGAGCTTTGGAGTCCTGGATTGGGACAGAACCATGTATCCTGTGGCGAAGAATAGACGTCGATAGGAAGCTTACGATGCTTCTGTAGCAGCAATTGGGATAAGTGAGGCCACTCTTGCAGCTGGGGGTTTGTGGCCATATGTCCCCCGTGACGATCGTGATTCAGACCAGAGCTCGTTTGAGCTCACACCTTCGTCCCTGCTCCTTAAACGAAGCATTCCACTCCATGGGTACATCACACTAGGGCAGAAACATGGCAGGCCTCGCTTGGGGGATCAGAACGAAGTCTACGCTAAAGAAGAGTACGACTTCCCATCCACGGAGCCCCTCCTTACTCTTATGTTGGGTAACAGCTCTTATTCGGATGCGGAAACGACACGTCTCATCGTTGGGTCATCATTGATCGCTGCTGCGAACCCGTGAGGCCAATTCCCATACGTCCGAACTCACGGATATCATAGGTACATAGGTCAAACACCATGAATTCAATGGTAATATTAGGAAGTGTGGCATTTAACTTCGCAGTAATTTGCCGTGATCAAAAAATCTCAAAAACCAGGCTAAAATGGTTTTTTTTTTTACTATGCTTTATTTCCCACAGTGGCCTGGTCGCAATGCACCCTATGACTGGGAATATGCACCTCAAGCGGGTTTCCCTCCCCCATGGCCGATCATACTTCCTCTTCTCTTGCCCACATATTGTTTGAGGATTGTGGCAGTAAAGCGGATAAGAAAGAAGGTCACTGCGCTTAGGATCAACACTTGCGTGAGAAACCACGTTCGTCCGGAGGACACAACCTGAGTATGAGACGTCCGTTTAATTAATTGCTAGATGAATATTATTGACGGTGCATGAAAACTTGTCACCAGGGATACAGAAAAGGCTGCCGCAACAACAGTTACGATTAGAAACAGTGCCTCACAATGCGGCAGGCATGAAACAATTGGTGAGCGAGCAACAGAGGCGTCTTAACCACGTAGACGTTAACATTAACGCGTTGTCCCCAATCAATTACGAAGTCGGAATTTTTTCGCCTATATAGCTTCTTCCCTTAGGAGTGCTTGGGCAAGAGTCCGCAAGTCCCACGGACGCTTATCGGACCGAGGGTATCTCTATGGGTAGTCGATATGATTTCGATGTTGCCTTACTTAAAAATATTAGAACTCCAGTATGTACCGCGCTGTCAACTACTTATATGGGCCTCGGCCACCATAAGTTCTAGTACCAATGAGTAACATTAGTGTATGTTCCGTTTGAGTCTAGACAAGGTATAAAGCGACGATCGCCTGTATTACAAGGAGTTACGGGTCCCGGAATATTTTCCAGCCTAAATTGAATGGCGGCGCAGTCCATAGATCAATGCCCGCTATCCAGTGGATCCCATACGCACATCAAACGGCTTATTGGTAGCATGGTGCAATATTGATCTTGATAAGGTGACGTGCGTTTGCATGCAGCATTGCGCGCGCGAAACGTTAAGCAGGTTACCAGCCTCTATTGGAAGCGAAACGTACGCTAAGTGCTGGTACTATTTTCAATCGCAGCTGGAGAATGGCAAGTGATAATGCACACGACTCTGCCAAGTATTTCCAGCTGATTCTGGATGTCCCGCCCAACCTGCGATAGGCATGCGAATAGGTAATCCCGAGGATTGTCAGGGCAAATCTTGATCCGCCACACGCAATTGCGCATCGGTATTGCGCTCACCAGACGGTCGGTTACAGATAGATCACTTTACGCAGAAGGTTCGGGGCCAGGGATGGACCGGTTCCAGGCGCTACGATCCGATCCTCGCGTAGCTCGGACCGGAGTAAAAGAATAAAATGTACCATCACACAGAGGTTGGGTTGATGGAAATCGATATAGATCTCGCTTCGTTCTAGATTCGAACACTGAGCTACATCGATCTTTCAGCTGCCTCTTCACAGTATGAACTGGCAGCGACACATGTCCCGCATCGAAGGGAGATGCTCAAGTTCCCCACGCGCCTGGATCGAACGGGCGATATTCACGAAGTCTTCCAGTACTTACATACCATGCCCTCACGAAGAAATCTCCGTCTGGGGTTTTTCGGCTATCTATTTCCCACTTTCTAGCGTTTCGGTAGACTTTGGGAGAATCCCGTGGGTCGAGGCAGGAGTTGGGCGCAGCCAATTTCGATTGGGTCAACATTTCTGCCAAAGAGTAGAGATATCGGTTGGCCTGCGACCTGCAATGAATTGGCCCTTATCGCTTCACTCGGGGAAGCGACAGTCGAATATGCATTAAAACGGAAGTTCGCAAGACCGGCTGGCCCCTCTTGCCAGTCATTAAGGTGCAGATGAGAGTAGAGAAATAAGAAGACCAAATACATGAGATATATACGTATGTGCGGATGATTATTCTGTCGATGGACAATTAAACCAGTAGATGTGAAGTCTTGGGCATGAACATGGTACAGGTTCTTCAGGAGGTTACCATTAGAGGGGGTTCACGAACTGATCGTGATGTGGAGGCAGAATTGCCTCGTTAAACATAGGGGTCGTTGCCGCGGCCTTCTAGAGTCAACGGTGACGACGGTAGACAAGCCCAGACAAATCCAGGCTAACATCAGGCCTGGGAGCCAAGCCAATAATACGATGACCGCTTATCCTAGATTCCCAAGAGCGGAAGCAAAGCAATTTGGCGTGTATCGGAGTGTTTCGGGTCAGGCCCATGGAAATTCTTTCAATATCAGGATTGATAGGAACGTTGGCTGTCGCCCGTGCTTGCCAAACCGCTGCCGCACGTTGCTTTTTTTGCAATCGATTAACTGCGTGCGATTGAACAGGTCGACATAAACATTCTCGCTCATAGTCGTGATAGTCAGTGCTTTTCGCGACATCAAGTGAAAATGCATGTAAACTTGTCCATCATTTGGAATGATGAACGGTGAGAATGATTAGGAAGTCCGAATTCGAAGCTGGGGAAGTCAAAATGTTGAACACACTGGGCACTGCAAACTGATGCACGTTTTTGGTCATTTGGCGCTGAAATGTCGTTTGGTGACGCGAACTGAATTAAAAATTGAAGAATGCCTCCGATTGAGTTCATCAAAGAAAAGATGTCGGGAAGATCGTACTCACCACCAGGTATAAATCTACTGCTTTCCTTCAACGGCCGGATGATGATCAGACCCTTTCACCCTCTATCCCTGCACCGAAGGAAGGCAGCAAACGTGTGAGACCGTACCCGTGCAAGGACCAAGTTACTTCATCTGCTACTCGAGCATCTCCACTTGATCCAGTCACGATAGTTCGCTTTTTCTTAAGCATACAATATCCATCTCGGACAATTTCATTGACAACGTGAGGGTTACGGCTCCGTGCCATTTGTGGACCTCGCAGTTTTTTGCGGAACTGTTCAAAAGGCAATTCGTATTGCGCTCAAGCCCCGATTCAATCAGCTAGTGGTTCTCGGTTTCTGTTCAGTTGTTGACTCGGCCTGGCTTCAGGTGTCTGCATTGAAGGAAGAAGGTATCCATTTCAGGGCACACTTTCATTTCTATCATGGAAGAACTCCCGCCTCCCTTGTCTTCAACGTGGCCTGTGCCTTTGGAGAATATTGAGCAAAATCAACGTTGGGCAGAGGATGCCGACCGCAGTCAGGTAATTTCAAATCTTCACGGATTCGGTCATGTTGCCAATTTCACGGTTTTTTTATTGCAAACCACATCATATTCACAGGCCCTAATAAGTGACTTGAGTCAGCGGCAGCTGCGCTCGTTCACTGCTTCGGAATTACAGGCGGCCGCCGTTACCCCTCCTGCCAATGGCGCCTCGTTCCTGGCGGCTCCGGTTCCTTTTCCTCTTGCCACAGATACAGGAGTCACCCACGTCACTGCCGCCCCTGCCCCTCTTCACAATAACCCTCCAGAATTCGTCCCAACTACGCCACGAATTGACTCTTCGAGCCTTCTCGCCATGCCCCATCACGTTGACCCATTGCAGATTGTCTTGAGTGAGGACAACCTGATTTGTCGAGGGGTTGGTTCCAGTATGGACGATGCGCTCCTTTCTGGCAACTTGGTACTCAACTTGGCCGAGTCGACAAGCATCAAGGAGATCAACATGCAGTTTATTGGCAAAGTGACGCTACCAGTTGGCGAGGCGCTGTAAGGTTCTCTCTCTACGCAGGGTTGGGGTTCTCCCGGCGGCTATACTCTTGGCATGTCCACTAAGCGTCTCTATGCTTTTACAGGCCTTCTGTTGCTCAGCCCACATCCCATACGATATATACGCATAGCTGGACCTTCATGGAGCACAAGCATACGATCAGGGTAAGCCTCAGAACTCGGCCTCAAGCGCTCATACAATCTCATCAAATTGTGCTACAATGCCTGCTCTATTCATTCAATTCAATATGATGCTCGGCTGTCTTGGCAAATGGCAGGAAGGAAGACAGGTATTTCCCTTTCAGCACTTGGTACCTGCTTCTCTGCCGGCAAGCATGAGTATTCCTCGTGCCGGTGTCGACGTTTCCTACGCACTGCGTGCAACTGCGGTTCGATCGTCGTCGTTCCATTCTAATTGGACGGCTGTGCGACCCGTTTACCTTATGCGGATGTTTGATCCTGAAGCTATCGAGTTCGGCCAGGTCATGGAAGTGGAGGTGAGTTCAATTGAGTGCATTTCACCATATCCTCTGAAAACAGTCGTCTTTAGAATACATGGCCTGGGAAGATCACATATTCCCTCCTCATACCACACAAAGCGTTCGCCGTAGGAGATACGATCCCTACGCTTGTAAAGTTCCAGCCTATCTCAAAGGGCGTTTCCGTGAAGTCCATCGATATTGAGCTGAAGGAGCGTGTGTCTGCGAGATGGAAGAATCGCCAGTCCAGTACTTTGACAATTATGTCACACGCGAAGTACGAGGTAAGGGATGGCAAAGCAGTTAAAGTCCAACAGGGAGGGCATGTTCGTTTCGCGTCGATTGTTTCTTGTCGTACCCAGCCACCATATCAATCGCTAATGCCCATGGGATCGACGAGCGCAGATCACTCTAGCGAGAGTTCTTCCAGCGGGTCGAGACACCTTCGCTCTCGAAGTTCATCCTTCAGAGGCTTACTGGGATTCCGCTCGCATTCATCGGGGCATGTTTCTGCGCTTAGCTCTATCATTCAAGGAGCCTCTCCTATGGTTTCTGCTTCCGCTAACCGGAGGAGAGGCGGTACGGACCGGACGTTCAGCCTGAACACAATGTTTGGCGGAGAAATCGGGAGTACTGAGAATGAAGATTCGCCATCACCCTCTGGTGAAATCCCTAGTGGATCCCCTCGTATTGGGGAACATGCTTCCTCCCAGCCACTTCCGTCTCCCGAGACCCAGCATATCTCATCGCCTGCCGAATCTCCTCCCTTGGCTTCCCCGCTGGATGAAGTGCCAGTTTCATGCGTCGGCGAGTCAGATCTTGAGACGACACTATTTCTCCACCTGACGTCGGGTGTATCCCCTTCGCAATCCTCCCCATTTTCCCATGCTGCTAACCCGACAAACATTCTTAATCCTATTGCCATATCCCACAAGATCATCTTCAGCGTACTCATTTCCAACCTGGATGGACATACATCTGAGTTGAAGTGTTCACTCCCCTTACATATACTCGATGCTCGGTTGTTGAGAGGGGCGAGAGCCGCGACTCGTACGACGCGGAATTTACTCCTTGGAAATGGCGAAGGTGCTGAAGAAGGGTTGGTAGGCGAGGACGAAGGGGAAGAGGTGGTCGAGCTGCCGAGTTACAACGAACATATCCTTGACCGCGTGGCGAACGCTTCGCTGGAAGCTGGGATTGGGGGAAATGGGAGGCGGCGAGCTAGAAATGTAGCAACAAATCCGTTGAGGTCAGCACCTTCTCCTGTTGGTGCGCCTGCTTCGAACTTCGTGTCATCGACTGGAGGCTTCTTTGGGCCACACCCCTCCTCGTCGTATGATAATTCCAGTCGTGCGTCTCCGTCAGCATCTGTACCGAGATCGCCTGCGCGGTCAAGGAAGTCCTCATTTGAGGAAGCGCAAGGATTACACCAGGATCGTGATCCTCTCGAATTTGATCAGGAACTGATGCTCTCGCTTGGGGAGGCAGCTAATTCAGTGAGGTATGGTGATAGGAGTGGCGTTGGATGGGGGAGCAATTATGCCAGCCCTTCGACTAGTCGAATGGGCAGCCGGGCAAATAGTCGTGCGGGTAGTCCGGAGCCCCCCGACGAACATCATGTCCACCCGTCACACGGTCGACATCATCCCCACTCGACGGCATCCACTGCCTCGAGCTCGACCACTGCAAGGGGTTTGTTCCACCTCAAGCCCTTCTCCAGCCTAACTAGGTTAGGCGGCCAGAAAAAGGGCAAAGAAAGGGATAGGGATCGGCAGTCTTGTTCTTCCCCACCTTCCCCCACGCGCTCTTCAGCTCTAAGCCCCTCTGGCAATGCCGCTGATGATGAATGTGGGCCTCACTATCACTCACACATCAATCTTTTGAGTCGTGTTCCGTCATATGGTATCTCATCACGTGGCTTTTTGGGTGGTGGACCCCCACCTCTGACGTTTTACCGCGATTTACCGAGTTATGATCAGTCGGAGAGTGCAAGCTCTAGCGCTCATCCGGTATCATCGTTTTCACCTGGTACTCGTAGTACTGTGCTGGACCGCAGTCGGAGTGAGGCGTGTATCGATGCTTTGCGAGCCACTGGCACTCCTGTAGCTGGGACCCAGCCGCAGACTCCTCGAACTCCATGATTCGCCTCTTATAATTTTTCTCGGCCTCGTTTTGTTAGTAACAGACTTTGATCCCCAACTTATATTTGCTCCTGCCCCGCTTTCATCTGTGCAGGCAGTTCCAACCGATTCTGATCCCACCGACATTAATAAAGTGCACATAACATTATCACATTATACGCTGTAATAATCGAGTGTAAAATCTCTGTTGCTGCAACTCGCAAATTTCAATTTTGAATTCTGAAAGTTCTGGATCACATGTCCAAGATCGGCACTCACACCTTGTTCCCCCAGTACTTTGCCGAAGTTCAATCTTTGTATACGCAAGACAGTGAGAAGTGCATCCTCCGAAACGCCCGCCATGTCATTTTCTGTCATCCGCAGAGCTGCAGGGCTTAACCTGCGCGGCACCGCCCTTCGTGCACGTCCCCAGTCAACTGTGCTACGCACCTCCGTGCGTTGGAACACTACTGGGAGTGGCGCCCCTCCTCCAAAGTCGGGCAGTAACACTTTCCTCTACAGCGTTATCGGTGCTGCTGCTCTTGCTGGTGCTGGATATTACGTCTATACATCCCAAGACGATACTGCACGAAGCGCCAAATCAACGTTGAAAGAAGGTTCACAAATTGCCAAGTCGCTGGCCAACTACGTCCCTACGAAGGAGGATTATCAAAAGGTTTACAACAAGGTTGCTCACATTCTTGATGTTGATGATTACGATGGTATGTGATGGGGGAGGGCGCGAGCGTCATGCATATTTTGGCTGAAAGATGAATCGTGTGAATAAGATGGAAGCTTTGGACCTGTCCTTGTTCGTTTGGCCTGGCACGCTAGTGGCACGTACGACAAAGATACTAAGACTGGCGGAAGGTATGTAGAAACTTTTTGAATGGATGATCTCGGCAGATTAAGCACCCCCCACATTGCCACGTTCCATGAACGCGAATGCCATCAATTAGCAATTATGCTACCATGCGCTTCGAGCCGGAATCCCTGCATGCTGCCAACAACGGTTTGGATGTAGCCCGTAAAGTTTTAGAGCCTATCAAGCAAGAGTTCCCTTGGATTTCTTATGGTGATCTTTGGACCTTGGCTGGTGTTGCTGCTGTTCAGGTATGTTGTTCTGGCCGTGATTGATCGGATATATTGGGATGCTGAATGTTCTTCTTTGTGGTCTTCTCAGGAAATGCAAGGGCCTCATATGTACGGACATTCGGACATTTCTTCCCTCTGTTTTTCTGTGTGACTGAGATTCTTTGGCCTTCTTCCTATCAGCCCCTGGAGACCTGGACGGGTTGATGGCTTCACGAAGGATTCTCCTCCTGATGGACGCCTCCCGGATGCATCGAAGAGCCAGGATCACATCCGTGCTATCTTCTACCGAATGGGGTAAGCACTTGTCAAGACCCCCCCCCCCCCCTTAGCCTTTTTGCTCAATTAATCTTCGAATTTAGCTTCAACGATCAGGAGATCGTTGCTCTTATTGGTGCTCACGCTTTGGGACGCTGCCATCCGAATCGGTAGGCCCCTGCTTTGGTTGTCTCAAGTGCGTTCATTGATTCGATTTCCGTTTGCAGCTCAGAGTTTGAGGGTCCTTGGACTTTCTCACCTACAACTTTCACTAATGACTTTTTCACCCTCTTGGCCAACGAGAAATGGCAGTGGCGCAAGTGGAGCGGACCTAAGCAGTACGAAGACTCGAAAACGAAGGCAAGTGATTTGCACGTTCTCTTGTTCCATATTGGACAGACACTGAAGAGTTGTATGCTGTAGACGCTCATGATGTTGCCTACGGACTACGCTCTCATCCAAGACAAGAAGTTCCGCGAGTGGGTGTACAAGTATGCCAAGAGCCAAGACGAATTCTTCAAGGAGTATGTGGCTTGCATTGAGATCCATCAGGTTATGTAGCTAACCTGATGTTTGTGATAGCTTCTCCAAGGCGTTTGCGACTCTCCTTGAGCTCGGTGTTCCTACTGCTCAATTCACAACCTCAGAGCCATGGATTTTGAAGACGCTGGACGAACAAAAGAGTGGCTGAGCAATGCAACCAAGCAGTCAAATGTTGTTACCGCACGGCTGGCGAATACTAAAGTGGATCTGCTCAATGTTTTTCTCTTTTCTGTGCATCTAGTTGGAACATAATATGATATTTTTTTTCGACTCCTGATGAGCATATAAACATTCTGTCCTGTATATTTACCCTCATCATCACATGGTGGTCGTCACAAGGACTAGTACGGCTGCTTTTCGTGTGAATTTCTCTTGCCAAGTCGGCTCCAAGCTTGCTGATCGGGCATTGATGTCCGTTGTACAAGCAAGCAAGGTGTCTCTATAGTGGATGTCCGTCTGAGCCTCGGCGTTGTGCTGATATTTGAGTGTCTCAGAAATGAGCATGTGATCAGTTTGATGGCCCTCCTAATTTCGAGACGAATAATCATATGTATTAGAATAGAATGAAAACAATTAAGGGGGTTTCTCACGGTTTTGCCAAATAATATTCATCAATTGTATGCCGTGACCTGGGATCACTGTCTCAATACATTTGGCAACTGGATTTGCGTCCCTCTCCTTTGATCCATCTTTTTTTGATTTCACCACTTGACCCGGGTCACATGTACTTGTATAATGTCTCTCCCTCTCCATCTTGGCACTCTCTCCAAACACAAAGTCCGAATGGCAGCCATCGGATATTCGTGAGCTTGCTGCATGCTGCCCACCTGTACAAGTGGGACGAAAAAGTTGGCTAGTTGTGTGTCTCGGCCTTTTCACCTTCCCTGTCTCGGTCGGAGCGCCGTCTACATCTCCAGCCTGCGGACAGGCGCTGGGCGCGCCTGTCGTCGTCCTGATGCGCCGCCTGCTGGGTTTGCAACCTAGGTTATCAACTCGAATCCCCGAAATCTTCATCGATACATGCTACACAGACATCGCCGATGGTGTAGCATGGGGTTGTTCGCTCAGAGACGAACAACAAAGGCGTTGACTCGGATCTAATCAAGAACTAGCATCTACATAAACTACTCGCCTGGGAGGCCGGTGAAAGGCAATCCTCTCAGTTCGATGCTCTCAGTGTGAGCTCATGCGTGTGCTCGAAAATGCCCGTACCACGTACACTTCCTTTCAGGTGTATGAATGCGTTTGACTTGGCTCAAATTTCCAAAATAGGAAGTCGATCCTCCTGTCAAGCAGGTCCGGTCCATCGGCGGAAATGGATTGTTATGCACTTCACGTAACCCTTTGGTGCATCCCTGCAATCCCTGTAGCAATAAAATTGCTCCGTTAATCGATTCTGCCTAAAAGCATTTCTCCCGCTTTGAGCTCGTGGAGGTTACGTTTTTTCCCTCCAAGCAATCCTGTGTCCATTGATTATAATGCAGCGTTCAAGGTCTCAAGCTGCTTGACTACCCCGAATGGCTCCCGTTCCCCTGCTGTCTTGAAGGCCAGACGGAGGATAGAAGTCGGGACCATCATGCGTCCGAGAGATCTGTGCAATACAACTTGGCTTCGAAGGGGGAACCCTATACGAACGTTCTTCCAAGACCTCAACACTGATCCCATCACCATGTGGACGTACATGCCTTCTATTGGACTAGTGGCTGATCCGTTGGGGCCCCACTCTTTAGGCAAGTGCCGGCACAGCTTACCTCGGCTTCCCCTCTCGATCTCTGTGCGGTTGGTCCCGCCGAACAAGGCAATTGAACTGATGAACTTATCCCAATCATTTCAACACCCCCAACCCCCGTGTGGTTGACGGGATCTAGTGTCTGGGGACCCTTTGATAAACGCTCCCGTTGGGTTCTTCAGATAAGCCGTTGAAGCCGCAGAACCGCAACCAACGCACGACCCCGACACTAGATTCGCGTCGCAAGGCAATGACACCAAGCTTCCAAGCTCCACTCATGAAGTGCCTCAATAACTCGCACAGCCATTCAATTTGGTCAGGGCCATCACCCGGCTAGCAACCAGTGCGTGCCCTTCCTACTTTCGAGTCATTCTAGGAGAGTCTGATTTTATGCTTTTGGCTGCTTGAGGTTCGCAGATTGACTGTCAAGCTTTTGAGGTCATTACGCTGGGTAAAAATAGATAATGAGGCGCGGTGATCACGTGAGCAATGACTGAATGATTCTTTCCACGCTTGCCCTGAAGCTTCGCAACCAGTTTTTGTTGCGCATAATAACGGAGAATTAGGATGCGTATGTTTCGTGGGCGATCGACCGACCAGGAAAAGGAAAAGGAGAAGGAGAAGGACCGTCCCCAGAAGAAGACCATGCCTAGGCCTGGTGGTGGCCGGGTTTCGCGGTCGACGGCGCCAGTCAGTCGAGCTCAACGAGCGAGGAGCGCTTCTACCCCGCGTACCCCTACTTCAGTGACAGGATCATCGGGCCAATCCGCTAGGCCATCTTCACCAACATCCTCCTTTTTCCCGCCACCTGTTCCCCGTTTACTGGCATCACCTTCACCTTCGAATTGGAGCGTCCTATTGGCGCCACCACGGCCCTCGCAACCCGCTTCCGAATACCCTGGGAGTGTTTCAGGAGAATTTGTGCGTCCAGTTTTGTTTACTTGTAGTACAATCCTTGGAAACTAACGAGTGGGGGCCTAGACGCGCTATCTTAGTGGTACTAGGTCGATCGTATCCTCAGGCTCGTCACAAGTTGCTGCTTCAGGGACTCTCGTAGATCAGGATAAAAAGGTTTCGGGAATGAGGCGAAAGATGGAACGGCTGAATGCGACAGCTGAAGAGTCGACTTACAGGTTCGTCGTCACACACTGACTTTGGTGGTGACGATGCAGATACTGACCTTCTCTCCTGATTCGATTAGTGTCACTCAGTACAAAGAGCCTTTCGTTCCGCAGGCCGTCAATCCTCAATTCCCAGTACTTTATGCGCCTCCCCAACATCTCGTAGATGTTTTTGCAGACTTCAACGTTGACATTGCCCAATTTTGTACCGGTGTTGCCGAATGGACTCTAAAGAACTGGCCATTCGAGGATGATATCGAAGTGCCGTCCACTGGGGATGTCAGTAATTTAACACTCTTGAAGAATGCTTTTCCCGAGGGGAATGCCGTCCCGTCGATGATTCTGTCTAAAAGGAATTCTCCTCGGCCTTTGGAGGATGTGATTGATTATGGACTACGTTCCATTATCTCGAGGGCTCTCTATGATGAGATCTTGGAGCCTTTTCATCCGTCCCTTTCTTTAAGAGTCGGAGGGGAAGAAGGAACGAAACGCTCGCAATATTTGAAGAGCATCTACTATTCGATCCTTTACGATGGCGAGTTCTATCTGTTTCCTTTCTTACGATGAGCAATCCTTACGTTGGAGATGGTTTTACCAGAAAATGACGTTTCAATGATACATTGGAAGGCTGGAACGTTCAAGTCACTCGAAAGTCTAACTGGCGACGAGTTTCAGGCATCCTTCGTTGACGACGTCCTACGCACGCTCACGGATAAACACATTATGCCCCTCCTCCAAGCCATCTTCGGCGACCGAACTAACAACCCTCCTATTGATCTGGAACCTATCCGTCCCGTCATTCAAATGGCTTACGAATGGAACAAAGTAGTGAAGAGCGTAGTACCTCCAATCGATTTTCGTCCGTTCGTTTTTCCCAATGCTGGTCACTTCAACGCGGAGGATATGGATTATTATGAGAAACCTATCAAGGCGGCTAGGACGAGGGTGATCGTTTGCGCTGGGTCCATTGGACTCAAGTTGCACGATTCTGAATGTCCGGAAGGACGCGTTTTGCAGAAGGTGATGGTCTTGACGCCGCAAAATTATGGGGACAACTGATCTTTAAGTATCGAGACAATGGTTCAAAAAGAGAAAGGCTTGGTTGTGGCCCTAAAAAGTGGACCGCGACGTGCGCGCTTCATTGTTAGAATCATCGTCGAAAAAGCTTTCTATTGTTCCTGTTCTGCTCCATTTTTTTCTTTTCTTTTCATACCTGGTTGGGGGGGCGTCGATCTTTTTTTTTTTGTATGTACATAATCTCACCCCGCGTGTATTTATGTTGTACATACTGGTTTTGTGTGTCTGATTTTTCCCGGGCTAGCTTGTGGTAGTACATGTGTATTCCTATATACGTGCTGTGGTCGATTAATCTATTTTAAGTTCACTTGAGGTATGGATCGCGCTGGTGATTAATTCTTTTCGATATCAGCCATCAAGATATGTCCAAACAGTTATCTTCTCGCACTCACTCGGCATAGATATAGAGCCCGGGGGAAGTCACGAACGCAGCCGCGCGCGGCGTGCCTCCCATTAATACTCCGTCGAGCTGAGCACGCTGCAGAGAGTGCCCTGCACTTGAGCTTTCAATGCCAAAACCGTCTCGCAAGCTTGCATGGCTAATATGGAACGACCAGTAGTACTCTTAAGTAACTAGCCCAAGAGGTGAAGCGTGATATGTCTATCCACTCCCCCTATACAAGATACATGCTATTGACTCATTCAAGATCGATGGTGTTCTGCGATACAGGTGATCTCAACTCGATAACCGAACCCCTAGTTAAGGTGAAAAAAAAAACAATCTCCAGATTTTCCTGTTTCAGGCTCTGGCTCTCCCACGACAGAGCGACCAAAATGAAACCAAGGGGATATGTATCAGTCATTAAATGAGTCGTTATGGTTATGTAGATAAAGCACCAGATAACTACAGGCAACGATCGCCTTCTCTACGACTTTTTGGCATGCCGAACGCGGGAGGTCGATTCTGATGAGTCTGTCTCGTCACTAACAAGCGTATATAAGCCACGGCTACATCCTGAAAGCGACAGATGATATTACTCTTACCTAGTCATTTCATCATCGCTTCTTGTATCTTCCGCACCCCTACCCAGGATAACACCATACGCAACTTTGCACGCCATCCCAAACCAAATAGTTAGAAGCACTTGGAGGATCCAGAGACTAGAGGCAAAGAATATCCAGCCTTTATGTGTAGCGTATCGTTTTGCTGCGGGGTTCCAAACGAGATCCAGTTTAACTGGCATATCTATCGTCACAGCCCATGCAATACGGGGGAAGAGGATTTGACGTGTTACGAGCCATGATATCAGGAAGATGGCGAAGATCACGTCTGGAGCGAGCGGGATGGAGAGATACTTCGACATCTTTGCGAGCTGAACGCGTATTCATCTTGATGAAAGACTTCCACATACAGAGAATTCTGTACTCACGGGCAAGAGAATATCACACCAATCAAGGATGAAAAGGATCTCCCCCCCAACCCGCGTGAAATTGGTCAAATAACTTACTACCATCAACAACACTGTAACGATGTGATGAGTGAACATCTGCATATGATCTTTCCGTCTCTCTTCGACATTGAGAATAATGACTTGTGTGGAGTAGAAGGTGAGACCGACTAGATAGTAGAATTTAACGGGGCCGGGAATAGGGATATGTGGGTATAAGGTCCAGTACAAGTCCGTCTCCAGAATTGTCTTATATATCGTGGCATGGACCCACTGTGCAAAACAGGTAGAGTGAGCACAGGCGAGTTAGCCCACATTACGAGATACGTACGAAAGGTGGAACGACATACCAAACCTAATAGCCAAGCATGCGAATAATAAAGGAATGCAAATCCTTGCTCCGCGAAACGAGTCGCTGTCCTCTGTCGAGTCTTCTCCGCCTTGCGTAACTCCTTCCCGGAACGTTTCATCACATTCTGCCTCACGGACTCGTCGGTGCACTTTTCGGACGCGTCAACGCGTGCTCTTCGCGGATAGAGCACATTTTCGACAGCCCTGGAACAACTACCGGCCGACTCATGTTTGCGTCCTTCAGTTGGCTGAGTGACGTCCAATGTTCCATTAGAGATTAGTTGGGCAGCAAACATCTTGGAGGGCGGCGGTATCCACCATAAAGCCACTTTACGCAATAGCCGCATAGTTATCCACCTGAGGACGATGAATAACAGACTCCAGCCAACAACAAACAGAAAGTCTTGATTGCCGGGCGTGTAATATCGAGACCAGAGAGCAGACTGGGACGAGGCTGCATTCCGAGGATTTATGGAGTGGGACAGGAAGAAGTAAGGTCGTAACGAAGCGGGGAAGTAGGCGTTGCCAAAAGCAGAAATAGACATGGAGGATGAAGCGTTCCAGGCGGAGGGAACTGAGCCTTATTCGCTCAAAACGGTACAGATACGGCGAATTCGGCCACTGCTCCCTGACTTGTCGAGCACGAGCTGACGACGGTCGGGAACGATCAATACCTCCAACTCAGAAAAGTGGTTCAACTGCGGAAGCAACAATACGTGAATGACTCATTTGGGCCTCATCCATCATGATCCAATACAAGTAATATATGGACACAAGAGTAATACAGGCCGGTGGTTATCCAGGAATGAAATCAATAGAATGGGAGACCCACACGAGGTAGATACGTGGAACAAGAAAGAACAACGATGATCAAAGAGCCATGAGAAGCTTCATTGTGCTGCGATGCAAAACAAAGAGGTCGGCGAATTCACGAGTGATCGTAGAGTGCGTAAGCGTGCTTGAAGCTTTGATTGCCGCGATGTCACGGAAGGCTATATCGAACGGAAAGCTGCAGTCAAGGGTCGACCGTTAGTAGTTTCAACTATAGACACGTAATCCAGCGACATACTCTGTCCCATGATTTCGACGGGGATGCTCCTCCAGGTCATATACGTAACAATACGAGGCTGCTACCCTCTTTACTTCCGATTCACTGAATGCAACGCTGTTGATCTTGGTTAAGGAGGACACATATTGGGAAGACACGTCTCGAACTTTGGCTTGACGTTCAGCGGTCGATAGCCGCCGCTGATGGAATCTCAAGTAGAGAGCTCGAGCATCCTTCACTGCGTCTTCGATCTGGCGAAGCGCAAACTGCATAGCATCTTGACCATACTGTTCCGACCATCGTCGGGCTCGATCCTTTGCATCCTCGTAAGGCCGAGTCAAATCTTTGTCCAACCAGTGGCGCTTGTCTGCCTTTTCTTGACGAGAATCCCACGCCTTGAGAAGCTCTCCCTGGAAGACAGAGTGTGAAACGGGTCGAAGTGATGTTGAAATGATTGCACCAAACCTGGATCTTCTGGCCCGTATCGTATAGTTTCTTAATGATATCCTCTCCAAGCTGGGGGGATCGCTGGACCTCGACCCTCTGTAATTGACTATCGGTAATGGCGAAAGACCCTTTTTTTTCGGCCACTTTCTTCTGCAGATGAGGAATGTGGTAGCGCTCGTACTTCCTAAGGTCCGCTTCGAAGACCTGTTTCCGGACTCTCAGACCAGACTTGGCGCCATCAAGGCAAGTGCAGAACCTCCAGAGGTCACAGATTAGATGGCATTGATTGTCTGTGGGAGCACGCACATTTGGGCAAGCCGCACGGTCTCATGATGATCATAGCCAAGTCGAAATGCCGCTACGGATCACGTTTGTCAAGCAAGTTAACACCACCGCCGCAATTGCGTACTTTTTTCGTGCCTGGGCGTGAGTGTCGTTGTTGTGAAATCTTTAGTTGTTAACAAGCAAAGGTCGGTCATGACACACACATAATTGAATACCGGCCAACAACCGAAGGGTCAGAGAGTGCGGAGAGCAAATATTTCTGCGCCTTTCTCGCTTGGCTCTCCGGATGTTTCTCTCCATCAGTTTCCTCCAGGAAAGTTGTTACTTTTTTGGGTTCAGTTTCAAAATTCCGCTTTTCGAAATCCGCTGGCGGGTCTGCCCGACAAGTCTTGGCATTCTCAAAATCGCTGACGATCTCGGGCTGCCAGATAAGAAGCACTGTGTCGCCGTCGTAGTCACCACCACCAAGTAGGCTCATGGGGGATCGATCACCCTTTGTCGAAAAGATGATAACGTCCAGGTAATCACGCAACTGCATGCAGTTGACCGCTTCGAACTAGCTGAATGTGTCGGCATAAGCGCAGGACAAAGGGCTGCCACGAACTTTCTGGACATCTGATGCTACCTTTTACCATCGTTAAGTGAAGACGAAACGTCGAGCCAAATGCGAATGGAACATACTTTGCAGGGGTGTCTCGTAGCCTGTTTATGTGATGTTAGAACCATCTTGAGTTGAATCATGATGAACGCACTAGCACTGGCCCGAGTACCGTGTCTCGCCAATGTCCATCCGAATCCAGCCAGGGCGTGCTGTCGGAAAGAGTATCCAATATCAACAATCTATCTCACAGTGGCACCTCATCTCACCTAGAGCGGCAGAATACTTCTCCGGGCTCGAGAATTCCCAAAGGATCTTCGCATGCAAATTACTCCTTAAAAAAGGCCTCGGAACCTGCATCACTCACCCGGCACCGCAAGGCCTTCAGCTGACAGTGGGACTCCAACTTTATAGCGATCAATATACTGGCCTATAACACCAGACATAATGACTCGCAATTTCATTGCCAAATTTGGTTGAGTCTTTGGATTGAAGCCGGCAGCGAGGAATGCAAGCACCATCTCGCCCAGCGTCATTTGCCCAGCTGTATTCTCGTCTTCGTCAACATCCGGCACCTCAGCGTCCGAGCCCTTCTCCACACCGAGACCAAAGGCCCGCGCGGCTCCCAACGCCTCACGTCTTGCCCTCATACGAATTATATGCTCCGTTTCGCAGACCGCATCCCATAGCTTCAGCATTGCGAGATCGCCTTCCCAATCAGCAAGCTTCTTATACTCCGTATGTAGCCCATTACAATATAACGAATTGAGAGCCGCCGTCTTCACGCCGCCATAGCTCAAGCAACTCAGGACTTCTTTTGAAAGTCTAGCTGGAAGTCCGAGGCGGGCTGGTTGAAGTAAATCCAGCGCAAACTGGGAAACGTCGCACGGGGTCTCAGGGCGATTATGAATCTTCTTCTGTGAATCACGGAACCACAGCATTGGCTCGTCAGTGCTGTTGAAGCTGGGATCTGGGTGCAAAAGGTACTTGTGCACACATTTCATCAGTTTGATCATCGGTATCAGAAGGGAAACACCATACCAAGCCTTTGGTTCCCCCAAAGCGGCCTTGAACGACCACAGGGATGGTGACGAGATTGCAACGTTGCCGAATGATGTTGGCCACTAGCGGTAACCGTCAACAATCATAGTATCGCATAGTGGATACTCACATGCGCGATTCATGAACCCGCACCCATCAGTGAAGATTAGGTGAGAGGGAGTTTTCTCTTCACCTGAATGTCGCTCTAACATGGCTGATTGGTCAATAAACTTGACTTTCATTAGGGGACGAACCATACCGATATCTGGAAGTCGTTTTACGTTTTTGGGATCTATGTGACACACAGGCACCGACGTCGAAAAAGCCAGTGCAAAGCGAGCCGCATATTTCGTCATCGACTTTGGGCACTCACATTAAAAAACATATCATGAAAAAATAAATACGATACCTGTTTTTGATTCAAACGAAGAGGGTTATGCCATTCGAGAAACTCGGAAAGGCTGAGGCGGCCATTAGAGCTCAGATGGCTTGGGAGCATTCCTGCAGTCGAAGTGTGCGATGGCATGAAGTCCCCTGTTTCAACGAGATACACCGTGGCTTCCTTGGCGTAAACTGCCTGAAAAACCTTGCCACTAAAGACGAACGAGTGCGAAAAGAATTCGGTTAGCCGGTTCGTTGCCTGGCGTACGATAGAGTCTCGGATGGAGACCGAGATCACACGACGTGAACCATAGAAACGAGAGACCCGGTGCGATCGCCCTATTTCAAGTTTTTCAGGTTGAAATGCATACTTTTTGTCTCGTCGCGACGTGGGTTCCGAAGAGAGACGGAACTTTTGGACAACTCGAAAAACAACCAATGAATCCACCGTACCCAAGACAAATCACTGGATCACCTACCTTTCCCACCATACCATGGGAGCGCTTGACCCTGGGACCTACTGACACCAAGTCGTGCCAACTCGCATGTTTTGATATCTAATTCTTCCCGGTCTAGCTCGACAAACGGGTCTTGGGATGTATCCCCAGGCTCAACGAGGTGCATTTCAAGTTCATTTATGAGCTTAGAGTTTTCCGACAGCTCAGCGTCACCCATTGCAGGTGCGTTAAGAAAAGCCGCGCAGACTTTGGAAAAATTTCTGGCTGTGATGTTGGAGATATGTCCTTCTGAGCGACGGGCATGCTTGTCCAGAAAGTGAAATATTTGACACCATTGGGAAAACGTTGGGTGCTCTTTTTGTGCCATGTTGTACCGCCAGGTTTCGTATTGGACAGCCCAAGGGAGCTTGTGCCTTGTCATTTGGTTTTGAAGCTCGCAATAGGAAGGGATATCTTTAGACCCTATAATAAAATGACCATCGGACAAGAAACATGATGGAGACCCTTTCTGAACTGCTGAGGAATCAGGCTGGGACGGCGGGGCGATAACTGCTCCTAAATTACGGCGCGAGTGAACTTTCAAGCTGGAGGGCTGGAAGGATGACATACTTTCGGAATCGCTCCCAGAGGAGCCAGGGACGGTATCTTGGAAAGAGGGAACTCAGGCACAATTGGAAGGTGCTACTACTGCCACGCAGACTCACCATCGGATGCTAGATTTTCAGGTGGTGTCGGAGACTGGAGCTCAGCGGGCGTGGGTGCAGGGTGCGGCGATTCGCTGACATCAGAGCCACGACGGACTGGACTGAGGGATCCTGCCGACTCCATACCATCGGCCTCCTGTTGGAACAGCTCGCGAAGACGTTCTGTCCTTTGGCGAGTGGCTTCAGGTGACCTTGCAGGCTTCCCAAGAGCTTTGCTCGGGGAACCATCGGCCTGCGACTTACCGGACTCGTTATAGAGAGAGTAAACGAGCTTCGCGCGGATCTCTCTTGCCTGATTTTTGCGAGGCGTCTCTGGGACTGTAGCCACTATCGGGATAGTGTTGAGATTCATACTGTGAAGATCTTCAGCGGGCAACACACTTGGGGAGTTTCCTTGATGGCACGGATGTGATCAAGGCGCAAGAGCGCATGAGACACGTGTCAGTAACTGCATCTCAGCCGCCACGGCAGGCGGCTTACCAGAGGAAAGTCTTGAGCGTTTATGATGGGAGCCGTCAGATGATGGATTTGACGTTTTTATTCGGCCCCGGGGTCGACGCGCTCGGGGAGGGAGAACGTCGTAGCGAAACGGGCCAGGGGAGTCGAGGGACGAATCTTCTTCGTCCTGATGCGTTGTTTCCGATGGAATCCCAATTCAGTCAACGGGCATGGGCGATGGCGGCCCAGATTGGCAAGATTTACCTTGGACATCCTGAAGAAACCGGAATTAGTGAGAGTCACTCGACGGGCGCTATGCAAAACGACGGCTGATAGAGTTCAAATTACATGTCAACCTGCCAAAGTTAGCGCCAAGCGTTTACGAAATTATTGTCCACGTGACTGGACTTCGCCAACACCGAGCCTGACCAAAGACACTCCATATCTTCGCAACCAGATGAGTCACACACTTGCGGTTTTTTGGGAAAGGCTCGCACTTTGATCCTTCAGATATCTCTCCAGCCGATAACCATGATTCTCATCCTTTATAAATATAGGTTTGACATCCCCCTCGTTTTTCTCAGCAACGGCTGGGTGGAATGGGATGATGATAAATCTATCTTAATACCCCGCGGCCTCGTGATGTCGTGGCAGTGCGGCTGTCCCGTCGATACACCGTAGCGTACATAAAGGGGACTTTCTATACATGATGTGTGGGTAGTCCGGTTGGTATCGTCTGGTGTCAGTGATCCTCGGGTTATGTGGTGTCGGTGGGTATTGTCGAGGTGTTGATAAAAGAAATAGAAAATAAGGAAATAATTTATTGTGTTCATCTCGCCCGTCTCTTCCTCTCCTCCGCCATTGCTTCGTTCTGTGCTTTCGTGGTCTCTCGTCTACCCGGCTGTCCGGGTTCCTGGGGTCGTGTTCCTCTCCGCGTGGCGGCCGTTGGTCTGGTGTTTGTCACCTGTTCTGGACTTTTTGATGAAGGACGCAAGTCTTTCAATGCCTTTCACTTTTCCTACGAGGGTGTGGAACCTGGTCTGGTTGCCGTGTCCAAGTAGGTGTCTGTGTCTGTACACTCGGGGGCATTCCGCTAAAATGTGGGTCCTCATCTGTGTGGGTTTGCCGCATTGGCACCCTTTGCTCTCCGTTGTTATGCTGAATCGGTGGTAGTATTCGCCGATGTGGGCATGTCCTGTGCGGAATTGTAGGACTCGGCTGAATGTCTTTCTGTCGAGGTTGCTGAAACGTTTGGTGGGTTTTAGCTTTGGTGCGAGTTGGTTTGCTTTGTAGAAGCCCGATCTCGGGGAGTTCGGGGTGTTTACCCAGCGGTGTGTCCAGGCTTCGGCCATCTCTCTCTTGCGTAGGCTTTCTATGTATGAGAGGGATTTGAAGTTTGGGTGGGCTGGCCTGAGGCGGGCACCGTCTTTGGCTAGTTGGTCTGCTCTCTCGTTGCCCGGTATGCCGAGGTGTCCTGGGCACCAATGTAGAGCAATTTTGACGTCCTCGAACTCAGTGAGGATTTTGCAGATTGTCCTTCTGAATTCTCTGGCCAGTTCCTGCGCTTTGTGTGGTTTTCCCTGGAAAACGCGATTCAGTGCACCCGTGTTGTCTGCGTATATGACAATGCGCGAGGGTTTAATGGTGACGTTACCGTCATCCAGGGTTCGTCGGATGTTGACTGCGGCTGTCTTTAGGCCCATCACCTCCGTGTCGTAGGCTACGACATGTTCGCCCATGGCACCTTTCTCTTCAAATATGGCCTTGCTGCAGTGGTATCCTACTGTGCCATATCCGGTTTTGGTCCTTCCGTCTTCTTTGTATCGGGAGCCGTCCGAGTATACAAAGAGGAGGTCTGGGTCGTCTTCGCATTCGGTGGTGAATGCCAGGTGGTCATCGGCCCATTCCTGTTTGAATGAGTTGCCGGGTGTGTTGGGTGGGGTGAAGAGTTGGATGCGTTCGGAGATGTCGTATTCAGATAAATCCCATGGGCTTTTGAGGAGGGGGTTGATCCTCTCTGTCCCTGGGAGAATGTGGTTGGTGATCCGGGTGATGCAAGTGGAGAAGTGCTTCCGCGGGTCCGTCTTGTATTTTTTCTGGGGGTTGAACACTGGGAGGGGTGGTGGGGTTGGTGAGTCTTCTCTGGTGTGGGTACAGTCGGTTGATTATCGGGTGGTTGTCTGGGAGGCAGGCTAGTCGGGTCGCTTCCATTTCCATCCTGTATTCAAGGTAGATGTCGATGGGTGGAATGGAGGCCTCTATTTCCATGGCATTGATGTTGGTTGTGTGGAATGCTCCAGTTAGCATTCTCAGGCATTTGTTCTGTAGGGTGGATAGAGTTCTGAGTATCAGTCCGGACTTTGAGCGCCAGAATATGGGGAGCTCATATAGTGCGATTGGGAGGATGGCACCTATGTACATCTGGCGCAGATGTGTCTGGTGTAGTCCTCTCTCCAAGTTGCCGAGCATTCTCAGTGCATGGGCCGCACTCGCAGCCTTCGTGGCTGTCTTCTTGATGTGCTCTGTAAATTTGAGCTGTGGGTCGAACCAGATACCTAGGTATCTCATCAGGTTGGAGGGGTTGATTGTTCTGGTTGTGCCCTCCATGTTTGTGGGTATGGTGACTGCCGGGCCTGGGCCTGCATTTCTGCCGGTCCTGGACTTGGTGAAGTGCATTAGATCGTTCTTCACCTGGTCAGTTTTTAAGCCTCTTTCCTTCAGCCAGCCGTGGGCTACTGTGAAGGCCATCTGGACCACACTTCGGCTCTAGATGGGGCTGAGGCTGCCAGCGAGCTGTCGTCTACATAGAGTGTTAGTGGTGCGAGTTTTATTAGTCCTTTTTTGTTATGGAAATGGGAATTTCCCATTTTAGACTCTTATGGGTTCTGTATCACATGATTTGTATAGTAATTAAGTTTAACCAATCAACAATTACCAAAAAACCCGCTGTGCTAACATCTGTGAAACCACCTGTAAAACCTATGAACCACCTCACCTCCACTTTCCACTTTCCTGCGCCAAGAACGGACGAAAATGGGCGCCTCCGGCCCCATTTTTGTAACATTTTTTGTATTGTATGTTTAGCTCTGGGTCTGTATCCAGTTTCTTTAAGGTTTCCTCCATGACAGCTTTGCACATTGGGGGTGTGAAGAATGCAGTGAGGATTGGGGATATGCAAGAACCCTGCGGAACACCTGTTGTGATTGGTTTGAGTTCTTCATGTTTGCCATCAAGGCAGATGGCTGCCTTTCTGTCTGACAGGAAGCTGTGTGTCCATTTCACTATGGGGATGGGGATGTGGAGTTTCCTCATAGTGTTAATGAGGTGCGAGTGGGGGATGAAGTCAAAGAATCCTGTGATATTGAAGGTGAGCATTGTGACCACTTTGTTGTGGTTCCATGCAGCCTCTATGTCGTGTGTGATCGTGAGTAGGGCATCTTGCGCTGACCTGCCCGGTAGTCCCCCATACTGTGTGTTGGGGAAGAGCTGGTGCTTTGCTGCCAGGAAGGCAAGTCTCCGTGCCTGGATTCTTTCTAAGGCTTTGCCTGATACTTCTAGGAGCTGTATGAGTCTGTAGGACTGGGGGAGCATGTAGTCTCTGTTTGGTTTCTGCAGGGCCACTGCGATGGCGGTTCTCCAGATTTTGGGGTGGTAACCCGAGTTGGCACATAGTCTCAGTAGGTGATATATTTCATTCTCCATTGTTTTCCATGCCCAGCACCATGCTTGGCCTGTCAGGCCTGAGATTCCTGGTGCATTTAGTTGGGCAGCTGTGAATATGGCATCACAGATTTCTCTCTTAGTTATGCTGACATATTCCATGTCTTCGTTGTGGGGGGTAAGATTGATTGTTGGGGTATTTGGCAGTGGTGGTGGTTGGGGGAAAAGGTTTTCATGTAGTATGGTGCATTTATCTTTGTGGTTTACTGCCGGGTGGTCTGTACCATTCCTTATTGGAGGGGAAATGTATGTCCTTTGGCTTTTTGTCCATTTATGGAAGTCCCACATGTTGCCCAAGTTGGCTTCTTCTGTTAGTTTATGGTAGTATTCCTGTTTGGCTTTTCTGATTTGTGTGTGTATGTCCTTCTGTAGGGATTTATACTTTTCCTGCAAGGTACACCGATGGGCGGTTGAAGTCCTTCACCCATCCTCTTAGTGAGTCTCTGGTTTGTCTCATTTCACAGTATGACTTAGTTAGGTCCTCATTCCACCAGGGTTTCGAGGCCTTGCTGGGGCGTCTGAGTGGAACGGATTTTGCGGCAGCATTTTCCACTATTTTGTGGATAATGGCCGTTGCTTCTTCTAGTTCTTCGGGCAGGGCTGTGTGCTGGTTCTCATTGAGTAGGTTGCCCTTTAGGCTTTCTACTTTTTGATTTTCACAGGTTATCTCTTCTTTCAGTGCTTTGGTGAATTCTTCTTCACTTGCATGTTTCCAGTTTAGTTTGGATTCACAGGGGTTGGCAACCTCCTCTCTGGGCGGGCCTATTTGGAATATTGTGGCATGGTGGTCCAATAGACAACCAATTTCTGTGTTGATGTAGTGGCCAGATATGGCCCTGGCACCACTGGCTGCTGAGTTTGCAAAGTGTCAGGGGACGGATCCTGGGTCCCCATGACCCCTCTCTATGGCCCACAGGCTAACCTGTAACAGCAGCCCATCTCAGGGCATAACACTACTGTGGGTAAGAAAGTGAGAAGAAGGTTAACTTCTCACTTTCCCACAGTGGCCCGATATGGCGAAAACTTCCGGGGATACCCGGAAGTCACATGAGGTGGGATCCGGGGTCGGATCATGCGGTGCGCGGAGTGTGCGGCGCAGGAAGTGCGCGGGAAGTGGAGCGGGTCCGGACGCGGGTCCGGGTCCGGGCTAAGTCAGGGTATGTGCCCTGACATCACCCTCCCTCTAAGCCACTTCGCCCCGAAGTGGCCCTAGTCCCCAGGTAACCCATCCCTCAAGTGGTTAGAACAAAGCAAAACAAAAAAGCGGAGGTGGGAGCGGGAGCGGGGGATAGTGTAGGGGTGGAAGTATAAAACTATTCTAAGTTAAAAAAGCGGTGAAAAAATAAAAGTTAAGTTAAAAAAAATTAAAGTAGTTGTCCATCGCCGCATATGCAGCGCTCCCCTAAGACTTGCCAGAAAAAATTTCGGGTCCCTCAGCACCCTCCATTGTCTGCTCGCGACTCAGCGACCTCCAGCCTGCATCCCTCATCCCATGATGCCCCAGCTGCAGTCGTGTCGTCCCCATGATCGCGTCCGGCCTCGGGGCTGTGCCCGCTTCGGGTATGGAGGGTGGTCGTGCAGCACTTGACCTCCGGGCTGCGCTCCTCCGGGTATGCAGGGACGGGGGTGTGGTAACGCCGAGGTAGCAGCGATAGTGGGAG